CAGCACCAAGTCTATCTGTATATCAATACATACATTATATGTATGCATATATAATGGATTCATAAATAACAAAATAAATACAGATGTATCTATCAATGAATCAACTAATTAATCTGCAATCTATTTGCAGATTATTAAATGCATCCACAATAATATATTATCTAACTCAGATAACACACAAAATATAGCTATTGTGCAAGTAAAACAAAAAATTTTTATTGTCTAAAATTTCTCTTATTAAAACTCTGCAAATCAGATATGGTTTATAGCTATTAACCAAGGAATATAACCAAAGTTAACTTTTGCAAAACTAATATATATATATATATATATATATATGTATGTATGTATGTATGTATGTATGTATATATATATATATATGTGTATATATATATATATATATATATATATATATATATATATATATATATATATACATACACACACACACACACACACATGTTTTCGCGGGTGTTTGTATATAGGTCTTTGGTTATTCGGGTTTTCTCCTGCGTAAAATTGGAGGTGTCTTGGCAACATTTCGACGAAGTCTCCCATACATGAAGCAAACTGACACCCACCATGAAAAGGTGGCACGGCCACGAACCCGAAGGCAAACAGCAACACAGCTCACCAGCTCAAATCCCCCTGCTACTCAGACTAACCCGAGCACAACCAAGCCCCCACCTAAACAGAACACACACCCAGCCAATCAGAGCACAGCCAACCCCCCCCAGCCAATCAGAGCACAGCCAAACCCCCAACCAATCAAAACACACCTCCACCCAATCAGAACACAGCCAAGCTCCCACCCAGTTTACATCCTCACTGGCAGTTAAAAGGAAGAAACAGCTGCGATCACACACATTGCTCCTAGAAGCACAAAGCTGAAAATACCAGCCTGAAGATGACGAATGAGACTTCGTCAAAACGTTGCCAAGACACCTCCAACTTTACGTGGGAGAAAACCCGAATAACCAAAGACCTACACACACACACACACACACACACACACACACACACACACACATTTAACACAAAAACAGTTGCAAAAATAGAACATCTCAATGGCAGAATAATCAGAGGCCATTGAAATAGAGAAAAGACCATATTGCATGAATAAACGTGATGACACTTCACGTCTTCCTACTATTTGGAAACCTGCTCTCATAGATAGACGAATCTTAACACAAAATATAAAACATAGATCAAGTGTTAATCAAAAAGCCTGTATGGCCACAAGTTCCAGCCAAATCACATTCCAGCCAGCCACAAAGATGAAGCCCTGCCACCTGGTGGAGAAAAACCGACCATACACCCTAAGCCAAGCCAATAAACACAAACTGAGACTCCCAACCAATCAGAATGAAAAGATGGAGCCATCCCAGACTACCAGCACCAGATTTGAAATAGTAACGGCAGTTACAGCAAAAGACCCTTCACATAAGCCTGATGATGGCAGATGAGATTCTGTCGAAACATCGCTTCTACCCTTTTAGGGATATGTTCACAATTACACGGGAAGAAACCCGAAATATTAACTGTACACACACACACACACACACACATATATATATACACACACACACACATACACACTGTATCTATGTATTTATTTATTAAACTTATATGCTTCAGAGTTTGAAAACTTATCTTTGAATCTGAAATATAAAATATTTTTTTAAACTGAGGACTGCATGTTTTCTATGTGAAGTGACTATGGCTTGCATATTGATAGTGAGAATAACTTTAATTCAATTCTTTCTTCTTTCTTTTTCTTCTTTCTTTCTTTCAATTGTGCTAAATTCAAGTTGTGAAATAATGTGTCATTTTTATTACCTCTACTTCCATCTGGAAAACTGACACATTAATGCTTTATTATGCTGTTATTGCAATATTAAATGTGTGTGAAATTATCAGTAACAGAGCTTCTGTACAATTTACTTGTAAGGAAGTAAAAGCAATGTACTTTCAACTTACTAATCAATAAAACTCTTGTTATTTTAGATTTAAATACTTTTAATAAGTTGATATTATAAATCATCAAAACTAACCCACACATTTAAGATTTGTCACAATTTGGTAATTATTAGATATCAATCTATAAATTATAACTGATAAATCATAATAGCTAGTTTTATAAAAACATACGATTTAGTGCAATATGAACTTGGCCTATACACCAATGACAACTACTTAGATATACTACAACATAGAGTAAAACAACTGATTTGTCAGCTTTCTATATATAATTTTAACTTTTCTACCACTGTAACATGAATTCCTACTTGCTTGAATGTTAAAATTTAGCCCGTACAAATAATGTATGAATGTATAAAGTTAAAATTCTAATGGCAAAACATGAACGTTTCATGGACAATAGATGAAGTCTATCTGTTCTCAAACTTTGTGAAGCTGAAGGTCAGCCAGCTATTAAATTCTGATATATTCTTACAGATCCTGGTTTCCTAAATATATTGTACTGTGATGGAATATTGAATGGCTGTTTAGGCAGTTGTTTTAATAAGTCCACCATATACTTTCAAAGGCTAAGACTAAGAAGACTATCTCTGCACTAAACTTTGACTAGTTTTGTGAGTATAGAAAAAAATCCTTTTTCCAATTGTATATATAATTATGAACTGTCACTTAAGTATCCACAAGAGCATGAAATATTATGCAGCAATTTAATAAGAATGCTCTGTAAAATTTAAGTTGTTCCATGAAACTGACTGTAGACTTATTTAAAGTTCTAAAACATGATCATTATAATTTGCTCCATTAATATGTAAGACCATTTTACCTTTATTTATGCTTAAACTTTATTTATGCATATTTATTTTTCTGTAAAGTAGTAGCTGCATCAGTTCAACTTTGTTTAATACATCAAAAAATAGCATGACAAGTCAGACAACCATATGACCACTTCTCCTTCCCCTGGAAACAGGACCATAATGAGCTGAGGTGGCACAGTGGTTAGAGTGCAGTATTGTAGGCTACTTCAGCTGACTACTAGCTGCAGTTTGGCAGCTCAAGGTTGATTCAGCCTTCCATCCTTCTGAGGTGGGTAAAATGAGGACCCAGATTGTTGGGGGCAATGTGCTGATTCTGTAAACCGCTTAGAGAGGGCTGTAAAAGCACTATGAAGTGGTATATAAGTCTAAGTGCTATTGCTATAAGCAGGGCTCTTATGGGCTCTCCCCAGCATTTTTAATATCCCTAGGCTTTGACCAAGCTAAGCAAGTAGTCATTAATATAATAAAAGACATAGAATTCCATTCAGAAATAAATAGGATGCTTCTCCACAATAGGAATAGAATTAAACAGTGGGAACCATCAAGGTATTTAAAGGACCTGATTTTCCTGAAATATAGAATAGCATTCTTCAGAGCCAGATTTAATATACTCCCCTCAGCACTACTCCAGGGCAGATATAATAAGACCCCAATAGCAGGACGAGTATGTATATGTGGTAAAGGAGAAGTCGAAGATATCACACATGTCTTATTGCACCGTGAGTTATAGTTCTTTTAGGTCAATATATATTCTCCTCTTACTAGAGAGATTACCCGGGAGGGCAGACAATTTGTATGTAGACTATCTCCTCTGGGATACAAACCTGGCTACTACAGTTGCAGTAGTAAAATTCTGTACTGCTGCAATGACCACAAGGAAAAATTTGGTTACAGGACTAAGGATGTTTTCTTGTACCAATTTTTCGTAGATATCTTGAACAATTTTTAGAGAATCTCTTTTTATACTTATCCGCTCATCCATCAACATGGGCACAATCCAAACTGCATGATACAATGAATGTTATTGGGATGAATATTATTTACTATTGCTATTGGTATTATCTTTTAACATTATTGTAAATAGATTCTTGTCTTTTGCTGGTCTATGACAGTAATAAACTTTATATTCTAAATTACCTGAATTCCCTTTAAGCTGATTTGTCAGGAATAGAATCTATGATACTTTTACAGGCCAATCTGAGTTTTACCCTATTCTATATTTTACACTGTTCATATGGGTTGGAGAGATAAAATTGCCAATTTAATAGTAACAACTCTCAGCTATTTAGACTTATGAAAGATTGAAAACAAGGATCATGCTGAAAGGGTTTCCCATCTTCTCTTCTGCTTCCCCCCCCCCAAACTCCATCAAAATTATGACCCAGAATAGTTAAAAAAGGAAGATTTGCTTGATTTGTTTGGCTCCCTCATAAATGACAGTTCCACATTTCTGTAACAATCTGGAATGCATTTCCTTTGCAATCTGAATATTTGCTTGAGTAGCAAGGTGAGCATAAATTGGATAATGATTAATTTGGATTATAATCCTCATAGCTCCCAGTCAGCATCAACCAGGCTTTCTGGGGATAATAATAGTTACAAACTGGTGAGATTTTCTTTACTTTCTAGCAAATATCATCACCGGAAACCACAGCAACTATTATAGTATATACTTGTCGCCATAACTAGGAAGAGACAGCCTTGCTCACCTTTATAGACTCAAGATGAAGAACACCTGTGCTTGGGTGTTCCGGTACCGACACAAGGCTGAATGAATTAGGGACCGTAAGGGAAAGCCGAGGAAAAGTTGCGTAAAAATTAAACTTGGTTTGCTGGAGGTTTGAGGAAAAGCACTCTTGGCGTCCAAAGGGGATTGGGGTCCGGGCACAACCTTGATAGCGGGTTGTGGTAAGCGTGCCGCGGGGAGACTTTGGTCTTCTCCCCGAATAAGAAGATAAGACTTCTCTCGCTCTTTCCACCGCCCGTCCCCCATCTTTTTTCCTCTCTCTCGAGGTCTCCCCGCTTTTGCTACACGTCTCGAGCGGAGACTCCACTCCCATTAAGCACCCATATGGTAATTTCAGGACCCAACACACACACACACACACACACACACACACACACAGAGAGAGAGAGAGAGAGAGAGAGAGAGAGAGCAAAAGGGCGCCCTTCGCCCGGTCCGGGTCTCTCCCCAGCCCGCCTTACCTGCCGAGTTCACGGCCGGTGCTGAGGGTATAGCGGGCCTCGAAGGGCTCGGTGAGAAGGGGCGTCTGAATGTCAGTCAGGCGTCCCTTACGGTGCTGTGGACGAGGCGCTCGGCTATTGCGGGAAGAATACCGCGGCGGCGGCGGCCGCTTCTGGTCCGAACTCATCGTTAAAGTCGGAGAAGGCGGCGGCGAGGAGAGCAGCGCCCGGGGCTTCTCTTCTTCTTCGACCTCCCTTTCGCTGCCAAGCCAAAGCAGCACCCGCCTCGCTTCGCGTTTCATTTAGTAATTAGCAGCGACAGGCATATGATAGTAGCTCCAAGAAGAGCAACTGAAACTCGAGCAACCGCCACGGACTCCTCCTTTCCGTGCTACAAATGACACCGCCCAAACGTCTTACCTGCAGGGAAGAAAAAGGAGGGCGCGACGTGCTTCAAGAGTGACGTCAGAGCCGTAACCATACTGACTCGGCAGGCTGGTGGACGGATAGCGCCATCTAGCGATGTAGCGCCAAAAAATTCGACGGCTCCACGGAAGACCGAACTAGCACATGCATGTTTGCAAAAACGCAATTAATCTTCAAACGGGGGAGAATTTTTGGAGGAAACTATCCAAAATCTAACTATTGGAGATTAATTTCAAAAAAACATGTTCTTTTCTCCATGGACTTTTCCTTTGATATGCAATAATTTGTCATTTCAGCACCAAACAATATTATTCTGAAAGTCCTTGAATATATTTGTAAATTTTAAGAAAGATACAACCCAGTTGGGAAAAAATAATTAATCTACAATTTTGCCACCTTTGAAACGTTATCCAGAATCAATGTTTTCTCTTGTTCAAGTCTTACATGTAATTAATATATTTTATTGTATGATCACTTGCTTCCTGACACATTACATATACTAAATGTATCATTTGCTTCTGTACCCTATAACAAGACTTAACATCCACCCCTTAATGAATGTGTTTTTTTTGATTTGCCTAAATTATTTGTTGATTAGTATTGTGGGAGGCAAAGAAGCCCTTTTACAAAGGTCAAAATCTCTGTCACAAATTCAGGGATCAAAATCTTATCAACAACATACAAACTCAGACTTTCCCAGGGTGCCTGACCTTGGAGGCAACAGTTTGGCAGCATGGCACCCCCCCTTCCCCCCAGGGCTCGGATTGGCCCTACTCAGCCACAGCATGCTTGACAGCACAGCATGAATTCATCCACACATCTTCAGAAGACACAAACAACTGAGGAGCCAGGAGATGGTAAAATGATAATCCCTTGGGAAAGAACATAGGCTAAGGAAATGGTGCAGGAGATAAGCTTACCCTAGGAAGCCAATTGGGATCCAGGGTCCAGTTGTGAGACCAGCTGCCCTGTCTGTCTAGCAGGGAGTGACCAAAGGATCATACAATGACCAAAGAGCCATACAATGCAAGGAAGTGAACAATACACTGGATACCTTTTACAGGAAGAGGTGATCACAGTGGAGTTCCTTTTGACCTGAGTGGGACAGTCTATATGCAAACTGAGTTGAACTCCAAAGGGATTTTTGGGTCTTCTGAACTAATGCAGCTAAGCTATAATGGAAGCAGGAAAACAGAATGAAAACCTAGCACAACTGAAAATGGCTGATATTAAGGTGGGAGTAAGGTGGAAATGTAACAAATAAAATAATAAATAACGTAAAAACGGATCCAACTAGATGATCACTGAAGGGCCCTCTTTGTTCTTAATATTGTAAGAGAGAAATTGCTTGCAATTATATCCAGCACATAGGCAGGCACATTCCTTTCTAGTAGGACTCCTACTTCAAAGCCTCTCATTTGTCACAGATAAGAACAGTCTAGGTGATTTACACTTTGAGGGTCAGAGTAACAGAGATGTCCATATTGTTGTTTCAACAAGAGATAATTTGAAAAATATGCTTCAGTAACTTTTTAGCAGAATTATTATAACTGTTTTGCAAACTCAAAACAGTTTGCAAAACTCAATTAGGAAATGTCAATTAAAAAAAGACAAATGTATATGACCATATGAATTGCTGACTTCACAGAATCCTTTGTTTGAAACTGTATAAATGTTCTGAGCTAAAAATCATACGTCGTTCAAACTCTTGATAGCGATACCAAGGTTTGATCCTTTATTGCAATAAATAATTAAACTGATTCTGTCTGCCCTAAACGGGATGTTTCTTTAATTCCCAATTTCCACAACAATATCACCACAAGAACAGCTGATCTGGTTTCTCTCAGAATACTGCAACAAGCTCATTTAAAGAAAAAAATCCTGCAGCCTTGGGATACCAGAAAGCTTTCAGTTCACCTTGGAATGAGTAAGAAATAAGCTATTGTTTTTCTTAAACCAGGGGTGGGCAGATGTGGCCCTTTTACAACCTGTGGACTTCAACTGTCTCAGGAATTCTGGAAGTTGAAGTCCACAGGTTGTAAAAGGGCCACATTTGCCCATCCCTGTCTTAAACCAATTCAGAACCAGGACCTAAATTTACGTAAGAAATTGTTAGATTTACAATTATTTTTAGTCTGTTTTCCCAGGCCGTGTTTTACAAGACTTTTCCTCTAAGAGCAACCTGGGGCTGGGCCACACATGCGTAGACTTTGCCAGGCCTGTGTGATTCACCTCCACCTACTGAACTACCAAAGCATTTCCCCACTAAGATGCAGGTTCAAACCGAGTGGGTGAATAGGGGGGTCATAGATTACAGCCCCCCTTTCGTTCTTGACAATCTTATTATTCATAAATTAAGCTAAGAATGTTTTTTAAATTTCCCTCTTTCTGCACCATCTTCTCGGAAATGCAAAATAACAAGTCACTTAAAACTTTATTCAATATATAAGGAGCAATGGTATGTCTTTGTGATGAGACAGAAACTAAATACCCAAATTCAACCTATTTTGCAGGAAAACTGCTTTCTTGCAGTTTTCTTCATATCTTCATATTTAGCTGAATGTGGCATTTAGCAAAATGATTTGTTACTGAAGAAATCGACTTGATATCACTGAAGGAGGAGACTTAAGAATGAAGCTGACTAAATTGGAGCCTAATATAAAATCTCTCTGCAGCAGGCAACAAGCACAAGTATCTCACTAATTTAAGTAGATTAAAGCTGCAATCCTACATCATTTTTCTGGGAGTAAGCCCCAATGAAGACAATGATACTTACTTCTGAGTAGACATGCATAGGATTGCATTGTAAATATGATCTTGAAGTGAGCTCAAATTGTATTTTGAATTTGTTAGGACCTTTATTTTAATATGTATAGTAATTAATATAATCAAAATATTACAGAAAAAGCTTTCATTAAAATTATTTTATATTTATGCATTTCAGTTCTCTACTATATGTTTTGAAATTTTATTTGCTGTTTTTTCATATCCTTTCATACTATACTGTTCCTCAGTACTTCTACTGTCTTTTGTTCTTTTATTTTTCTCTTTCATGGATGCCATGTTCTTTGGAACCTTATTTAAACTAAGTTAATGACCTTTTAGGCTTCCTCTGCGTGAGTTGGAGTTCACTTTTTGAATAGTGAGAATTTTATGTTGGGGGGCATCAGGGTTTTAGAGATGCTTAGGTGGGGCATGGCCAAAAAAAGGTTGGGAACCACTGCCTTAATATATTTTAGATGTGCTTGGTAAGTAACTACAAAATATAACTTTTTAACATTTTTTGTTTCATTTCTAGGGTGTGTCAAATTTTTCAACTTTTAATTTCCAAACATTAGAGGTGCTCAAAAGTTGTCACATCCTTTGGGAATTGTAAAGATATTTTGGTTACTGTAACATAATTTAGATATGCTGACTACATAAATATCATACATTTTCAGACCAGCAATTCCCCAGTAGCATCAAAGAACAACATGGTGGAAGATATTTTTATCATTTCACTCCAGGGAAAGGCTCAAAAACAGGAAAACCTACTTAAGTGATTGCAGATAATCTGGTATATTTCATGAAGAAGAAAGGCATTGACAAAAGCTTGAAAGCCATTGGAAGAGATTCTACAAATGTTAATGCTAGCTATGAAAGTGGTGCCCTGCACTGGGTAGAGTTCAAGCTTGATTGGAAATTGATCTGATTGGTGTGTACATTCCGAATGAATGAGTTACCCCTATGTACACTTAATCACAAAATTGGATGGGAAGATTTTATCTAACAACTAATGGGCAGGTAAAATTGACAACTTGCTAGACACCGCAGTAGAACTTGACATTGATCCTTCATTCACCAGAGTTTCAATTGGTGAGCCTCTCATTTCATTGAGTGACAGCATTGTAAAGGATCTCTCTACTGATCAAGCATATGGATATAGGATCACAGAGGCAATAAGGATTGGAGAACTTCCTACAGATCTGGTTCTTCTGGAAATTGGCCTGTAAGCCATTCACTTTGGTTGACAACTGCAAATAGGCTTTGTTGAATTTGGGTTTCAAAACACTCCAAAATTTAAAAATAATATTGGAATACATCATTGGTGTGTACTACCCTTGCTGATTCAACATCAAAGTAAAACATCCTGGAGCTTCCGGTTTGACTTCCGTTGCCACCAGACGGTCCTTTGAGACCGCCAGCCCCGTCGCTCGTAAAGAGCCGCCTTTACATCTGAAAGGCGGCTCGAAAAACTCCATTTCCATAAGGAAATGTGAGATAGAGCAGGTGAGGGCAGGTAGAGCTCTCTGCGAAGTCCCCAGAGTTTTTCCTTTACTCTTGGGGACGAAGCAGGATGAGGCTCCCTATTTCCCTCGCCGCTGCTCCGGGCTTCGGGAGACCTCTGCTTCTTGCAGAGCTAGGTGACGAGATCAAGCCTTTCAATGAAAACAACAGATTGCTTAATTAAAGAGGATGAGATCTGGACTTGGGACCCTAAACTGCAAGTATTTTTAATGATTTTATAAGTGTTTCTAAGCGAAGGAAAAAAAAAAGCTTAAAATGGCAACTGCTGAGGCTTGAGAAGTAGCTGAAAGTGAAAGTCCTTCCGTAACAAGATACAAAGTAACAGAGCAAACAGTGCTGGCTAGAATAGAGAAAAAAAAGAAAAAATTTCTATTCTAAGTTTCTTTTTTTTTTTTTTTGGAGATCTGATATTGATCTTGTTGGAGAGAAGTCTTCTTTCTTCAAAAAGAGTTTGTCTGTGTGGCAGGATGGCGTTAAAATTAACAAAGCCAGACAAACAAGCAGCGGGGGGGGGGTTTCCCCCCATTTACAATTGTGTGAGCAAGTTTCTAGTTTACAGACTCAGAAGGATGTTTTTAATTTAAAAGAATTTGTTTTGAAGGAAATGGCAAGACATGACGAGATTGTGAACCAGAATTTTGAAAAATTTAAGCAGGAAATTAAAGAATTCATACAATTAAAGTATGATAACTTACAAAGAAAGATTGTAACAGTGACTAATGCTTTTTCAGAAATAGTTATAAAGATGGATACAAATATCAAGTTATTAGAGTCTAAAATGGAGGAAGTTGATGATAAGATTTATAATTTGAACAATAAAATACAAAGAATGGAAAATGATTTGATAAATATTCAAGACAATAGTTCTGAAGTAAAGTCTAAAAAGGAAGCTGATCACGAGACTTACAATACAGAAAATATAAAACAAGGGATTGAAAGAGAAGTTACAATGATGCAATACAGGCTCACAGAATTTGCGGTCAGAATGAGAGGATTACAGGAAAACAATAGAGATGATTTAAGAAAAATATCTGCTGAAGTTCTGGCTGGGATTTTAAAGATTCATCCAGAGGAGGTATCTTGTAAGATCGACAAGGCCTATAGAGTAAATTCTTGGATTGCAAAGCAAAGGCAATTGCCCAGAGATGTAGTGATTTATTTTACAGATAAAGAAATAAGAAATGATATTGTGCAAAAATCTTTTAATTCTACTCTACAATTGTATGGAAGAAAGATCTGGATATATAAAGAGTTGCCGCCCAACATAGTAAAAGATAGAAAGAAATTCGGATTTTGGGTGACTGAGCTAAACAAACAAAACATCTCATTCAGGTGGGATGTCCTAGTTGGCATAATATTGAGATATCAAGGAGAAAGATATCAACTAAATTCTGTTGAAAAAGCGGAAGAATTTTACTATAAGGTTCTTAAAATGGGTTCAACATCTTCATGTATAATACATGAGTGGAATAAAGAAAAGCAAAATCAACAAGAGATAGAAATTCAGGATAAGCAGAAAGAGATGGAAGTAATGGAAAAACAACAAGTTACAGAGGACTTTGTAGATGAGCAGCTTCTGGATTCTCCTTCAGAGGTTACAGCTGGACTATTTATAAATACAAGAGAGGCGGCTTTGGATTCTAATGTGATGATTCATCAAGTTACAGACCAGCATAGAAATCAATCAGTTGACATACAACTCAAAGAAAAGAAACCAGAATGGAGACTTAAGCCACAAAAGCAAAACCAACAAGATCAAGTTATAGATCAGCATGAAAACCAAATAGTTGATACACAATTTATAGAAAGGAAATCAGGATGGAGATCTAACCCACAAAAAGTCAAGAAAAGAAGAAGCAGGTCTTACAAAAACAAAATTTTTTAAATTAAACAACAGTGCAATGCCAGTTATCTAAGAGATGATTGAATATATGACAAGATAGCTGAGGCAAAGTATTGATTTATATTATCCTGAGGACAGTGACAGACCTCTGCAGTGCTGTACTTTTGGGATGTGAAAAGGGCCTTAAACTGAATGGATTGGAATTATCTATTTTGGATTCTTTGAGATCAAGAATTATTATGTATGGTAGTTCTGTAGGAATGTGGGTGGAGATAGGTTAGCTTATTGATTGTTTAGTTGAAGAAAAGGGATATTATGTTTAGATATGAATATATGTAAAAGATTTGAGTTAAGAGATATATCTATGGGGGTGGAGGAAATGGGCAGACTATGAGTTGAATAAATGTTAAATTGGGATTTATTATATAGTTTTATAGTGGAAGGTTGCTTTGAAATGTTATATTAATATACAAAAAAAAAGATTTGATTTAAGAGATATATGTATGGGGGAGGAGTAAAAGAGTAGATCATGAGTAGAAATTGTTAAATTGGGGGATATAATAATATTACTATGCTAAATTAGGAGTTATTATATAATGTTATAGTAGAATGTTATTTCGAAATGTATAGTATAAGGGGAATATAATAACATTATTAGAAAGAAAGGGTCAGTATATGGGGGATGGAGCAAGGGGATGGTAAAGTATTATATAATCTGTTATGAATTTGGGTTGTACCCTGAAGAAGCCACGGGGGGAGGGGAGAGTGAGGGGGGGTTAGGGAGGAGGGGGGGAAAGGGGGAAAAATTGTATTTGAAAAACTTTTTCAATTAAAAAAAAAAAAGTAAAACATCCTGGATTGAAGGTCCACATCATATGTTGTTCCAGCTGCAGCAAGTCAGACTGCAAAAGAAGGCTGTTTTGCCAACCATTCAGTGCTCAGCATGGCACACTTTCAGTGAAATGATAATCCAGACACTCTTGTGTTTAGATGATATTCAAGAGAAGAGAGTTGATGTACAAAAGATCATTGACTTGAGTGGTACCAACAATGACACGATTTTTCTGCATGTGCAAAAAAAAAAAAAAAAAAAAAAAAGCCTTTAATCAACACCAGAGCATCCACTCTGCTGGAACTGATTGACTGATCTGAAGGTGAGCCACTTTTGATATGCAAAGTGACCACAGCAGAAGTAAAGAAGTTCATTGATGAACCAATGCAAGTACCACAGTGACCCTGTCATGCCCAATCAATAGAGGGATGTGGGAGACAGGTCACAGAGGCAGCAAGCAGAGTGTATACACATGAGAAACATTAGGATTATATCAGAGGCCAAGAAGCAAATCAGCAGCTGATGTCAAAGAACAAATCAAAACAAGATTTAATGAAAGTTGTTTAAACATTTTTGTAACTTAGATAATTGCTTTATGATGTTACTTTATGATTGCGTGGGATATTTTTTTGCTTAGCTAGATAAGATTCATGCAGAAAAAAACTTTAATTTTGTAGCACAAGGTGTAATTTTGAGAAGATAAAGTTAACAGTATTTGTGAGGTATATTATCAGACATGGATTTACCATACCAAGCTAAACATTGTGCAATCGCAAAAAATAACAGCAGATTTGAATTCTTGATGTAAAAATGCATATTTTTAGAACCCCTCACTAAAAAAATTGCAAAGATTAATTTTTACACCATTAAATGGCATGTCCTTCCAGTGCCCAGGAACATTTAGAAACAGCCAGAGAAAGCCAGAAAAGACACTATGATAAAGATTTAAAGACAAAGCGATTTAATGTGGGAGACCATGTAGTGTTGTTATTCGATTCCTGCTATCATGTCATCCCCAATACTTCTTTTCTCTAGACTAGCCATACCCAAATCCTGCAACTGTTCTTCATATGTTTTAGTTTCCAACTATCAGATGGCTCTATTCATAAGCAAAGCAAATATTGCAGGTAAAAATCAATTCAAGACAGAATATTTCAAAACTGCTTGCAGCAAAGTTTGACAGCTAACAAAGGCAGGGTGATAGGATTAGAAGCAGCTCCTCACCAACATCCAACAAAGGATGAAAGTCATTAGTCACAATAGGAATTGCCCACACCCTTTCAGAACACAAACCCCTTCATTGTACCATCTCAGAACAGTCCAAACTTCAAAGTCACAGAAACTATTGAATTGATAAACAATAAGCCCGAGGTTGACCATATTACCTCAGACAAACACCTAGGATTTGCATTTCCTCTTTTGCCTATAGAGCCAGCTATGACCCCTACATAACCCCTACATGACCCCATAGGAATCTGACAACAGCCAATAGAATACATGTTCTTGCACAGGAACAGTCAGCTGCCCAGGATCACATGTGGTTCTGCTTCATCAATAAACCTCTTTTTTCAAGCAGCCTCCATGTTTCCAGTGTCTTTGTCCCAGCTTGGAACTGAACCAGACGATATTTCTTCCAACACAGTATATGGCAAAATTAAAGTATTAATGATCTGCAAAGCTTCCTGTGCTCAAGAATTCAATTTTTGGGGGAAAAAAACACTGTATACTTGAAAAGCACTTTGTGATCAGTGATGGGAGAAGCCTCTTATTAACGTTAGCAGAAAGAACTTGTCAATGAGCAACGTTTAAAATCCATCCAAACATTAGAGTAATCCCTGTTCAGGCAGAAAATTGCACACTAAAAGCTTACTGAAGTTATTTAGGTATGATTCTGATTCTGGACAGGAAGTTCTTGAACTAGTTTTTACCTAGATTTTCATATCGTATTGCACTTTGTTTCATATTCTTGTCTGTACATTTTATCTCTCTGATATACCAAGACATATCCTATCCTTTGCTATAGCTTTAGTATTTCTCTGAAAACATTACATCAATCCTATACCTAATTGTGATATAGCATTGCAAATTATATTTTGCTTAAAAATCACTATAAGCCTGACCTAATTATTCTATACTTCTTTTGCCCCTTATTGAAGCCCTCTCAAATATTATTTATTATTTATAAAATGTACTGTATATGCTCCCTCTTTAAATAAAAGAGGTATATTCTATTAGCTATACTTGAAGGATATATATAGTAGGAGAAAATACTGTATAGATCATCAAGTTTAAGAAAAGAAAAATACTTATTTGGAGGGCATAGAAAAGGCTTCATTCAGAGAATAAACACAGAAAAGAAATTTATAAACATACCACTTCACGCAATAACAAATATTTTATTGACATTCTTTTACAATGATATGATTGAATAGAAAGCACAGCCTGAGTATTGTGACATTTTCCTGTTTTAGAACCAAAAGCAACTCATTAAGGAGACTTTTCCTGCCACTGACTTTTATGAAGTCTTTACTGAAACCGTAATAATTTTGATTTCTGGTTTTAAATCAAATAGAAGCTGCAGGGGATTTAGCCAATATTTCAGTTTGTTACAATGATATATTATGGGGAAAAGGAGTGATATAACTTTTCAGACCTTGGAAAAGCTACTCCAGATTTGTGGCACATTATAGTAAATTTTGAAATACTAAATCCTACAAAAAGAGTAACTGTAAAAACACTGGTTTTGTAATATAAAGAAATGTATGTTAGATTTAAACAAGCTAGGACTTTGCTGGGAATTCCTTCCTGAGGCTGTATCATGATTGAAGTTAATGACAGTACTCCATGGACTACAGTAGAATTTAGTTCAGAACAAATACATTTTTCTTAAATTCAGCACTGTATCTGGTGAAGTGGGAATACTTTCTAAAAACAAGACTTTATCTGAATTAGAAAAAAAAAACCTCAACGATTTCAATAGAATTTAGAGCCAAATTATTGTACTTAGGACAATAATTTGTGTGTAAAGATGTGCAATTTAATATGTTTCTTAGAAACATTGACTTTAATATTTTTAGGAATAAATAATTAGTTTCATTTTAAAGTGATACTATTTGGCATGTGTGTGTATGAGTGTCTCTGTGTGTGAGAGAGTGAAATCTCCAGAAAAAACTTTAATCCCCATGTGTGATAATGCCTTGGCATTTGACTCTACTATGCTGTCCAGTTTGCTATCACTGAGACCTTGCAGAAATTGTAATTGTGTGATTCAACATTTGCTGAATCCACCTTTGTGGCTCAAAATATCATTTCAAAAGTGACCAAGAAACATTTCTCTCAGTAATATGAAATCATGGTGAAAATGTATACAGCTTGCGTATGAATTTTGTATACCAAATAAAATAACAGCAGACTGAAACCAATTTTCAGTTTTCTTAAAATCAAGTAGAAATTCTTATGTTTTGAAATTTGAAAAGACTTTGATCAAAGTAATATATTGAGTGATATCCTAACAACTTATGTATTTTTTCTGGTGCGTCACTAATTTCCATGTAATTCCAAGTCAGGTGGAATTGACTACTCATTTTCTGAGTATAGGACAGAGCAGAAAAAATCAGATTGGATTTAGTTTCAGATTGGACAAAAATTAGTGTTTTCTAAAATTACTCTGTTCTCTTCTACTCAAAAGCACTGTCTCAAGACAACACTCTTCTTTTATTTCTCATATTTTAAAAATGCAATTAGTTTTTTCTCAAGTCTATTTCTAAGGCATTAGCTTCAATGTTTTATCCACTTATGTAACATTGAGGGATCTGTACAATAGCTAACAAGACAATTTAATATGAAATCATACAACTCCAAAATATTATAAATAATACTCCAATGGTATAAGAAAAAACAACCTGTTTTGTTCAGATGGCATGAAGAATAAATAGTATCAGATATTTTCCATATTCTTTTTGCCTGACAGCACTAGTAAGATTCAGAAGGCCAAATGACCAATTTTTATTCCAGTTCCTAAAACATGGCTGACATCTAAAACAAAGTCTTTAATGGATATTTATGACTCTGTATCTCTTCAATTGCCTTCCAGCATGTACAAATCTTTTATCATACTACAGAAAATAGTTTTAATTTTTAATAAAATATAGCTCTAAAAGATATTAATGTTTTTAACTATACAGTGTTGTAAAGCATGTAAATTGCTTTTTAGTAAGCAAACGTATAATATTTGGCCCATCTGGAACTAACAAGTTAGTTAAATGTGTCTTGGCTAGCTTGTGTTTGCTTTTTTTTTTTCAGATGCCACCCTATTTTTAATATCATAAATATGCATGCAGTGATATTGCATTTAATTTTGCATGCTAAAAATCATGCTTTAGATGTAATAATTTCAGAAGGATTTCATCCACAGAAAAGTGCAAATAACATAAATTGCATTTAGTCCAATTTTTTGGGGGGGAGTGAGTGGAATTCCATTGGAAGACTTACTGTGTGACTTATAGTCATAGTGGATTTCCTGTTTGTTCAAAGAATTGCAGATAAATTCCTTAAATCAAACAGAGACAGTGCCAATATATTTCATAGTATGCTTGGAAGTCTAGTATAATTTTTGTGCAAGAGTTACAACACACATGATGTGTGATTGAAAAAATATCTTAATAAATGAAAGTGGTATCAACATTTGTTTCCAATTGATGATAAATTTAACAATATAATACTTCTAAGATCCTAGATGGATTTCTTTAGTTTAAAGAAATCTTTTAAGCTAAAATTAACTTTGGGGAATCAGTTCACTGAACTTGCTCATATAAAGTATTTCTTTAAAATTACATTGCATGACTTCATTCTTAATAATATAAAGCACAATACTGAATACTAAACACATTTTTAAAAGACATGTTTTTTTTTGCAGAGGAAAGTTCCTTATTAAAAAAAAAAGAGTTTAAAGTTATTTTAGTCTTATTAAGTTAAAGGTTAGCTAATTAGCTTTATTAAAACAGGTTTAAGTTATTTAGTCTTATTTGCCTTGTGTAAAGGATTTTACACAAATCACCTCTTCATGCTTCATATTTCTGTTTGAAATAGTATCATCAGGTGTCATGTGGCATTGCAAATGACTTTTTTGTGTTACGTTTTTTCCTTTTTTGAAAGATGTACAGAATATATCCTAAATTCAGATTTGCTAAAGACAAAATCATAACCCAATTAAAGCATGATTCTGCCACAATATATTTCTGTGTCCCTGGTTTTAAAGACAACCACATGTGGAACATGTGGATTATGCTAATCTACCTTTAAATTTTTTCTTATTTGGATCAGGGGCCAACTTATTTTTTAGCTGCAAGTTTGTATTCTAAATAAAATATTTTTCCACACATGGTAATTATTGAGGAAATACCATAACTATATTCATTGGTATTCCTTTGGGCTCTTCTTTAGTTCCTTGATTTCAGGAAAGAAGAAACTTTGTTCATAAGCTCTATCTTTTTTTTATTATCCTTTCCTTCCATAAGTTCTTTTCAAGAATTAGAACTTTAGATAATTTACATTCATATAGTCTTTTATTGTTTTTATATTGTTGTTGTTGTTGTTGTTGTTGTTCTTATTATTCTTATTATTCTTATTATTCTTATTCTTATTATTATTAAATTTGTTGCAGCTGCCCACTTCCATAACCACTGATGGTTTTCATCCTGTGTTAATTTAATTACATACACAATCATTTGTGACTTACTGAATTTTTAAAGATATGCACTACTATAGAAATATGAACTATTTTACTAAAACAAAACCGTACATACTTAGAAATAAAGTTCACTGAGTTCAATAAATTTCATCACCATTGTATGCTTCAGCTTTATTCTCATATTATGTGTAGAAAATTTGTGTAGCAGCAGTGAATAAAAAGAGAAGTGTTATTTTAAATCTTATTTTTCCCCATTGACTTTGAGAATAGAAAATGAATCTTTTAACTATCTGTTGTTTCATCTGGGTACAGAGGAGTTTAGACTCTTCAATACACTCAAACAACTGCTATATTGAGTTTTATCAGGGAATTCAGTTGTTTAGGTAACAGACCTAAACATCGTTCTCTTATTCATATTATTTCCACTCCATCACCCTCTGCAGCTTCTTATACAATGTAATTAGGCTAAATGATTTTAATAGAACTAAGTGTGATATTTGATATCAAAGAGAAATGGGACAAAACCACTCATTATAATTTCAATAATAGTTCCCAATACATAGTGCAGGATTGTCTATATTACTTTTCTGTTAGGAAACGGACTGTCAAAAAACCAAGAATTGATAAGCAGAATGAGAAGACAAAGAAAGATATTTATCCTGTTGTTTTTTTGTTATGTACAATAATTAAAATGGTGCTGCCTGTTATATTACATAATAAGACATCCTTCTTGAGTCCAAATATGTGTTTATTTCAATAAGCATTAACTCTGAATTATACCTCAATAGATATGTATTTTAATTTAATTTAATTTAACAGTTATTAATAATCATTACATATTCTGATTGCACTGCAGGTTAGTTTTGTTGCTTTAAATAACTTATCTGTACACATCGTCTGGCCCAATTCCAACTGATCTAGCTCATATGAATTATGAGTTCACATTAAAAAATTCAATTTCGCTCATGAGTGTTTTTCACCTTTGCATGATATGTACAAAAATCAAGGATAAATGAATAAGATTGTTGACCAATTTCAAAGGTGAAGACATAATACAATTAAGATGTAAAGGATGAAGATATAGCTTGGAATGCTTGATGAATATTCTTTTTTAATTAACATAGAAGTAAACATTAACATTTGGTCAAGTGTAGAATAACTTGCATTCGTATTTTCATTATTACTAATGGAGGTATGTGTAGATACATGGAGACCTTGTTTTCATATTGCATACAGGATAATTGCCCATTGGGAATTAAAGATGAAAAGCATGAAAGTTAGTTCTTAAAGGAAAGCTATTCTTCATGCACAGCTTTTATTTCTCCTGTCTTTTCCATCAGAAACAAAATACTGAAAATCAAATTCGTATGGCAGAAGGAGGGAATGATGTCATTGACAAGGAAACAATTGAATCCCTTTTTTCATTCAAGTCCAAAGGTACTAGTTTCTTCAACAGCTGTCAACAGCTTTTCACACAGCATTGAATATGATGGGTAGGGTGGAAGATCCAGGCGATTGAAACAAGTATGGGCCCTGCAAAATGAAAATAATATGCAAAGCTTTAAAAATAGCATCTTGTCAGTAATAGTCCAATGTATGTCACTAGTCTTATTGATCCTTTTAAACCTGAAAATGCAAGTGAAATCACATCTTTGGGAATGATGTTGGTTGTTATTACTGTGTAAATTAAAAATGGGTTTGAAAGACTATTTCTTTAATCAGAATCCTATGCACAATTTTTCTCTCCAGATTTTCCTTTACTCACAAATTCCCATTTGAACTGTAAACATAACTCTCCCACAATCAGCAGGAAAGACCGGAAAGGAAAAATGTTAACAAAGGACAAGAATTAAGCACTTTCCTTTTAAGCTGTAATGATAATGCTTACTAGAAGACTGACAGACCTGTATTTACAGCTATAACTCTAGACTCAGCTATCTCCTAATTCAAATATTCAGAAAGTATGGTTATTCTCTACTTCTCCAAATGGTGAGATGCATCAAACTGGACTCTTGGTGATTTCTGCCATGTTGTGTAATTCTTTCTGAGCCATCTAAACAGTGATACTATTTAGCCGGTTCTATCCGGTTCGGATGAATCGGTAGTGATGGCTGCAAGAGGCTCCGTCCACCCGCCCAGATGTCATCACGTCCCGTTTTTTATGCTCTGCGCATGTGCAGAAGGTCCTGCACATGCATGTAGGTGGCGTGTGCACTCCCATTTGCCAACTGGTAGTGAAAGTAAGTGAATACCACCCCTGTATCTAAACCGGTTAATGATTTTTAGTGTAATACAAAAGATTTGGGTGTTTTCCTTTGACTGTTCATTTTTTATTGATTGATTGATTGATTGATCTATTCATTGCTTTTTCACTATAATTGATAGTGAATTAATTGCAGATATTGCATGTTTAAATATGGTTTTAAAGACCATATCTTAGGTGACTTCAGGGGCACTGTAACAGCCATACCTTTTCGGGATAAGCCATTACTACTATTTGTTCAACAGCACAACTATAGCTGCTGAATGAATTGCTGTTAAGTGAGGACTATCTATTCTAGTACAAATGATGAATAAAGAAGTATTCACATTTAATTAATGGTGCAATATATTGCATAAATGGTAGCACAAATTTGGCAATCTGGGAGGATGTTTTTAAACAAAGTAGAAATTATACTCTCTGCCTGGAAGTTTCTTCAAGATCAGATAAATGAAAGTGTATCTAGAGACTATATAGGGAGCAGCATAGTAGTGTATTGCTTAGAGTTTTTGTTGAGGCATTATCACATGGAAATAACTGTAGAGTCATAGGAATACTCCAAAAAGGAGTTCTGAGGGTGATTATCCAGCCTGACTAAAGTGAAAGCCTTAAAAAATTTCAAATTTGTGATTAATGAGGCCAAAGCAAACCCTTTTAAAGTGAGATTGCTTACATTTGTTGGAGATCTATATTTGAAATTCAATGTATGAGGACACTTCTAGTATTGCCAAAACATATTGAGCACATATTTTCCATAGGGAAGCCCAGTAGATGAATTTTATCTATGGCTTTTAAAAACCATGATTTTTTTAAAACAACCTCTATGGTTGCCAAGATGGCGCTGCTGATGGCAGCCTTGGTGAAATGCTTTCTGATAGTTTTGCTGTTTTTTATCATTCTCTGTGATTCACTACGAATTTCATACTCAAGAAACCAACTGCTAAGCATCAAGGAATTTTTCTTTGATGGGCAGCTTTCTGTGACTTCACCCACCCTTGTCTTTACAAATGCAGAAGAGTTTCTAACACAGGAAGAAGCAACTTCCTCTAAACAATGGATAAACAAAAATAAATGGCGGAGATGCCGGAGCCGAAGAAGGGATAAGCGACCAGGAATTTTGAATAGACTGAGGAAAAGTTGGATAAAAACCCCTCTCCCTTCACTCTTTCTGATTAATTTATGTTTACTTGCTAATAAAATGGATGAAATACTACTTTTAAATAGGTGCAATTCTGATTTTTACAACTCAGTAGCTCTCTGCTTCACTAAAACCTGGCTAAATGAGTCAATTGATAATAGCAGCCTGCATATTCAAGGATTTCAGATACGAAGAGCAGACAGAATTGCAAAAACATCAGGTAAAAAGAAGGGAGGAGGCTTATGTTTATATATTAACAGCCGCTGGTTCCGAAATATAACTATACTAAAGAAATTATGTGATGTGGACTTAGAGACATTAATTATCAATTGCATACCATTTTATTCTCCATGAGAGTTCTCCTCATTTCTCCTAATTGCTGTTTATGTTTCTCCACAAGCTTGTGTAAACATTGCATTATGAACTCTAGTTGACCAGATTATGTGGGCTGAAGTTAAATACACAGATTCACTTCCGATAGTTTTAGAAGGTTTCGACAAATCTAACTTAAGGAAAGAGCTACCAAAATATTTTTAGCATGGTAATTGTTAATCTCACTAGAGGCAAGAATATTCTAGTCCCATGATGGCGAATATATAGCAAGTGTGCCAGAGGCGGCACACAGAGCCCTCTCTGTGGGCATGTGCGCCATCTCCAGCTGCTCTTTTGGGTTCCATTGTGCGCATGTGCACTGGACAACTGGTCTGGCATGCATGTGCACTGGCCACCTGCTCTCTTCCGGGTTCCAGTGTATGCGCGTATGTGCGCGCTACAGTTTCAGCACTCAGTGCTGAAAAGGTTAACCATCACTGCTCTAGACCATTGCTACACAACATTAAAAGATGCTTATCAGTCTTTACCATGAGCAGCTATGGGACACTCTGATCATTGCATGATTCACCTTATACCTGCTTACAGACACCTTATACCTGCTTAAAACCATGAAACCAACAATTAAATCAGTGAGGACTTGGACTGAGGAGGCAAAACTAAAGCTACAGGCTTGCCTTGGCTGCACTGATTGGAATGTTTTCAAAGATACCTCTGCAGACTTGGATGAACTCACAGATACTGTAACATCATATGTCAGTTTTTGTGAAGACCTATGTGTCGACAAGAGACCTATGAATATACAGTAACAATAAACCTTAGTTCACAGCTAAACTTAAGCAGCTACATTGTACCAAAGAGGAAGCCTTTGGTACAATGTTGTACAATCAGACCAGAAACATATTAACAAGAGAGGTCAGAGCAGCAAAGAGAAGCTACTCTGAAAAGCTAAGGTATCGGTTCTCAACAAATGAACCAGCAAACGTGGAAAACTCTTAAAAATATCACCAGTTACAGCAAGCCTCCTTCCCTTGCTGAAGGAAATCAACAACTGGCAGATGACCTGAATGTGTTTTACTGTAGGTTTGAGAAGGAAACTACTGCTACCCATCTCTACAATCCCTAGAGATGTGCTATGTTCCTTCTTGCTTCAAACACTCTACTATCATCCCTGTGCCGAAGAAACCTCCATCAAGGAATTAAATGACTTCAGACTGGTTGCTCTAATATCTGTAGATATGAAAATCTTTAAAAGGCTAGTGCTGGCCCACCTGAAATCCATCATGGATCCGCTATTAGAACCCTTGCAATTTGCCTACCTAGCAAATAGATCAACAGATGATGCTGTTAATATGATTCTTACAACATCTTGAATCTCTAAAGACCTATGCAACGGTCCTCTTTGTAGACTTCCACTCAGCATTCAATACCATCATTCCAGATATTCTTCTAATTAAACTAAATTAGCTAGCTGTACCTGACCACACATGTAAATGGATCATAAGCTTTCTAACAGACAGGAAGCAGCAGGTGAAGCTAAGCAAAATCACATCAGATACCTGTGCAATTAGCACAGGAACCCCCCCCCCCGGGCTGTTTGCCCTATCCACTTCTTTTGTCTCTATATACCAATGACTGCATCTCAAATGATCCATCTATTAAACTACTGAAGTTTGCAGATGATACAACACAGCCCTCAAAAAGAGTGCTGTGAAAATATTTACAGATCCGTCACATCCTGGACATAAATTGTTTCAACTTCTATCCTCAAAACGACGCTTTAGGGCACTACATACCATAACAACTAGACACAAGGACAGTTTTTCCCCGAATGCCATCACTCTGCTAAACAACTAATTCCCACAACACTGTAAAATTATTTACTAAAACTGTATTACTATTATTCTTCTCATCCTTCCTATTACCTTTCTACTCCCACTTATGACTATAACCTTGTTGCTTGTATCTCTACGATTTATATTGTTTTGTTTCCTAGTATGATTTGATTGCTTATTAGTAACCTGTGACTATCACTTGTATCTTATAATTCTTGATGAATGTCTTTTTTCCCCTTTTATGTACACTGAGAGCATATGCACCAAAGACAAATTCCTTGTGTGTCCAATCACACTTGGCCAATAAAAAATTCTATTCTATACTAAAAGTACAAATGGTGCCAAATCTATAGAAATAGGATTATATTTAACCAAAGACAATAAGAAGAAACCATATAACCCAGCACAGGGGTCTCCAAACTATGGTCCATGGCTACATCTGGCCCTCTGGAAGGTTCCAGTCTGCCAACCCCTCCCATGGGTTGTGCTTTTCCAAATAGCACAGGGAGAAAAAGCAGGGTTGTGTTCATTACTGTTTAGAAAGGAAGATAGGGTTCCCTCAATTCCTGTGATGGGATGGGGATGGGGTTGTGAGCCAACTGAAGGATTGCTGGACGAGGAAAGGGAAGCATACAATTTGTTCTGGCTTTGAGCCAGCTGGAGGGTTGCTTCCTTTGCTGAGAGGGTGTGTATGATTCAAGGGGCTCCTTTGGATTGTTCTCCCCCTATACCTGTGATGGCGAACCTATGGCATGCGAACCTATGGCATGCCAGAGGCGTGCCACAGAACCCTCTCTGCTGGCATGCACGCCGTTGCCCTAGGTCAGATCTCCATGGCGTTTCTTTTGTGAGATTCTTGTTTTCCTGCAAATGACAAAACAGAAGTTCACGAAAGAAAAAGATCTTACCTCTTGCCGCACTGCTGGTGATGGGATGCCTCGCCTCCCACTGGCCAGCTGGTCTTCAGGTCTCTGCTGCACATGTGCACATGACCACACATCCACATATGCATGTCCGTGCATGCATGCATGTACATGCGCATGTAGGTGCACACATGCATTCGCACACATGTGCACCTTTCAGTTTGGGCATGCACGTGTGCGCAGTTTGTCTAAAAGGTTCACCATCACTGCCCTACACAAAAGAGCTCTATCTGAATTGGCTCAGGGTTGGCTGGATGAGGAAGAGGAAGCCTCCTGGAGCATCGTTTCTTTTGCCTGTGCGGGCAGGGGCGGAGAGGAGGGAGGAGTGATCTGGATTGGGCACTGACTGGGCACTGGCCTGATCCAGCATAGCTTCTCTCTGCTTTTATTTTTGCTAATGTTTGACATTTTTCTCGTATCATTTGTCTATACAAGACAAGCTCAACATTGTTTCTTTGTAGTTGTCGCCTTTCTTTTTTGTGTTGTTGTGAATCATATCATATTGAGCAAAATAAAACACATTCATTCAATTAATCTTTATTTGCTCATTTATAAAATTGATTTTTCCCCTGCCCCTTAAATGTTTGCAAAGTGTCTAATTTGGCCCTCAGACTGAGAAGATGGAAACTCCTGATCTAGCATACAATAAGATAGCATTTTTGATATTTTTTGAAACCATCTGAATGCCTTTTAGAAACCTATTTTGAGTAGTTTAAAGAATATTAAGCCTTTCAAAAGAGCAAGCTGAGGGACTGTTTAGCTTTGTAAACCTTTGTAAAGTTTGTGGTAAACTTTGCAAGCTGCAGGAATATACAGATAGTCCTTGTGTTACAATGGCAATTGGGACCAGAATTTCTGTTCAGGCATGATTATTCCTCTCTAAATTCAGTCTGTCCTTCAGGAGTAATATTTTTATTTTGTACCTAATCTACTAATTTTAAATATAAAAAGATGGCATACAGTTTGCTTACTTGGTTTAATAACTACTAAGCCTATAATTAATAGGATCAAGTCTGTTTCTTTTATTTTTTATGATAACAATATCATAATAGCCTGTTTCTAATTATTATTATTAATTAAATTTATATATCACTCATCTCATAGTCTGAAGCAACTCTGAGTAGCTTACAATATAATAAAACATATCAATATAAAACAATTATAAATATTAAAATATATTAGTATTATAATATTAGTATTATAAATTAAAATTACAGTCAAAAATTGCCTTGTGTTGTTAATATGTAGGAATAGGGTGATAAGAACTGGAGCTAACCAATCTTTGTTTTACTTTTTTAAATTGGGGGAATTAAATCAGAAGCCTTATCTGGTTTTAATTGGGCTATAGATATGTTAGTTATAGACATATAGTAAATGACAATCCCGGAGTCAATACAAGAGGGAATTACATCTGAGATTATAGCAGATTCCTTTAAAAAAATCTTACAGAAGTGATCCTCCAATTTATCTGCTGATGTTTGCAAAATAGGGCCAAAATATAGGTACGGTCCATCTACTTTATGAAGGACTGATTGATTAAGTGGCGTTCTTCAGTTTTGCCTCCAAAATTAAATTCTTCCAATTCTGCATTTTCTTTAGGTCTTTAGATCAAAAGGTCTTTATAATTTCCTTAAAAAATGAATTTATTGCATTTAAGAGAGATTTTTTTTACCCTTCATGCAATCATTATTTATATCAAGGTTTAAACTTTTTATGTGCATTAACAGCATTGGCTGATAAAAATCTTGTCCAAGGGATAACTGACTGATACAGTGACACTACCTAGTCAATGAAGTCAGCTAGGCAGATTTGCTTGTGTATCTGAAGCAGGGGCTCTAAAGTCAAGAGCCTAGATATAAAAATTTAGCCAAATCCTGAGACCATTAGTTCCATACCTGCTTCTTTGTTGTAATGTCAATAAGGCAATGGGCTACTTCTAATGATTCAAAATTTGTTTTAGAATAAAAAAAATTAGACGAAAGTGATCACTATCATCTTGAATTTCAAGACAGAAATAAGCTATAAAATGAATAAAGATCCAGATAATCATGCTATATTGGACCCATTGGGGCACCAGAATATAAGCTCCCCTTTTAAACTACCCTTTTCATTAAGTCTATCTAGATCTAAACTGTCCAAATGCTGAGCTAAATGAAATCCTGCAATTTATATTTAGACTGACTGGCTGGTAAACCACCATGTCAGTTTTAGGGATCATTGGCTGTTTAAAATAAATTTTCAAAGGATGTTAAACTGACCAATACTTACATTAAAGTCATCAGCAATAATAATTATAGTGTCTGGGTATTGATATATGTAACCCTAGTTGAGCATTGATAATTTCTCACACCTTGGGTTTCCAGAAATGCAAGTATAGTTTTATATGATTATAAAACATGAGGTTTTAAGTTTGAATGACAAGAACTACAAGTATCTTTTAGAAACAATTTCAATAGTTTAATCTGTCTTTTATAGGACTAGGATTACTTTTAGGCAAATTGAGATGGTTTGACTTTAGAAAATAAAAGAGCAGCAATTAATTTATTTTAATTGCTTATTATTAATTTATTAATTTGTTTAATATTGTTTAACCAGCATAATGGTAGCATTTGAATTCCCTGCTGCAGGGAACTACTTTCTCTGCTGTTTTTCTAGTTATTCTGGATTGTATATCATGGTATTCTACTTTTGATTCTGTGTGACCTTAACAGTCCATGCAAATGACAGAAGAAAGAATGGCAAAACAAGAAACCACATAGGAAAAGAAAACTAGCTTTCGTTGATTAAGATTTCTCAACACTTAATTAGTTGTTATTCTTTATGAACCCAAAATGAATTTCTCTCCTGCATCATTTTTGATCTGATGTCCTTTATCACTTTTAGCTTGTCTTTTTGATAACACAAAATAATTAGGATGTCTTTTTAAAGCAGTCTTTAATATGATAAATTGGAATATTCAGAGATGCTGTCAAATAGTCTTGTCATTAATAAAAATATGAATCATGTGAACATAAAAATAAATTTATACCCAACTATAAATGATGGAATATCATTTTAAGATGAAACACACCTGGGTAGTGATGTTATTTTACCCCATTTCTCTATACAGAAACGCCGTAGTCCATTGCTCCCTCGAAGGGCTGCAAAGCCTTCATAAGGGACACTAGATGTTCCAGTAACAAACTGCAGCAACCGTAATCTTTGCTCATTGTTGAACCTTTCTACTGCAGCCCAGAACCATCGTATTACTATATGGCCATCATGGTAACCTAAAAGAGAAGATGGGTAAAAGACAAATGCATTAGAACCAGGGTAAAAAGACACAACTGGATGTGAAGATGAAGTAAACATTACATTTTGCACTATCTAGTCATAGCTGCCCAAGATATGTGTGTTTTTTCCACATTAGTTTTATGTAATTGCTGGTATATCTGAATTAAGCATATCCAATATGTATAAAAAATGGTATAGCTATTAGACATATAAACCAGGTGTGAAATGCTCCCGGTTCCGACCGGCTCGGGCGAGTAGGTAGCAGAGATTGAGGCTAGTTTGCTGAACTGGGAGCAATGGCTGCTGGCCACGCCCCCGAACTGGTCCGTGGCCCGCAGTCCTGCCATGCTTGCCTGCCTTCCATGCTGCCTTCTTGGCGTCCTGGTGGCCAGCTTGCGAAGGCAGGCAAGCAGAAGTCCATGTGGAAGGCAGGCAAGCATGGCAAGGCTGCGGGGAAGGAGCTAGCAGCTTACTGCCCCTCCCACTTAAGCAGCGGCTTCCCTGCTCAGCCCCGACAAGCTATGAATCCATAGCAATGGGGTTGTTTTGTTTGCCGCAGTGGTGCTTCGGGAGGGCAGGTGGACATATTCATTATAGTTGTCAGCTGCAGATGTCTACCTGCCCTCCCCAAGCACCACCTCAGTGAACAAAACAACCCCATTGTGCTGCGCCTCCTTCTGCAGCCAAACGCGCCCAGCCGTCTGTGCCCTTTCCTCAAATAGGCTATGCATGGGGCGCTTGGAGAATGAGCAAGCAAGAGAGCTCTCCAACCTGTGTGTGTGTGTGTATGTGTGTGTGTGTGTGTGTGTGTGAGGGAGGAAGCTATCTGAAGCCGAGGCATCCAAACTTCTGGCAGTGGCGCAGGCGGCTTCTGAGCAGCCCTGAGTCAGACAGCTCCACCTGACCTATTCCCTGAGTCTCACGGTTCTCCTCGTCCCCCACCCACCCACTCAAGCAGTGGCAGGCTCTGCGGACAACAGGACCTCTCAGTTTTCCCACAGCACAGCGTACGCTTGCTACCTCTGCTTGTCTGTTTGCAAGCGATGATCTTCTCTGCTTCTCTCGGGATGCTGTTGCGGGCACCATGGATACAAAGCTTATTGGGGCTGAACAGGGAAGCCACTGTTTGAGTGGGATGGGGGTGGGGGTGAGGAGAACGGAAAGATTCAGGGAGTAGGTCAGGTGGAGCTAGCTGCTCAGAAGCTGCCCCCGCCGCTGCCAGAAGTTTGGGTGCCTCAGCTTCAGATCGCTCCCTCCCTCCGTCCCTCAAACACACACACACACACACACACACACACACACACACACACACACACAAACAGAGGTTGGAAAGCTCTCTCTCCAAGCGCCCAATGCACAGCAGAGTGATATGAATGACATCAAACTGGCCACGCCCACCCAGTCACATGACCACCAAGCCATGCCACACCAAGCCACGCCCACAGAATCGGTAGCAAAAAAAATTAGATTTCACCCCTGATATAAACCAATTTACAATCTATAAAATAAGTAATTTCATAAATAAAACTACTTTATGGACATGGGGCAGAATTCCCAGCATTAACAGGACTTAATGAAATGAAAAAATGGCAAGGAAGAATAATTGCAATGTTTACCACCCCGATATTCTGTGTTATTGCGCCAATCATTAAGGTCGATTTCAGCTGTGCCAGCGATTACCAATTCTAGTTCTCTAGCATCAAAAACTGAAACAAGTCTTGAGTCCACAACCTGAAAAATAAAGCATACATGCTAGCAATAAATGCAGAAATATCAAAAGTCTCAATATTTTACACAAGCTAAGTATATTTGCAAATTCATGAAAGGTGGTTTCCAATTATTAAATATTTGAACAATACAACCCCCCCCGTGTGTTAATTGTTTGCTTGCATAGTTTTGATCTGCAGGTTTTATTAAGGCCTGTCTGCAATAAATGATAACACTGATCAATTATTGCTCAATAAAATGTATTGGGTTTTTTAATACAAAAATGCTGATTATTTTAAATATTACATTGTAGAATAAAATTATTTTAAATATTATATCAGTAGAAAAGAATAGTGGAAGAGAACCAATTTGATGTGGTTGTAAAGGTGCTAGGCTAAATCAGGAAAATGTGAGTTCTAATCCTGTCCTTGGGCCAGCCCATCTCTCAGCCTTAGGAAGGAGACAATGGCAAAACAGTTTCATTTTTTCCCCCAACAAAACTGCAGACTTGTCATAATGATGTCACTAAAGTGTTGGAGCCACTGTCATAGATAACAATGTTTAAGAGATGAAAATTTTCATTAACCTTTTTTTAAAAAACAGGAGAAAAAGCAGAAAAACTGCACAACTAAAATGTATGGATTTGATTTAAGCTGCCAATTTTCTATTGCTTACAAAATGGGACTCAGAAATTGTGCAAAAACTTCCAAACTGTAATCAGTAATCTCATTTAAGGCAGTGGTTCCCAGCTCCTGGGCTGTGGCCCACTACTGGGCTATGATCTGTTTGAAACTGAGTCGCAGGAGAGATGGACAAGCGTACGTGCATGAAACTCCATTCGCATCAACAGAGGGTGCTTGTGTTCATGTGTGGAGCTTCTTGCATGCGCCCTTCACTCATGCAAGTGGAGCTTCACACATGCACATGCACCTGCCATTCTTACACACCCCGCGCCAAGCCGCTAAACTGGAAAGATTGGGGACCGCTGATTTAACGGACTTGGGCCCAGGAGCAAGGGAAAATATTACAGCAGTGGGCAGTATCAGAACTTCTGTGAAAGTTTGTAGAGGGAAACCTAAATGTTACATAGGCACAAACCTTTACATTTATTTTCATTTTAAAAATGGAATTTGCACTTCTATTTTTCATAGGTTTGCTACCAAAAACTGGTAAACTACTGAAAAATAGAAGTGCAAATTCCATTTTTAAAATGAAAATAAATGTAAAGGTATATAAGCATGGTATGTCTAAATAGTGATAGATCTTCCACTTATACTGATGCTTCCTATTAAGATTTGAAACCAATACTAGAGCAGTTAATTCTTTGTCCTTTTTTGTACTGCATTTGCTGTAATTGAAATGCCCTTATGTTTATGACTCTTCAACTCTTATTTGTTAAAATATGATACTTACTTCGTAGAAGCCACGAACTAGGGCCTCGGTTTGCTGAACAACCCCTCTTTCTACTCGCCACTTAACCATTCTTTCAATATACTCTTTCTTGTTCTTTTCAGTTACTTGTGTATTTGCACCTCCAGATTTCAACTCTCTTTCTGTTACCTAAGAAACAAATCAAATAAGCAAAACATAAATATTGGGCAGGAATATAGAAATTATCATGACAAGTGCTTTTAACAATCAAGTATTGCTCAAAAAAGATACTGCCTGAAGTTATGTATCGTTATGCTGTTTGATTTGACTTCTTGTTATGGATGTTTATGTTTTTACTATACACCACAATGAACCAATTTATTCAAATTGGGCGTATGTTGGAGATATTGTATAATCAGTTCCAGGCCACTGAAGAGAAATTCTATTACAACAACCCACTTGTTGGGCACGTGGCTAATTGTGCGAATTTAGTGCAATACAGTGATGGCTCATAACTTATTTGCTTTCTAATCAGTATTGCCTTTAAAATTATATTAGTTATCTGTGCCATCAATATTTTAAAAGTGGGTGTGTTGGTGGTTAAAACGTGTAAAAAATTCTCTAAATCCTCATTATTTCACCATTTACCTAAAAAGTAGTTTTCTGAATAAAGCACCCAGAACCGATTTTTCCAATTTTTTATTTCCAAAAATTCCATCTAGATCAAACAGTTTTTTATTTGGATTTTTAAAATTAGTTTCAATGTTTTTAGCAGTCTTAACATTCCAAAACTATTGCATTTCTCAATTATTTTAATTTAGCTTTAGTTAAATTGTATTATTTGGAGCAGATTCCTAATTTTCCAATATCCAAGTGATAAGAAATATTAATCTATCTGAAATGTTAGTAATTCAGTTATATGCTGATTTTTGATTGTAATAAATATTTGATTGATTTAAATTCAGATACATTCAGGTTTGAGAACTGCATTCCTACTGAATGCATCCTAGAATCTGAATCCTTCCAGATTCTAGAAAGATATCTGATTCGTAGCAACATTTATATTTCTCCCTTTGAAGGTCTAACATAAAGAATGAATGTTGGAACCAGCTGTTAATAGTATTTAACTTTATTTTGCAAATAAAATGAGATAGTGTGTATATCATTCCTGGATTTTCTTAAAAGAAGGTATTTGCATATAATAATAAATAAACAATAAACTTGTTTTGCTTCTGCTATTTATATGGTGAACATTCAACCCAGTTTGCTTAACACCTTTTTACTTGTGATGGCCACAACAAATCCTGACATAAATAAATCCCTATGATGATTGTAAAGAGAATTAAGCAAATGAATACGGTACTTGTCTATTCTTATTTTGTAATACTGTACTTGCTGTTTGTTGTCCTCCTATTTTTTTAATAACTGGTCTCCAGATAAGCTTTGTTCTCAATTTGAAATTTTTATGACTCCTAATTTCTAACTTGTAATAGATTCATATTAAATTACCTGTCCAAATACTTCCTCATTCACTGTGAAAGTGAGATCCAGAATATCAGTAATGATGTTGTCTTTCATCCATTGTAAACTTTGGTGGAATTCCTCATCCAGATATTCCATATCACTAAGGTCACATGGCCTGATTGACAATAGATAATAAATTATGCTCAAGTTTCAAATAGTAAAATATTAAGGAGTAGTCTCAGTTCAAACTTGCCATTAGCTACCTACAACCATAGCTAAGCATTATATCTCTATTCAGTGGCAGTAAAATTTGGAATATGAAGAATCAGCACTCTTCATATTCCAAATTTTACTGCCACTGAATAGAGAATTTTACTACCACTGAATAAAGAATTCTACTGCCTGATTTTGTATCAGCTTCCTAGGGAACATCTAGTTCAGGGATGTCAAACTGGTGACCCATGGGCCGGATGCGTCACATGCAGGCCACGCCAACCCCGGCTCTGCAAAGGCAAAATACATCATGTAATATGATCGAGTTTGACACCTGTGATCTAGTTGGTTAAGAAAGGAAATCCTCTGCTAGATTTAGAGTGATTAGATATCTATTTTCTTAATATTATTAGAGTGAGTAACAACTTCTTGGTTCATGCTTGATATTGTTCTCTTCTGATCATGAAGTGTTATTTGACTTTTTATTCATATAACTTTGCTATACAGATTTTCTTACAAAGCAGTAATTCAAAATATTTCATTGTTAACATATACAATAAAAGGATAATAAAAATATGCTTTAGGGAAATAAATTCAGATGTCCTCTACTGAATTCAAGGTTTCCCCCATTCCCATACCTAAATATTGCCATGTATGTGAATGCATCACACGTAAGTATGGATGGGATTGAACTGTCCCAAACAATCTAATGTGAAATTTGAGGATTCTAAACTCTTTGTCCCATTTGAACAACTGGGTTGGACAGCCTTTGTACAGCTTTAACTTGGACACCAGTTGTGCCTGCTTTTTGATTGGGAGACCCTGCTTATAGTCCATTCATAACTCGATTATTGAAATGCACTTTATATGGTTCTGCCCTTGATAGCCATTTATGAAATGCAACTGGTCCAAAATATAGTGGCATGAGTAATTAGGAGACCATCTCACAAGCTATACTGGTTACTAATGAGATCTTGAATGCAATATAAGGAACTAGTTCTTATCTATAGAGATTCTCATGCTAAACTATTTGTGGGACCATCTTTTTCTAATTATTTCCATTCAACTGGTAAATTCTAAAAGGATCAGCATGCTCTAGATTAAATAAGCAATGTCATCTGGTAGGATTCAGAAGAAACAACTTCTCTGGTGCCAATAGCATCACCATTTGGAGTAGCATCTTCTATGAGATTGGGTTGGTCCCAATTCTGCCTGCCTTTCAAAAAGCCTTTAAGACTTCCTCAGGGCACTAAATCAGGAACTGGCATGAATGAATTTTTCTCGGCACTTTATGTCTTTATATTTACTCTGTCATTTTTATATGAAATTAACTACAATGTATTGATGTGTGCTGACCTGAGACACATACTGAATAGGTGGCTGTATAAATTGAATGAATAAATTAATAAATAAATTAAAACTCTCTTTAAAATTCCACTTATCCCATTTTGCCAAGAGATTAAGAAATGTCACAATGGGTTTCCATTGAGTCTGTAAATACTCACAGCCTTAACAATGCTTTGTAGAATGGCCTTGTGAAGAAAGCATCAAGTAGATACTGATGAATAAGAGCAAGACCGAGGATACGACCACTAAATCGGAACCTAAACCAAAAACATACATAATGAGGGATGCATAGTTGAGATAGTTATTCCATTTTTTTCTGTTTGAAAATAATATAATATATCTAATAGCAATCAAGGCATTTAACCGACATGTAAAAACTGTCTTGGTGATTTTATCATAGGATTCATTTCTTGTGATCTGAATTGATTTTCTAAGCAGTTTCCTTCCTGACAATGTGATACAACTGCATTATAAAGGCATCTTTAGGGTTGGACCATCATGGTTGGTTTAGACCATCATGGCGAAATATTGTGGTCTCATATTAACTCATGTAAATAAATATATTTATTTATTGATAAAATTGAGGAAGCCCAGAAATGGGCAACAAAAATAGTGCAAGGTCGGAGGGACAAAATATATCAGGGAAGATTGGAGGGACTGAATATATACAGCCTGGAGGACAGAAGGAAAGATGGGGCTTAATTGAAACCTTTAACTATACTAAGGGTGTAAATAATGGGTCTAGAAGTCAGTATTTTCAATATTAAGCAAAAGTCAAGGACATGGAGCAAAACCTCATACTGACAGGAAGGAAATTCAAAGCTGTTAGAAAGTATTGTTTTTTGAAAGACTATTGGAAACCTGGAACCAGATTCCCGACGAGGTAGTGGTCATTTATTAGTAACTAAGTTTAAACATGTTTGGGATAAACACACCTCCATCATCTGACAAAAAAATAAATTAAAAAAACAAGAACTCAAAGAGCAGACTCAATGGATCACTAGGTATTTTTTCTGCCATCAGTTTTCCATGTTTCTAGGTTTGACTGAGGAATTACTTATTTTGATATAAACATTGATTTTGAATATGTATATGCCAGGGGTGAAATCTACTTACCTTCCTTACCGGTTCGGAAGCACACGCGTCACGTGCGCGCACATGCACATGCACAGAAGGTAAAAAAACATTACTTCCTGGTTAAAACCAGGAAGTAATGACACCCTGGCGGCGAAAGCTACCAGATCGCCGAACCACAGGGAAAAATCGCTACTGGATCAGGTGATCCGGTCCGATCCAGGAGCATTTCCCCCTTGGTATATGCATACTGAATAAAATGAATCTTAAGAAAGAACGGTATATAACTGGCAAAAAAGGGGTTTATTGCTAATTCTTGAAAAATGCTAAAAATGTGGTACCTATTATGGAAGAAAGGAAGCAGGTGCGCAGTGAGAGCTTTTTAACAGGATTACAGATGTAACAAGCAATTAACTTGAATAGAATTGGTATTATATTATTCTTTGTTTCCCAGTTGTGCATAAAGCAGTCTTATTACATTCAGTAATGTAGAAAACTGCTGTTATTAAAAGATGCTAAAGTAATAGGAAAACACTTCATCTGTCATTCTTTTCATATTAAATAGAAACATTATAATTATAGTACAACCAGACCAACCCCCATCACAAGTAATAATAACATTTTTTTATCTGGGCAAGACCTTAGAGGGAGAATAAACATTCAGATGCTGCTGCATTATCTGGAGAATTTTTTCCAAAATTAGTAAAATAAACTGATTTTAAGAGGAATTAAATACCTCTATTAGATTAGAATAAGAGTTCTGTTTATATCAAATACCACTTATCTAGATATCCATATGAATTAATTTGTTTCTGACATTCATATGTACCATTTATATATTTGGAAATTCCATTAAAAATTATATATAGAGAAACTAAATTTTCATGATTTCACCTTTACAGTCATTAAAGCCAATTGTTACAATTTGAAAGACTGTTTTATGTAAAATATAGATGTAGCTAGCATCATTGTAATCACATGTCTTTTTAATTATTTTAGAATAATAATTAAATAATTAAAAAGATATGGAATTACAATCATAATGACCAACTATCATTCAGTATTATTTTTCCTTCAACTACAGTACTACTGAGAAATTATTGGACATATATTTAATGTCTGTATGACAAATTCACCTCTCTAGGAAGGAAATGTAATGAGATCAAAAGCAATAAAATCTCCTCATTCCATTTGTTAGCCAGCATGTTAAAATTGAAAAAAGAAGAAACACAGTCAATTTGAAATCCTAGTATATGAAAGCAGACGTGACTTTATTGCCATTACCAAAATCTGGTGGGATGAAACCCATGACAGAAGCATGCAGCTAGTGGGATTTATATTGTTCAAAAGAAATGGACCTAATAAAACAAGAGGCAGAGTTGCACCATATATAAGACATCATTGCACCTTTATAGAAATGTAACAGAAAATGATGAAAACTTTCTTGAATGCATTTAGTTTAATATAAAAGGAAAAGGGAATGACATTGCTAAAGGGGAATACTACAGGCCACCCAACCATACAGAGAAAATAGAAAACTTTTTGCTAATCAGTTAGCTATAGTGTATGCAAGAAGCATACCAAAATAGTAATAGGAGATTTTAATTACCTGGATATCAACTGGGAGACAAACTTTACACCTAGTGGAAGATCAAACAAATTCCTGACAAATCTAGAAGACAACTCTATCTCACAAAAGGTAGAAAAGGGAACTAGAGGGTCAGCCATGCTGAACTTAATTCTCACTAATAGAGATAAATTGAGAGACGGAGTTGAAGGTACAGGAAGTTTAGGGAACAGTGACTTTATATTATTGGAATTCTTTATAATCCAAGCACAAGCAATAGAACAAAGATCAGGGAGCTGATCTCAACAAACCTAGAGAAACTTAGAAAATGATTGTGAAAGATTTCATAGATGGAAATCTTCAAGAGAAAAATAACCTAAGAAGCTTGAGAAATTTAAAAAAGTAGGATTTTAAGAGCCCAGTCCAGCACAATATCACCGAAGAAGAAAAATAAGAGATCCCAGAAGAAACTGATAAACTAAAAGATAAAAAGGACAAGTATAAAAAGTGGAGAGAGGGGCAAATAGCTAAGATGAAGTCAGAGATGCTAAGGCCCAAAATGAATTAAGGGTTGCAACAAATGTCAATAATAATAATATTAATAAAAGCTTCTTTCAACATGTAAAGACTTCAAGACTTTCCTATTTCATCAAGCCAGCCTGACCTAAATCTTTCCTCTTTTTAAATGGAAATTTTAAATTTGGTTTTAAATTATTGGGGTTTTAAATTTGTTCAGGCAAATTATTTAATTCGTTTTAGTCTATTTTAAATTTTGTATTTATATGTTTTATTCTATGGCTGTTCACCGCCCTGAGTCCTTCGGGAGTAGGGCGGTATACAAATTCAATAAAATAAAATAAATAAATAAATAAAAAACAAGAAAAAAGTCAAGGAAATAATTGATCCAGTAATGTAAGAAAATGGCAAGAAGATGATGCATAGTAGGGAGAAAGCAGAACTGCTTAATTGATTCTTTGCATCTGTCTTTACAAAAAAGGAAAAAACAGTGTAACTTATCAAAAACAGTTCCATAAAAAAAAGATTAGGAATACAAATCCAAACAGGCAAGAAAATGGTAAAAGGCACCTATCTACTCTAGATGAGTTCAAATCAGCATATCCAGACCAATTACATCCTAGGATTGTTGAAAAAGTGGCAGACATGATTTCGGAACCACCGAATCACATATTTCAAAGATCCTGGAGCACCAGGGAACTGCCAGAGGACTGGAAAAGAGGTGATATGGTTCCCATCTTCAATAAAGGGGAAAAATAGATCCAAGAATCAACAGACCTATCAACCTAATGTGAGATGATCCTGGAAAAAGATAATCAAGAAACAAATCTGACAACACTTAGAAACAAACAAAGTTATAACAGAGAGCTAACATGAGTTTGTCCAAAACAGATCATGCCAGACAAATCTTATTGCACTTTTGACAGCCTTTTACCAATTAGTAGACAGTGAAATGCAGAAAACATAATTTACTTGGACTTCAGTAAAGCATTTAATACAGTAGAGCATACTCTACTAATTGATAAGATCACGAGCATATGGTAAAAAAGATGTTGGGACTCTAAAAAGATTGCAGAAGAGAGCTTGATTAGGGACTGGAGACTAAAATATATGAAGAATGGTTGCAGAAACCATTCTTTTTCTAATGAAAAAAAGGACTAGGGGTGACATAATAGCATATCATATCTAAGGGGCTGCCAAAAAGAAAAGGAGATTGCCAAAAAAGAAAAGGGGATCTCCAAAGGACCTGAATGTAGGACAAGAAGCAATAGATGGAAATGAATCAAGGATAGAAGCAACCTAGAACTAAGGAGGAATTTTCTGACACTTAACCAGTGGAATGGCTTGGTTTCAAAAGTTATGGGTGTTCCATCATTGGATATTTTTAAGAATAAATTGGACAGTCATTTGTCTGAAATGATATGGAGTCTCCTGCTTGAGCGGGGATTGGACTATAAGTCCCTTCCAACTCTGTTATTCTGTATTCTGTGAATAGTAATTTATGGTTAATCTAGCAAAATACACTGGAATAATACCAAAGGTGTTTGTCATTTCTTCTAGTATTAATTTTCCATAAAATTGTTTTCCATCTCATAAGTTATTTTATCTCAATATTAAAAAAAAAATAAGAGAAAGAATGAGTTTATTATTTGATTCTATTTGTTTTTTATCTACCTCTCCTCTGGAACATTTTATTGTATGAGATGATAAAGAGGCTTGAACCAATTTTTTGAAAGGTTACTGAGAGTAATATATTAAGAAAATATATTTCTTGTGAATATTTTATTTTTGCAAATGAATTAATATATACTCAGCAATATCAAAATAATTTGCAATTTAAATGTAGAATTTTGCACCACAAAAATGTCTATTGATCATAAAAAGTAGTAAAACTTTCCATAATTCTTTCAACACTTTTTCTTACCAATCAATAAATTAGCTAAACTGTATTCTGCTATTGTGCATTAAACAATGTTTATCAATGTGTTTTGTAAGAGCCGAGGTGGCGTACTGGTTAGAGTGCAGCACTGCAGGCTACTTCAACTGTCTGCTAGCAGTTCGGTAGTTCAAATCTTATCGGCTCAAGGTTGACTCAGCCTTCCATCCTTCCGAGGTCAGTAAAATGAAGACTCAGATTGTTGGAAGCAATATGCTGACTCTGTAAACCGCTTAGAGAGGGCTGTAAAAGCACTATAAAGTGGTACATAAGTAAGTGCTCTTGCTATTGCTATTTTTAAGGAGGCAAATAATGAAAAAGAACATCGATACCCTAGTACAGAACTGCACATACCTGAAAACGAAGTACATTATGTTTATTTGCTCTGATACCAAGAGATACGTGGCATTTCCTGAAACCTTAGTTGAGTTCCTATAACCAAGGAACTTATTTTATTGCACTTAATTGAAAAGTTGTATACTGAAAAGCCATCTATTCCCATCAGTAAGAAGGAATGAAAAGTTATTTGTGGAAATGGTACTGCAACGCAGCTGCAAGACACAATTACTGTGGGAAAATTTTCACATATTGTGAAAAAACTCAGTTTTTTAGGGAATCAAATTTAGGGGAAAAAATTAAAATTTTATTAAGCACATCAATGTCTTTTTTTCTGAAGTCACTTTTCCAGCATGGAAAATATTAATATTATTATCAATGTTGCTGTCAAATATTAATAACAATACTGGCAGCAAAATCATCTCTACTAAAAACAATGTTTAGGATTTCAAAATGCATAGACAGTAATGAGACCTTATAAAAAGAGACACCTAAGTGGTGCAGCAGAAAACAAGGACCGAACCAGACTAAGCATATTTGGGTATATACTATTATGATCAGAGCAGCAAAACATAACTATTTCTGTCTCCTTATTACAACTACAAACTAGTGTTCCTTCTCAAAGCAATCTCTACCATATTGGGAAGAGATATGCAAGAGGACAATCTAAGGGGCTGCTGTGAGGAATTTTTAAGGCATCTGGAAAAAAAAGTCATTCAAATTTACTTGGAGTTCATAATAGCTGGGTAAGTCCAAAAAAGATGGCTCTGATTATCTGGGCTGACTTTGATTCTGTGAGTGCTAAGGAAGTAGATGGGATCCTTTACAATTTACATCATCAACTCAGATACATGTAATCTGGACCACTTTTCTTCCTTGTTGTTGAAAGTCTCCAAGGAGAAGGATTGGAGCAGTGGTGAATATGTCTTTCAGAGAGAAAATGTTACTCCTTTCTTTGAAAGAGACAATTCTCCATTCTCAAACATTGTTCAACCCAAATATACTGGATGATCCTTGGTGTTTCAAATCTTTTCTAAGGTTGTGTAGGCAATATTAATTCCAATAATGTGTTAGGGAATTGTACATGGCTGAAAGTCAGATCCTTCAGTATACAATTTTCTAACTTACCCAGTAAAAAAGAAAAATTGAGATCATGAAATCAATTAAATAAATTTACTTTAGAATATAGAAAAATCACTTCCAGTAAGAATATAGTTTTTGGTTCCAACAAGAATACTGTCTATTTGAAATGTATATATTTGAATAAAACAATTACTGCTTATGGACAATGTTTGCAGATAGTTTTTAATTTAACAATTGCTTTACAGGCTGAACAAGCTCCTGATGATTTAGAACAGGGGTGTCAAACTTACATTGTCACATGACATATCGGGACTTTCCCCCTCCCTTCGCTAAACTAGGCATGGGTGTGGCCAACATCCGGCCTGCGAGTTTGACAGCTCTGATTTAGATTATTTAGTGACTGCAGGACAGTTGTCTGAATGTAAGCATAGCAGAGATTTTCTCCTCTATCAAAAATAATGTTTTTCATGATATGTTAAAAATTTTTGTTACACTTATAACTTTGTAATCTCATTTCTTTTCAAGGAGTTTCTAAGCATAAATGTATTATATATATATATATATAATCTTTATATAATATATATAGATTATATATATATATATATATATATGTATAATCTTCAAACCTGGAAGCAAATAATAGTGAGAATGGAATGCCATGCTAGAACCAAAGTGCACTTTTCAAGTGGAAAGAACAAGAGATAAACAATGTACATTATTGAAATGGAAGGAAAATAATGTGCATTTATGGTTCTTTTGATGTCAACATGTTGGCTTTTAAAAAAATACTTATCCCACCCTTTCTTTTCATATTCAACAAAGTGGCAAATATACCAATACTCCAGGGGTGAAATGCTCCTGGTTCAGATCGGATCACCCGATACGGTAGCGATGGAGGCGGGTGGTTCAGAGAACCGGTAGCAAAAATCCCTGCCTCCCTCCCATGCCCAGCTGAGCCGCGCAATCATCAGAGACTTTTTATTTTATTTTTAAAAGCATTTTTTCTATAACCTCTTTGGCCTAAAAAAGGCTTTTAAAGGTAAAAAAAAAAGCCTCTGATGATCGCACGGCTCAGCTGGGATCATCAGAGGCTTTTAAAAGCATTTTTTCTACAACCTCTTTGGCCAAAGAGGTTATAGAAAAAATGTTTTTAAAAGGAAAAAAACCTCTGCCGATCAGGCAAGTCAGCTGGGATCGTCAGAGGCTTTTAAAAGCATTTTTTTTACCACCTCTTCAGCCGAAGAGATTGTAGAAAAAATGGTTTTAAAAGTTAAAAAAAAAAAAGTTGGCCACACCCACTCAGTCATATTATCTCCCCCACCAAGCCACGCCCACAGAACCGGTAGTAACAAATTTTACATTTCACCACTGCAATACTCCTTTCTCCTCTTGTGTTCCTCACAACATCAACCCTATCAGATGAGTTGGGCTGAGAGAGTGACTGGCCCAAAGTGATTTAGTTATTTTTTATGCCTAAGGCAAAACTAGAACTCACAATCTCCTGATTTCTAGGCACGTATTTTAACCATTACACTAATTGTTTCAACTATCTAGTTAAGAATATAAGGAAGTCAGAGTTTCTATTTTGAAACCTTCCTTCATAAATTTCCTTCCCAACTGATGCCTTCAAGATCAACACACAAGCAGTTTGCAGGAAATGAATACAGTATTTATTCAACTTCTGTTTCTGGGCATGGAAATCTATACAGTAGCTGGATAACTTGGTCATATAGCCCAGGGTTGTCTTCTGATAATGGGTTTTTAAGGCATCAGAGGAAGACATCCTTCTGATTATATGATACTTAATCCTACTTTAATTGGAAACCCAGGCAATTACCTCTCAGCAATAATGTTTTGCTTGGTTGTGAGCTGTGAGAATTTCTATTTACAATGCTAATGATTTCAGCATTATGTATTTTTTTAGCTATTTCTTTCACAAGGGATACATGAGTTAAATGCCACATAATTTATCAAGCCATAAGAAGAACTTTTGTGGCAATAATATGGAAGTGTTTTGATACTGTATTCTTTTGAATGTTTTAATTCTCTCAGTTTAATTTAGAGCTCCATGATTTTTCTGGTGGTCATTCTTCCAAGTCCTAATCAGATCTGATTTTGCCAACATTTTGAGATTGGCCACATTCTGGTAAGTACTGCCACCTAACTGGCTAAAGTAATAATCATGCATAAGCAAAACCAGTCTTTGCAGGGCAATAAAAGGGCCTGGTGGCTCAGCAGACTAAAAGCATTGTGATTAACACCTGTCTGCAATTACTGTAAATTCGAATTTCACCAGGCTCAAGGTTGATTCAGCCTTCCATCCTTTCTAAGGTAGGTAAAATGAGTACCCAGTTTGTGGGGGCAATAAGCTGACTTTGTATAAATATACAAAAGTATGAAGGCTATTCCTTAATGCATTGTAAGCCGCCCTGAGTCTCCGGAGAAGGGCGGAATATAAATCAAATAAATAAATAAATAAATAAAATAAAAATTAAAAAAAAATAACTTGCCCAGGTATTATGAGAGAAAATGAGTGTTTCGATTTGAACTTTAATTCAATAGAAAATTCTAGGACCTAAATGACTAATAGAGAATTTATGTTGAATCTTTTTAATATGGACGATTAGAATATTCTAATTGTGGTTATGAATGAAAAATTTTCTTTAATTCTTATAAACACGTTTTTCTATTTAGTTTAGTAACACTTTGGCACTATTTCATCAATCCAGTTCTGTGCTGACACGGGGTCTGTAAGTTTAGTATGGCAGATAAAGCCTCTTAACTACAAAAAAACCTTTTAACACTATTTTACTTATATAACTGTATACCATATCAATAATATTAAATATAGCAAGAAAAAAATTAAACAGGCAAAAAAAAATCTTTATGATTTTATTCAATGCTTTGTCTTCAATTCCCCCAAGTGCTCTCCAAGACCAAAGGAACAAATTCTCTTTCTTGAGAATTTGAGTGTCAAGAGTATCTAAGAACAAGTTTCCTGGAGTATGAAAAATCAGTTATTATAATACAGTAAAATATAAAAATTTAAAACATTATAATTATGGTGCACTTCGTTTCCTTGTTTTTCCACTTCTTCTGAAGCCTTCAATCAGATATATCATTGTAGCTTTCCTTTCTATCAAATAAGTTACTAGATTGTATTTTACTTATTTCACTAAAGTAATTCTGTCATGATTAAACCTGGCTTTTATATTAACAATTAAGTCTGAGTAATTATCTCCCCAAGGTTTTGTTAATACTTGAGGTGCTAGCATTCTCAGTTTTAACTGTCTTACTGTAGGTCTAACACTGTGACAGAATCTCATATGAAGGAAGATGATATTGTAATTTATAACACATTACACTTGAGAATAAAAATGTATAGTTTATTTGATTTTTTTTAAAAAAAATGAGAGTTACTATGACATGTATACTTAACTAAAAAGCTTACCATTCCAGGTGATTTTCTACAAATGCTGACATGGGGCTGATCTGTACAGTGTAAGTATCATTGGCTGAATACTCAAACAGGCCATAATAAGGATTGAAAAGCTCCTGAGAAAGAAGGAAGAAGAATTCCCGGGATGGGCCACTGTAATCCAAGCTGGAAAAAAAAATCCACATGGAATGGATCTTACTAATCATACATATTTCATGACAAATTGCTGATTCTGCCTCTTTATCCATGTTAAACTGTTAGACATTTTATAGAGATTTTGTGAATGGATTTTAATTTTCATTGAGAATTAATGCTGCAAATGTACCTCTCCAAATTGCCTTGAAATCCAAAGTAAATATAAAGTTGTTTAAAATGCAACTTAAAATGAAGTTGCATTTCATATAGTAACATTTACCAAATTACTATTTTGAATTCTATTTTTTTTACCTTTACCTACTGGAAAAGTGAGGAGGGTCAGCAGAGAGATACCGCTGTCCCCCAAAATCTTTTTCCTAATAGTGACTGCATTATAAAAAAAAAAAATCTCTGAAATTTATGTAGCTGCAAAAATAGTTACATTATCAATAAAGAAAAATTATTATAAACATACAGAAAACAAATATCACTCAACGTTTGTTATTGTTACTTTGGAAATATTATTTTGAATTATTTCATAATTTACTGCTTTTTATTTCTACAGAATTATTTATTCTTGATTATTTTACATCCTTACATTAAATGATATTTTTATCTCATCTGAAAAAACAACATAACATCACTTATAATACCACTGGATGGAATATTATTTCTGCTGTGCCTTTAAACAAATGCCAAGAATGTGAAGTATTTTGTGATTTATGGCTGTCTTCAAGGCCCTTCCTCTGAGACAACTGGCAAAGAATTATTTCCTAGAATGATTTGCCCAAGTCTAATATATATTATAATTTTATACATACAGTATATATAATTATATAAATTCCTACCAACTGTTTTTCTTCTTTCATTATTAACATAATCTAGCCATTATTCTAACTAATAAGGAACCTATATTTCATAATAAATAGAAACATTTAAATATTAGAAAAAAATCCTTAGCAAAAATATAAATTTTACCTCTTAAACCACCCAAGTTCAAGAAGTTGATAATTCAATTATAAATATTTGAATAAGTCACACCAAGGAGTTGTTAATTCATTTGTAAATTCTTACTGACTATGCAATAACTGGCAAGTTCTGTAAGATGCTATTTATATGGGCTGAACTCATACCAATTATTTATATCCATATATACTGCCCTTTATTTGAAATAATTAAGGAAGATAGCTGCTACTGAAATATGAATTTTATATTTGTTCTATGTGCTGATATCAAGGTTGCTCTTTTGATTAATCCATCCTGACTTTTTCTACCATAATGCAATGATTATGATGCTAAAAATGCACTTTTTGGTTTAATTCCTTGTCAGTTATTTTGTATTACCTATTCCATTGTAAATTCAATCCATATAAAATAACAGAAAACATGCTTTTTGGACACATTTGTGACTTCTTACCCTTCTTCCCCAACAAATGTAACATAGAGTTTATTTCTTTGGAGCTCCTTCCGTGAGTAAGTCATCACTTGATTAAAAGTGCCTTCCAGCAAGTGGTCACGCCTTATTATTAATCTGGAGTCGGGTGAATGAGAAGTAATTATGTAAATTGGATTATCCAACTATTGTTATTGCAGTAATTAATTAAGTATAAAGTTCTCTTCTGCAATAAGTTGCTTCAACATTGTTGAAAGAGTTTTGGCATACAATTTGACCCATTGGTTCTTTGTAAATAAAATAAAGTTATACAGTCTATCAGCAGAGAATTACAATTATAAAATTATAAAATCTTCCTTGTTAGAACTGTGCTGCTAAATAATCACAAAAGAGATTTTTAGTGATAATGCCTCAGCTTTGGAACATTATCACTAAATTAATAAGCTGAAAAATTATTTACATTTTTAGTGCCAATAATTTTATTTGCTCAAGTATTGTAACGTATATAAATCTTTATTATATCTTCTAAAGTTTGATTCCCCATGATTGCCTAACATTAAAGCTGTTTTTTGTGATTGGGTATTGGCTAAATTCAAAAGAACTGACCATAATTCTCAAGCAATGCTTAGCTCTTGTCCGCCCAGAAAATGGTGTTCTGAACTAAGAATGCATTGTTTGGTCTGCTAGGCAAATGGCTGGTTTAGTGGCGAGGAACTGGTCTCTGTGGTTTATTTAGTCCTGGATTAGAAAAGGAGTGATGTGGAATCAACCTGAAACTCCTTGGACAGTTTGTGCCTGGCCGGGGGAGATGAGATTTGGAGGGTTTCATTTCCTTCCCAACCAAAGGAGGGGCTCACACCCTGTCTGCCTAATCTTTGTTCTCAAAGAATGCCTTTGCTTTTAACCCCATCCCCCCCCAAATGTGTATTGCTTAGCTCTCCACAAAAAATATGACATGAAGAACAGATTTTCTTCCTTTACTATATACTGGCTTCACAATTATCACTATTTGCATTTAGATTATATTTACATTTTGCTAACCGTTCTTTGTATTTTTCTGCTTTGCAGAACTGAAATTTTGTTCAACTGAATTCCTTTATAAAAATATTCATATTTGTAGATTATTTAAGTAAATAATATATAGGAATCAATAATAACTACTCACTTAATTTTACCTGGACCCTGGCCATATCCTTTTGCTTCTAGCTTTCGATAAAAGTTGCGAAGCTTAGCTTCAAAGTCTCTCCTGTAAGGAGAAGGTGCTCTTGCACTGGCCCGCTGCAAGCCTGATGAGTACAAACATAAGAAAGAACTTATAATTTGCAGCCACTGGCTTGAATGATCTTCTATCATAATCTTTATATTTAAAAGGCAAACCCTTTTATTTCACATTTGTAGTATATGGGTATCATTCAGCTGTTTAGAAGGGTGTAGATGAGCTTTTGTGAAAAAGCCACCTATCTTAATCAGCACCTGTACTTTGGGGAAAAAAATAGATGTGATTTGCACATATCTGTATCCTTCCATGCCACTTCTGTACCTCTGTCTTAATGTAACTCTGCCAAATGGATAGGACATTGATTAGTGTCTTTGAGATGGGGCAAGGAATTATATAATATAGTGTTATCATATCATAAATAATTAATAATATAAGAAACACCAGCTAAATGAGACTAAATACATTTATAGTAGAACCAAACAACTCTGGAAAACCACAAGGTAAAGACAATAGTTCTCTCCTATGATTATTATTCAAAGGTATTCTACTTCTGATGAAAGAAACAAGACATTATGACTAGCAACCATCTATGTGCATATTTCACATTAATTTATCCTCTCCATCTTTAAATCAGTTCAGATTACCAAGTTCTCTAATGTATGTATGTTATATATGGCAAAGAACTTAATTTTATCTGTCTTAAAATTATCACCATTTGGCATTATTAAATGATACCAGATTCAAATATTGATGTAGAATATTTCACATGGATCAGGAAAGAAAACAATGCTGAGAAACCATTTTTAGAGATCATATAACAATATGTGGAATTCAATCTTGCATCTTCTGGAAATTATTTCTCTGTATATAAAGAATAGTGCCTTGGTTGCATTTTTTAAATTCAAGATTAAAAAAAAAAAAGCTATACTAGCAAACATATACACAACACTACTATGTGGTGACAAGATTTTGATATGCATTTTTTTAATAATGAAGATATTTTCTTAGCATGCCCAAACAAGTCCTCCATTACAAGAAAGCTTTCAGCTATTAGGACTCTAGCTGTAGGTATTCATTTGCTTTGAAGCTAACATCACAAAAGTAGCAAATTAACAGTGCATAAAGTAGGAAAGAAAGTGAGAACTGTCAACCACCTTTCTTTTTTGGCAGAGCATTCCTCAGATGACATATAAACTAAAATATGCATTTATAATGGGTACAAAAATATTAGGGAAAATTTGTTTTAGACAAAGTCTTGTAGGCTGCTATTGATCTGCTTTGAAACACAGAAATAAATTGTTCAGCCTTATGCAAAGAGAATATTGACAAAAATATCTTTTGTCATATTTTTCTATGGAGGAGGGAAGAGAGGGAGATCTAAAAAACAAGGCAGTGTGTGTTCTTTGGCTGCTGTATTTTTTGGAATAGGAATACAAAATAATAGGAAACAAATCTAGCACTTGAGAATCCACTCTCAAGTGCTTTACCTGGAGAATTCTGAGGTGATGAACAGGGTGAACAACGGGGAGAAAAGCTGTAACCAGGATGGAAGGCTGATTGAAGAGGAATGTAGGACATAATGTCTTCTTCAAAAAGACTAGAAGGGAGAGAAATATGAGAACTTCATTATGTGTAAAAATGCCCAGAAATATGAAGTTCAGGGGCAATTTTGGTTTACTTTATGTGTTGTACAGACTGCTTGCCTTAGATGACAACCTCTTAAGAGGGTTTAAAGTTCTTCCAGCCAAAGCAAGTACTGTACAAAAAATTATTTAAGTGAAAGAGATCAAACTTATTTGATCTCCTCAACCAATTCCATGTTAGTGTTTGTAAGTAATATAAGAGAATCTTGGTTTCCTGTTGCTTCTTACAGATTCCAAGTCTGAGAATAAAAATTGAACTAGAAGAGGTTGAACTACAATAGAAGACCTCCAAAGCCAGAATAACTGTGTTATTCTGTTCTGTTCTGAACAAAAAGAACCTTTCTAAATTTGGAAAACTTTCTTTACAAAAAGCCAATACTGCACATAAAATACAAACATATTTTCACCACATATTTCCACTTAATCTTCTCTTTCAAAGGCCATTAATAGGTTGTTCTAGTTCTAGGATTGCTCATACTTTTCTAATAACATTCTTGACCTTGACAACCAAAATTATGTAGAATTTCCTTTCCTTTTTTTTAACGATGAGTTTTATTGATATAAGTATGAAGTAGCTACTCTTGGAAGGAAGGATTTAGATATGGAAAGAAATCATTTAATTATTAAGTATATTGAATTCTGGATTCCAGTGGGGAAAATAGTCAATTACAGTGTCCATAAATTTACGCTGTGTCATAACTGTGATCTTGAGGGAATACTCTTGTCGCTCAACTCATCAGCCAATCAGAAGATCTCCATTTCCATGACTTGTTCATGAGGAATGAGAAACTGGAGGGTAAATTGATTGATTAAGTTCTGGAGAAAGAAACCCACTCCAGAAACTTTTGATTTATGGCCTCTTAAGTGGTTAAAATTTTAAACTCTTTACTGGAACAAGATGTTATTACTGAAGTTGAACAAATTATCTGGAGACAACTGAGATGGATTCACTGCATTTACAAATGTAACTGAATAATCATTTAAAAACTGAAAAATGTTGTGAATTGTTATGTTAAAATGAAATAGAAGACATTTATTGGAGTTACTTCCTGGAAACTATAAACAGATACTAGAAGATACTAGAAGAAAACAGGAGTCAGAAATTTATTTACAGGACTTAAGAATGGTTAGCAGGAAGAAGAAAAAAATATATAAAATTGCTATATCCAAATATGATTAAATAAGGAATTCTTATATTTGGTGAACGTGAACGATTGTTCATTTTGGAAATATCTAATGGGGTAATGGATTAGTTTTTGATATCTAAATGTTGCTATTTTAACCGTTCAGTCCTGTCCGATTCTTGGCAACTTTATAGGCAAGTGCTTTCCATGTTATCCTGTCAAGCACAGTATATTCAGTTGTTCAATGTTCATATTTGTATCAGTTTTGATGTTATCAAATCAGTGAGTTACTTGCTTACCTCTTCTTATTCCACTAGTCATTCCAAAATAGGGGGTGATTATTTTTAATAATGTTTAATATTGTTATGAATGGAACAAAGATTAAATAGAAAAGGTACTCTATTTTTATATTATTGGGTATTTTATAAATTTTTACTGGATCTTTTACTGGATGTTTAATAAGGAAAGGTGAAGATTTAGAAATGAGTTTATAAAAAAGGATATGTAGTATGGATTGAAGAGCTATCTGTTGTATTTTAGGAGACAGTAATGAGTTGTTAATGGAGCCACCTTTGAGTTTTTTGCAAGAAACAAAGAGAAATGTAATTTTGATTTTGATTTTTGATGATTTGAATTATTGGAATTATGGAAGTAATATAGGCTATTGCCAAATTTAGATAAGAGTTGGAGGTACTTTTTATCTATAGCTGGATCAAAGAAAGTCAGAAGCCATTTTTTCTTTAAATTTTCTTTTCTTTTCTTTTTGCACTTTTATCTTGCTTTTTGTCTGATCCTTTTTTTTTCTTTCTTTTTCTTGGTTCTTAACTTTTTATTCCTGTTTTTTTAAATTTAATAAAATTGTACTAGAAATAATTATTGTATATTACCTTAGAAGTATTACTAAATCTGCATCACAGGACAATTTTTCAAGTCCATGTGTACCTTCTGTTCGAATATAATGAATCTTCTCCCTAGGGAATTAACATATATATATATATATATATATATATATAAAAACTGATATACTATTAAAGAAAAGCTAGATACATTCCTTTTGATCTACACTGATCCATTTCTCTTCCAAAAGCTAATATAAAACAGTTAGTGCAGAAACATAAGTTGGTTTTCTCTTATAAAGCTTGGTAATGTTTGTATCCAAATCAACTTACAATGCATGTAAGTTCTGATGAAAAATTCTTTGAAATTAACATTGTTCAGAAATGTGCAGTCCAGATTATACGAGAAAAGGAAAAGTTGTAAAGAAAGTATAGTGGACAGTTATTTGGCAAACAAAATTATAATGGAATAATTGATTAAAAGAGTCTTAAAACATTATTTGAAGTTATTACTGAAATTAGTTTAAAACAAAAGAGAACAAAATAAACAATTTGACAGTCATCATCACCTAATGGAAAATGATCACCTAATGGAAAAGTGTATTTTAAAAACAATTTATTAATGTGACTCATCTAAATTTTATAAATGTTTGTCTTCTGGAACCAAACTGAAGTCTTTGGAAGTAAATATCTTTTTGTCTAGACCTATAAATTAAATCAGACTAGTCAAACAAACAGACAAACAAACAAACAAACAAACAAACAAACAAACAAACAAACACATAAAACACCAAGGAGGAAAAATAAAGCAAGAGAAAGAAGGCAAGCGTGGTTGAAATTTGCGACCTTCACTGTGGCTTCCCTTAACCTGTCAATGGGGGAACCAGAAGGAGGTCAAAAATGGCAACCATATGACATCATATCCAATGACCATGCAAGATTTGCCTAGCAATAATCGGGCTTTGGGCACTTGGTCCGGAAAAGGTTAGCCATCACTGAACTAGTACAAATGACCTGATATACTGATCTCTACCTATCATGCCTAACTTTGAAATTAATCAATCTTTAGATCTACCTTTTTTTAGATTGTAACAATGGTGTTATGGTGGGTTTATATATATGGGCATTTGTCAAGCATCAAATGTTGCCAAAATATGCCCTTCTGGATGGCATTTTAGCTTGGTATTTTACAAATTATCATTGTGATCCAAACATCAGTCAACTAAGGGTGAATGGGCGGCTATACAAATTTTCTCAAATAAATAAATAAATTGACAAGTCATATTTAGGGATGTGGAGTGTTTCAAATCCAAAGATGAAAATGTACTTCAGAGAGAGCATGGATCTGCATTATCACACTATTAGTGTTCTTTGAAGAACCGGAATCTTTTCTTGAGTTACCTCAATAGCCGCTCAATCTCAGGAAAATACATGTTTGGATTAACAAGGAATTTGCAGCATGCAACAAGGCATTTCAGAGTGGATGTAAGCATACTGTCAACATCTATAGCCTTTTCAAGAAGGTGCCAACAGATGTGGCAAGCACATCTGTGTCTACTCCAAAGCATCTTTTCATCTTCTGATATAAAGCACTGTACATTCCAAATTATATTTATGCACCATGATAAGAGATTTCTTAATCTAGTTATAACTGATATTTATACTGCTGATATAAGCTCTTTATTATACATCTACAGTACAAAGTAAAACCACATTACTGTATACTTTTCAGTCCCTAATATTCTGTTGTTCAGTCGCTAAGTTGTGTCTGACTTTTCACAACCCCACATGATTCCTTTCTCCTTCATTTGAGAAATTTTCCCAAATTCATATTCATTGCATTGATGATACTACTGTATCTAACTATCTCATCCTCTATTGTCCCTCTCTTCCACTACTATTTTAAAAGAGTAAAGTATTAGTATTATTAATCAACGGTGTTCTCACTATAGATGTTTTGCAACTAGTCCTCAATATACAACCACAATTGGGATTGGAATCTCCTTTGTAAGTTTGTGCAATCATAAAGCCAGTCATCATATGACCAGACCTGATTTTACTACAATTTTTACCATGGTCATTAAAAGAAAATCACTGCATTTGATTTAAACGAATTACAGGTAGACCTCAACTTACATGACCATTCAAAATTACAACGGCACTAAAAAAAGTGAGTTCTGACAGTTTTTTACACTTATGACCATTGTAGCATCTTCATGGTCATGTGTTCAAAATTTGGAAGCTTACCAGCTGGTTCATATTTATGACAACTGCAGTTTCCTGGAAGAATATAATCACATTTTATGACCTTCTGACAAGCTAAGTCAATAGGCAAACCAGATGCACTTAACAACCATGTTATTAACTTAACTTAACACCAGTAATGAATCACTTAACAACTATGGTAAGAAAGATTGTAAAATGGGACAATGATTCGCTTAACAAATGTCTCACTTAGCAACATACATTTTGGGCTCCATTGTGGTTGTAAATTGAGGACTACCTCTGTGCAGATTAAATTTCTGGTCCCGGTGACCAACACAGATTGGATCTTGAAGTCTAGCTATAAATTAGGTAAACAATAACTTCAATCTTCTAATTGAAAAAAAAGCAAATTAATTTGGAATCTTATGAGCAAAAAGCACATGTTACCTATCTATCTAGTTTCTTATTGTCTATAGTAACCAACAAACTCCATGTTACTCACACTTTGGGTCTTTCCTATCTTAGCTTCATCAGAGTATTCAGTAATTAAGCTATAGACTGTTGTACCTGAGTGCATGGTTCCTAGCCAAACTTGGCTGACGCTCCTGCAGCATTTCAAAAATATTAGGCTGGCGTAGAAATGCGACTATTTTGTCATTGTATGCTGAAAAAGCACAAAAACATCCCAGTTTGAAATCATTCTTCTGTTTTATTTATTTTTTCTTAAATTTTGTTTTATAAATTATAAAATATGCAAATGCTTTAATAATTTGAAAACAATAGCACTTCATTTATGTTCTCATGAATTGCAGAGCATCTCGCTGAAATATTTTGCACAGCTACATGTCTATGGAGATTTTCAATCATCCAGGTCATATTGTCCCAAAAATGCTTTTTTCAAATGTTTCGCTTCTCAATCAAGAACTGAACTGAACAAGCTTCTTGGATGAGAAGCAAAACGCTGCCAAAGGAAAAAAAACCCAAGACAATCCAGTTGCCTTTTCGTAAAAGAACCTTTGGTCCTTTACATATAACAGATATGCTACTGACCAGAATTCATAGCATAATGATAGGGAATATATTGTCACAGCATACTCACTCAGGGTTTAGGATTGTTCATGCTACTCTAGGCACCGGAAAAGACGCCTGGAGAGCAATTGGAGGGCCAGCCTTTCTGAATCTGACCGGACACTGGTAAGATCTCATATTAAGAATTACCTAGTGGCGATAAAAGCAGCAAAGTGTAATTATTTTGTTGCTCTTATTGTGTCATCAGATAACCGCCTAGCCGCCCTATTTAGGGTGACCCGCTCCTTGCTCTACCAGGGAGTGCAGGAGGACCCCTTGGAGGGTAGAGCTGAGGACTTTGTACAGTATCTGCATGACAAAATCACTCAGATTCGGGAAGACCTGGACTCCAACTGGGTAGTTCCAGGGCGGATGACTGAGGCAGGTCTTGAGAATGTTATCTGGGATGAGTTTGATCCTGTGACTCCTGATGACGTGGACAGGATTCTGGGTAGACTGAATGCGACCACATGTTTGTTGGACCCGTGCCCCTCCTGGTTAGTGCTGGCTTCTCGGGAGGTGACGTTAGGCTGGCTCCAGGGGATTATAAATGCTTCATTGGGCGAGGGTGACTTCCCCGCCGCCTTGAAATAGGCGGTGGTGAGGCCTCTCCTCAAGAAGCCTTCCCTGGACCTGGCAGTGTTGGCTAACTATCATCCAGTCTCCAACCTTCGCTTTGTGGTGAAGGTTGTTGAGAGTGTGGTTGCGCGACAGCTCCCCCAGCACCTGGATGAAACGGTGTATCTGGATCCGTTCCTGTCAGGCTTCAGGCCTGGGTACAGCATGAAAATGGCATTGGTCGCGTTGGTTGATGATCTCTGGAGGACTCGGGATAGAGGTTGCTCCTCTGTCCTGGTCCTATTAGATCTCTCAACGGCTTTTGATACCATCGACCACGGTATCATGCTGCACCGGTTGGAAGAGTTGGGGGTGGGGGGCACTGTGTTGTGGTGGTTCTCCTCCTTTCTCTCCGACCGGTTGCAGTCTGTGTTGGCAGGGCGGCAGAGGTCGACCCCGAGGTGCCTCATATGTGGGGTGCCACAAGGGTTGGTCCTCTCGCCCCTTCTGTTCAACATTTATGTAAAGCCGCTGGGCGAGATCATCCTTGGTTTCGGGGTGGAGTACCATCAGTACGCTGGCAACACTCAGCTGTACATCTCGACCCCGGACCACCCCAACGATGCCCTTGAAGTGATATCCCGGTGCCTGGAGGCCGTGTGGATCTGGATGGGGAGAAACAGGCTCAGGCTCAACCCATCCAAGACCGAGTGGCTGTGGTTTCTGACGTCCCGATATAGTCAGTTGGTGCCATCACTGACTATTGGGGGAGAATCGCTGGTCCCCACGGAGAGGGCTCGCAACTTGGGTGTCCTCCTGGATTCACAGCTGTCTTTAGAAGAGCACTTGACGGCCGTGACCGGGAGGATTTTTCATCAGGTTCGCCTGATTCGCCAGTTGCGCCCCTTTCTGGATCGGGACTCCTTACGCACGGTCACTCATGCCCTCGTCACTTCCCGCCTGGACTACTGTAACGCTCTCTACATGGGGGTCCCCTTGAGGAGCACCCGGAGGCTCCAACTGGCACAGAGTGCGGCCACGCGGGTGGTTATGGGAGCGACATGGCGTTCCTATGTAACACCTCTCCTGCGCGAGCTGCACTGGATCCCGATGGTCTTCTGTGTGCGCTTCAAAGTTTTGGTTACCACCTTTAGAGCGCTCCATGGCTTAGGACCTGGTTATCTATAGGACTGCCTGCTGCCACCAGTAGCCTCCCACCGGCCGGTACGCTCTCACAGAGAGGGACTCCTCAGGGTGCCATCGGCCAAACAATGTCGACTGGCGACACCCAGGGAGAGACCCTTCTCTGTGGGGGCACCTACTATCTGGAATGAGCTCCCCCGGAGATACGGAGAATCCCGGATCTGCGCACCTTCCGCCGCGCTCTCAAGACTTTTTTATTCCATCAGGCTGGCCTGGCCTAACTTTCCCTTTTTCCCTTTTAAAATGTAAATTTTAAATCTGTTCTTAATTATTGGGGTGTTTTAAATCTGTCTTGGGCCAAATTGTTTAATTCAGTTTTATTTTGCTTTTAAATTTTGTATTTATGTATTTTATATTGTGGCTGTTCACCGCCCTGAGTCCTTCGGGAGTAGGGCGGTATATAAATCAAATAAAACCTAAACCTAAACCTAAACCTAAACCATTTAATTCTGCTTGCCTCCTTGTACTAGTTGAGCAGCAGGACAGAGAATGTCTGACCTTCATTTAGCCTATGGATATTCTATCAAGGTCTCTCCCTTCCTACAACATCCTTTCTTTCACCTGTCCCTGGAGATGTAAGAGACATAGTAAGAGACATAATAGATATAACAGACTTCTCAGAGCCAGAGTAAGAGAATTGTCATTTATAAAATATAACAGGGACAGGAATTTCTGCACATTCCTCAACTATAATTGATTTGAACACCCCCACTGTTTCCAGACAAGCTCTGTCCCCCGATTGCTTCAAAAAGCAAATTCCCCAGGCTTAACTGGAGTGAGCAAAAAGATCAAAGAATCTTTTCTTGAATTAGTTTATTTATTACTTGATTACTGAAGTGCACACAGCCAATATCCTGGATTCTGAAACCTAATCCCTTTTTTCCTTTCAATACATATGGTTAATAAGATCCCAAAAGGATCCAGACTCTAGAGTCTGCAAGGGAAACTGGATGTGTGTACCTTAGCATTCCATTGTCAGTAAATTTCTTCAGGCAGAAACTGTCTGACCTTCTTGCAAAAGGGGTAAGACTGCTGCTTGTTTCTCTAATATAGGAAAAATATGCTGATGTTCTTTAGTATTTTGCATCATTCTGTTTTCCAGACTTTGAGAAGTCTACTATAAGAGCCACATTGGAAGTACTGCAGTTGCTTTAGCTGTCCCACAACTTTTTTGAAATATTTTGGCTTATATTATGCAAAGATAGCCAAGTGGGAATAAATAGGTATGCGTTCTACTAAGAAAAAAAAATAAGACTTGCATTTGGGCCTATTCTTTAGCACATCCATGATTTGCTGTTCTGAAAACAAACAAACAAACAAAAAACTTCTTTAAATTCCAAAAGGGTGTGCCTAAGGAAGCCCGTCCCAGCCCATCTGAAGTAACAATTTATTTAACATTTTTCCTTGCCTTGTCATATGCTGTTTTTATGTATGCTATATTTATAGATGTGGTCCCTATGTTTTATGGATTTAATAGTTTTTGTTTTCATATGTTATGAGCTGTGTTGTAAAGTATAAACCAGAAAGATTGCTTATACATAATGGCATTAATACATGAATGCAATATATTTAGAGTGATTTACCAATAGCTAAATTAGATATTCAATACCACTGCTAAATCTGGTAATTATGTTATTTCTAAAGAGTTCTAGCCAAGAGGATGGGAAGGTACGATTTCCAATGAAGCAGCAGTTTTATTGCTTGTTAATGAACACTTTCTTTGTTGTGGTTCAGTACCCAGAAGGGATTGATAAACCTGTTGCAATAACTCATTCGTCCATTAAATGAAGCCACATTTCTTAAATGAAAAAATAACAGCAGAAATTGCAGTAAGCCTTTTATTTTGACTAAGAAAATTTAGTAAATATTATCTGAACTCACTTGAAAAGCAGTGATACATACCAAGAGGCAAGGATTCATGATGGTGCTGATTTCGAATTGCTGCTACTAGGCTGTTGGCTGGTCTGGTCAACAAAGAAACCCCTCTGTTTCGAGAGACTTCTGATGCCTGAAATAAAGAATTCCTATAATTATATTGTGAGTATTGAAAGAAAAAAGTTGAACTGATTTTTTAAAAAAAAATATATGTATTTATAAAAAACCATAGCCAAGACAGAATATGCAAACTAGCGAAGTGTTGAAAAAATGAAAATACTGTATTTTTTGGAGTATAAGACAAACTTACCCCCCGTAAAAGAGGCTGAAAATTTGGGTGCGTCTTATACTCCGAAAGTAGCTTTTTTGAAGCTTTTTTTCAGCCCTAACGAGGTGCTCGCGAGTGAAGCGATCTTCCGGCTTTGCCTGCTCCCTCCAATTCTCAGCTGTGCTTTAGAACCTTTTTTTCAGCCCTAACAAGAGCAATATCCGTGCTTTGCCTGCTTTTCTCATTGCTGCTCCCTCTTAGCTGTGCTTTAGAAGCTATTTTTCAGCCCTAACGAGGAGCTAGCGAGTGAAGGATCTTCTGAGCTTCACCTGCTTTTCTCATTGCTTCTCTCTCCAAAGATCAGCTGTGCTTTAGAAGCTGTTTTTTATCCCCAAGCAGGGGATAAAAAGTGCATGCGTGCGCTCAAAACCAGCAAACTAATGTGCTGAAGCTGATCAGACTAAGGACACTAGCCAGATGAATACCTGGTAGGCAGATTTTTTCCCCCCTATTTTCCTCTAAAAAAACCTAAGCTGCGTCTTATACTCTAGTGTGTCTTATACTCCGAAAAATATGATATTACTTTGTTATTTGATGGCATGAGAATATTTAAAATCATTATCCCACTTTAGGCTACAGTCTTGTAATTTTTTATGATTTTACTGATTCGGGAAATGTAATGAAAAAAAAATCTTCCAGTGGAATTAGGATGTAGGCATGAAAGTTATCATTTCTCTTCTCTGTCTAGTCAGCATGACTACATACAATAATCTTAAAGAATAAAATTCTTAACTATCATGTGTATTGAATAGAATGACTGGATTAGGGGTAGCAGTGTAGAAAGTGCAATTATTTATTTATATTCCATACTTCTTATGAAAGAATGAAATTTACATACATAAATAACTAAATATCCTTTTTATATGTGGCACTAGGGTGGACCTGGCTACTTGAACCTCCTCTTCTCTCGGAGGCACACCCAGGCAGATAGAAGGCTGCACACAAAGCGACCTGAGAATTTCTGTCACTGGTCCAAAGTGCTTTATTCCCAATTAGGGACAGCTGACACAGGTCCTATTCACAGTTCTCTGCTCTTGAATATAATTTGTATAGAAATTAACTTCAGCCATAGTGGCACCACTAAATGTGCCCAGCAGAAAGGAAAATTAAATTGAGGCCCAGGTACTTCAGAAACAAGGGTCAGAGAAAAGATATGAATACATAAGGGCAATTCATCCCATGGCAAATTGCCCAGGGCCATGTGGCAGGGGAGGAGTGGTGAGGAAGGAGGGGAGGGGAATGGGCAGCTGGGGAAGATCACCTGTGGTGGATCAGCTGGACCATTGGGCCAGGATGAAGCAGGTAGGGCCAGGAAGCTGTGGTAAATTGACCCATTCGAAATCAGAAGATGGAGGCCATGGCATTAATAACTAATCTCATTATTTCTATGATTGACATAGAACTGTGCTCCCTATGAGGCTGCCGGTAGAAACTGTAGGCTACAATCAAGCATAGAATTGCACTAGGCAGCCTTTTACTGGATGAGACCTATTGGATTAATATAACATTTCTCATGTGGCACAGTATTGCCTATCAGTAGGCTACTAATCAACCCCTTGTCACATATGAAGCTCTATATGAATTGACACCTAGATAATTATAGGACTGGCCATTTAAAACTTGATCTATAAAGAATGCACTTCACAATTAAAGTTTTTAAGAGGACCTCTACTATGAGAAACTTTGGGTGGGGAAGTGAAAAATCCCCCCCCCCCGATTATACACTGTATAAAAGACTTCACTCCCAAAAATTCAGATAGAATCATACATGATGGACATTAGGAAGATAATGTCAAGTCAAAATGGAGCTGTTCCAGACAGTATTTCCCATTTGATATGACTGAGCTGAATTGAAGCTTTATTGTATGTTTGTAGAATATTATGTCTAATTATTATTAATATTATGTCTATTATGTTTTAAAAATTACTTTTATGTTTATTAGAATTTGATGCAATCCACCAAAAATCCATATAGAATCAGCAGTATGCAAATGTTATAACCAATACTATTTCCAGTTTCCCTGTTTTTTTTACAGGTGTAAATCTAACAACTATATAAGATGGTCAGGCTGTATAAACCCATGTAAAACTGCTACTAACATGCAGATTAATTTCCCAGAGATAAGCAAATAAATAATCAGTTGTAATTCCTTTAGAAAAAGTCATATAACAGTGCTATTTAAAGCTCACACTAAAAATTAGCATCTGCTTTTACTAAAATAAATCTGAAGAAATTCTTAGGTTCTATTTAGGTTATATTTATGTACCTCTCCAGCGCTGTAACTACGGAGTCTCTGAAGATGCTGCCTGTGGGTCAAATGATTGGGTAGACGGCCATTCTGAAGTGGAATTCTGGGATCAATGAAAGTGGTAGCACGACTATTGTGGTCAACAAAGAAAGACTGCAATAGAAGAATACTAAGAATCAGAAATAATAGTAAGAGAGCTACTGAGTTGGTAATATAGGCTTTTTAAAAAAAATTTATAAAAATTTATAAATTTTAAATTTATAAAGTTTACTTTATTTAAAGGTAAGTTTTTGTGAAAATTCCTAATAAAAAAGTTTCGGGTCTCTTATCTATTTGTAATTTGGTGATTTGTTCTAGCCATTTCTTAATATTGGACCAAAATTTCTTTGCTGCCGGGCATGTCCACCATAGATGGTAAAAGGTGCCTTGTGGATTTTTGCATTTCCAACACACTGAACTGTTTTTCGGGCTTATTTTGGCCAATCTTGTAGGTGACATATGCCACCTGTAAAACATCTTTAGCTGGTTCTCCTTGTATGCCACCGCCATTGTTGTTTTTGTGTTCAATTGCCAGAATTCTTCCCATCTCTCCAATTCTATTGAATATTTAAAATTTTGCATCCATTTAATCATCGTGTTTTTAACTATTTCCTCCTCCATCTTATATCTCAGCAGAAATTTGTAAATTTTACTAATTAGTTTCTCTCCAGAATCTAATATAATTTTATCTAGTTCCTGTTTTTCTTTACATATTTCATACATTTTTATATATTCCTTATGTTTCGATTGTATCTGTGAGAAGGTCCACCAATCAATTTCTCTATTTAACTCTGTTTCCAATTGTTGTTTGGATTTCAGTTTTCCTTGAGGGTCAATTAGGTCTTTATATCTAATTATATTTTTGGGTTCTATCAGGTTTGGATGTTTTAAGGCTTCTGAAGGTGAAAACCAGATCGGGATTTTTGTATATTGTTGTTTTTTAATTTTTAACCAGATTAGTAATAAAGCATTTCTAAGTGTATGTCTTTTAAAATAGGTGTGTGACTTGTACTTTTCATCCCATAAGAAGGAATGCCAGCCCATTTGTAGGTCATGGCCCTCAATAGATAATATTCTGCTATTATTCAATTCCATCCAATCTTTAACCCAAACTAGTCCCGCCGCTTGGTAATAAAGTTCCCAATCTGGGAGTGCTGTTCCTCCTCTTTCCTTGGAGTCCTGGAGTAATTTTAAACTTATTCGTGGACGTTTCCCCTGCCATATAAATTTAGAAATCATCTTGTTTAAGCTCACAAAAAAGTTTTTTTCTAATTTTATTGGAGCGACTTGGAACAGGTATAGCAATTTTGGTAGTGTATTCATTTTAATAGTAGAGATTCTTCCCATAAATAAGATTTGTAAGTTTTTCCAATTGTCCAGATCTTTTTTTATCTGTATTATTAGTTTGTCATAATTATTTTCTTTTATAGAGGACGTTCTTGGTGACAGCCAGATACCTAAATACTTAATTTTATTGGTCGCTTGAATTTGTATACTATTCTCCAATTCTATCTCCTGAGTTTTCTTCAGGTTTTTAACTAGTAACTTTGATTTATTTCTATTTATCTTTAAACCAGCCACCTCTCCATAATCTTCTATTTTCTTAAGCAGCTTTAGTACTACTTCTAACGGTTCCTCTGCTATAAGTAAAAGATTGTCGCCAAAAGCCTGGGTCTTGTATTCTTCTCGTCTCACTTTTAATCCTTTAATTTCTTGGTCCTCCCTAATTTTTTTTAGTAAGATTTCCAAAGATAGAATATACAGTAATGGGGAGAGTGGGCAGCTTTGTCTGGCCCCTTTTGTTATATCAAATTGGTCTGTCATATCATCATTCAGAATTACCTTTGCTATTTGTTTTGTGTAAATTTCTCCTATAATGTTTTCCAAATTCGGTCCAAATTGCATACTCCTTAACAGTTCTTTTAGGAATTTCCAATTTAAATTATCGAATGCTTTTTGGGAATCAAGGAAAACCAGCGCAGATTGTTTCTCTGGGTGGGCTTCGTAATATTCAAGTGCATTTATTATCACTCTCATATTGTTCTTAATTTGGCGGCCCGATTGGAATCCATTTTGGTCCAAATGAATGTAATTGTTCAGTACTTTTTTAAGCCTTTCCGCTATAATTATGGCAAACATTTTGTAATCTGTATTTAGTAGAGATATCGGCCTGTAGTTTTGGATTATTTGGAGATCAGTGCCCTCTTTAGGTATGATGGTAATTATTGCTTCCATCCAAGTCCGTGGAATTTTTGCCTTCTCTAAGGCCTCGTTGTATAACTCCAACATAGTCTCTCCTATTGTTTCTTGCACTGTCTTGTATAGTTCCCCCGATAGTCCATCAGGTCCCGGAGTTTTATTATTCTTTTGTCTTTTCAGTGCTGTATCCAATTCCAACATGGTTATTGGTCTATTTAACATTTCTCTTTGTTTGTCTGTAATGTGAGGCATGTCCGATCTTTGTATGTATTGATGTATCTTTTCTACTTCTACTTCTTGTTTGTATAAGTTGGCATAGAATGTCTGGATGATTTCTTTTTTCTCTTTCCTGCTATAATGAATTTCCCCATTTGAATCTCTAAGTTGATATATCATTCTTTTATCTCTGTCTTTTTTCAATCTATAGGGCAGCTATCTTCCTGTTTTGTTCGCAAATTCGAAGTAATTCTGCTTGACCATTTTTATTTTCTGTGCTAATTCTTTTTGATTCATCAAATTTAAGTTATGTTTTATTGCTTTCCATTCTTCCTTTATCTTTTTGTTCTGGGGGTTTTATTGAAGTTTATGTTCTATATTTTTTAAATCTTCGTGGAGTTTATTTAGCTGCTGTTTTCTTTCTTTGTTCTTTTTCCCTGTGTATGCTATAGTCAGACCCCTTATATATGCATTTGCCGTGTCCCATGTATTCTGAATTGAGGTGTCTTCTTTCTTATTTATTTTGAAAAACAGATCTAATTCTTTTTCTAGCATTTATTTAAATTCTTTTTGTTTACAAATTCTTTGATTCATTGTCTACCTTCTAAACCTTTTAACTCCTTTCCAGTTTACCAGAATTGGGTTGTGGTCTGCCCATTGATTTACTTCTATCTCTGTTTTATCCACCCCGTTTCTGATATTCGTGGTCATCCAAGCCATATCAATCCTGGACCAGGATTGGTGGGGGTGAGAATAGAAAGTGAACTGGTTCTGATCTTCATGAGTTTCCCTCCAAACGTCTCTCAAATTTATTTCCATGGCCATGTCAAAAAATTCTTTGGGAAGAGTCTCCTTTTTTCTCTTGTTCTTTTTACTCGTTTTATAATCTTTTTTCACATCTACTATCGCATTGTAATCTCCAATTAAGCAAATATCTTCGTATTCCAGTTCAACTATTTTATTGTGTAAGCCCTTGAAAAATTCCTGTCGGTTTTGGTTAGGTGCATATATTACTACTAACAGTATTTTCCTATTTTCCAATACTAATTCAATCATAACTGTTCTGCCATCTTCGTCTGCATATAAATTTCGAAAGGATCCAATTTTTAACATAAACCGTCACACCTCTGTTCTTTTTTGAAGTCAAAGATGTATATAGTTTCCCTAGTTTTGAATTTTCTAAGATTTTTTGGTGTCTTTTTTTTATATGTACTTCCTGAAGACAAGTCACATCCCCTCTTATTTTTCGTAGTTTTGTAAAAATTTGGGATTTTTTTTTGGTGCGTTCAAGCCATTAATATTTACAGAAAAAAGTTTCAGGGCCTCTTCCATTGTCTAATGTAGTTGTTTTTTTGTATGTCTTGTTTCCATCCGCGTTTTTGTCCTCGCGCCTCTCTCTTCTCTTTCTTTTTCTTGACTTGTCCTTACTTCCTTCTCTTGTGTTACCTCTATTTGAACTTCTTCTTGACTTCTGCTTTCTGTTTCTTCTTTACTTTCTTGGTCATCTTCCTGGTTGAAGTGTGAGTTGTAAAACTCTCTTGCTTTCTCTAATGTATCTATTTTGTATTTTTTGTCTTCCAAGGTGGCCAGAATCCCCTCCGGTGTTAGCCATCTAAAGGCTATTTTGTATCTATTCAGCTGATTTGTTAGGAACTGGTATTGTTGACGTTGGTTCCTGATTCTTCGGGGTATTTGTTTTAAGACTATGATTTCTTTGCCTTTATATGTCAACGTCCCTTCTCTGGATTTCATATATACCTCATCCCTGGTTGATCTTTTTGAAAATTTAACGTGTACTTCTCTTGCCAAACGGTGCTTTCTTATGTAATTTGTATGGACACGATAGGTTTCGTCTATTTGTCCCTTTATGTCCAATTTATCTTTTTCTGTTATTTTTGCTATTATCTCTGCCATTTTTCTACCAAGGTCTTCATCTTTCTCTTCTGGTATATTTTGGAACTGCAGAAAATATGAAGCTTTTTCCATCTTGAGAATTGCTAAGGAATCAGACAGTTCTTTGTTTATTTGAGAAGTTTTCTGTTCCATTGCCTCTACTTTTGTCTCTACTGAATCTATTTTAGCTTCTGCGTTCCTAATTCTTTGTTCATTTTCAGTTATTGATTGTTGTATGTCTCCAATTCTGTCATTCATATATTTAATATCCCCCCTAACTTCTCCAATTTCATTTTTAATTTCTGTGTGGAGTGATCTCATTTCTTCCTGGTTCTCTGCCATCTTTTCTTGTGTTTTTAATAACATTTCTTGTATCATCGAAAACATACTTTGCATAGCATTTAAAGTCATTTCCGTTTTTTCTTTCTCCTTTTCTTTTCCTACCATACTATCTAGTGTTTTTTGTTGTAATGGTGATGCCACCCCTGTTGTAGTATTTACCACTGTTTTTTTCCCTGTTTTCGTTATAGTAGATATTGTTGACATCTTTAATGCTCAAGAAAAATTTTCCCAGGCTAACATATAATTATTAAATGTTAATTTTCTATCCTCTGTTTCTTTAAATTCTTCAGCTAGTTTTACTTCTATTCTTATAAACTATCACACTTTAATCCCACAGTAATTATTTGCTAAACAGTCGGCTTTACTAAATCAATAATTAATTTAATATTCAATCAATTATCACCTCTTATTTTGCAATATCAATCAAAGAGTCTTAGTTATATTTCATTCAATCCCCTTCCTCTTTTTCCAAATTCTATAAAATCACAACACAATCTATATTTAAAGATTATAAATTATGAATTGTAAGTTATACAATTATAAATTGTAATGTGTATTTCTTCTATCCGTTTAGAATTTCTATTTACTTGCTATCTATACAGTATATACAATATATACAATATGCCCAAACTGTTGGCAGATAAAGACTAAAGAAAAATTACCCCCCCCTTTTTTAGTTGTACTTAGCGTTTTTAGTCCAGTCTCTTCAGTAGCTTAGATATGGCTACTCCTGCTTTCCATTCAAATCCATGTTTCTCCTCTTCCATCTTAGTTTTATCACTACAGTCATTAATAGCCCCAAAAGGCAACTTAATGTTCTTTCAATTCGCCTTAACGCTCAGAGTTCTGTGGTTTATTTATTTATCTTCTTCTCTTGTACTTATTTCTCCACCACTCGGCTGCTTTTCAGAGACTTAGAGTCACTCGTTTCAATACAGCTTAGTCATTCCACGAGGTTATACTTCCTCCGCTGCTGCTCTGTCCTGGCTCGTGCGCTCCTCTCGTAAATCGCTGCCACAGGTTGAATTGTCAGATCGTGCCCCTTCTCGTCCGCGTTCCTTCTTGTCTCGCCACTTCTGGGGGTTCTCTGCTCCGCTCTGCAACTCGAAACCGCTTTCCACTTCACTCTAGATGGCCGCCATCGCTCCTGTCTGCCCTAGGGGTGGACTTCTTCTCCAGCAGATTCGAGGAGTTGTCTTGTGTCCTCTCCGATGCTAGTGCTGCGTCCAGGGGCTTTAAGGCTTCCCCTCATTTCCTGATCTCTATGGGATCGGAAAAGCTCGTAAAGAGCTTCTATTAGAGAATGTTTGGGTTCCAGAGATGGCAGCTGCCATTTCCTCACCCTCCTCATGATGTCGTCACCGCCGGAAGTCTAGTTGGTAATATAGGTTTTAACATGATTTCTAACCTGATTTTTTTAGTTTAAGAAATTAAATGGTTAAATACAGCATGACTAATGTATGTATAATTTTTTTTCCACAGAATTAAATACCAACTTCATTTTATTCCTGTACCTTGCCTTGTTGATCGGTTTTGATTTCCCATCCTCGCGGGAGTTCCAACCTTGTATCAGCAAACATGTTGATGAAATTTACTAGGTCCCTATTATGCTGATACCGTTCAAAATTTCGAGCATCTCTGCGGATTTTCAGAATCATATGTTTCAAACAGGTGCTATTGGTGAAAACTCGATAGGCACTCTGAATACAAAGAAAAAAAGTGGGAGAATTCAAATGCATTGTTGTAAAGTAACCATGATACACTTTTGCCAAACAAAACCCCAACGTATTAATCATGTGTGCCTTTTTAATATAGCAATTACCTACAGCAACAATGAACAGCAAATACCAATCCGGCAAAGGTTCTCCTAACAACAGTCTCAATTGCTCTGCCAGTAGAAACTAAAGTTCCAGAAGGGTTAGGGTTAGAACAAGTATACAGGTAGTTCCTGATTTACAACACTTCACATAGTGACCATTCGAAGTTACAACGGCACTGAAAAAGGGCTTATGATCATTTTTCACACTTATGACCATTGCAGCATCCTCTTGGTCATCTGATCTGCGTTCAGATACTTGACAACTGACTCACATTTATGACAGTTGCAGAATCCTGGGGTCATGCGATCTCCTTTTGTGACCGTCTGACAAGCAAAGTCAATGGGGAACCCAGATTCACTTAACAACCCTGTTACTAATTTAACAACTGCAGTGATTCAGTTAACAAATGTGGTGAGAAAAGTCATAAAATGGGGCAAAAATCATTTAACAAATTTCTCACTTAGCAACATAAATTTTGGGCTCAATTGTGGTCATAAGTTGAGGACTACCCATAGTTCAATTTCCTCCTTCCAAGTCTTGCTACAAAGTCACCCGAGCACTCAGTGCAATTCCTTCTCATGCCCATGCCTGAATCCTCTCTGAATTCCTATTATTTTTTCAGAGTTCTTTGCAATTGTCATTATTAATATACTAATAAATATTCTTCTTTGAATCACATAATTATCAGCCTTTGCTAGTTCATGAGTGACCACCTTTTTCTACATTTTTGAAGGATATTGTCTTTCTTCTTTTCATCTTTTCAATTTTTAGGTTAGAATAGTTACAGATACTGTAACATAGCAGTTCACAAGCTTGAGGAGTGGGAACTTGTGGTTCTCCTAGCAGCACTCTCAGCAATCCCAGACAAGATGGTCAGCTGCAAAGGATGATAGCACTGATCACTGACCAAAATTCAGAAGGTCAAGGGTTTTCTACTCCTATGCTAAGTGCTAGGTAAGCTAACCAAGCCATTTTGTCCTCTATGAAAATTAATGAATCCAATATTTTGCACGTGCCTGAGACCATAAATAAATGTACCAAGTTGCTCACAACTATGATTAGTACGATAACCAATTGCAGAGTAGCTAAATATTCAGTTACCAGAACAAATCTTATGATTTGGAAAATAATTACTAAACTTTTGGCAAGAAGTTCATAAATTCAGAGCAAATTTCAGATGAAATGTGGGTAAAGTTCTACTATTTATTATTAGAATACATTCAGTCAAATATCCATATTCTCAACAAGCGAGCTTCTTTATATGTTCTACAGACAATTCATTGTCCCACTACAACAGGGGTCAGCAACCCACGGCTCTGGAGCTGCATGTGGCTCTTTCATCCCTCTGCTGCAGTTCCATTGATCAAAATATGTGTTACAACTGCCAATGTGCAATACCCGCTGGCATGCGATTTATTGAGCTTTTCGACCCCCAGTAGGCCAACCATGGATAAATCCAAGAAAAGAAAAGTTTCAGAAGAAAACAGAACATTTAATTCAACTACATATGCTAGTTCTGTGGCCTCACAGGAAATATTCAGGTACGGGAAATGATTCCAAAATACATACTAGCACATGTAATTACTTACTGTAGGATGGAAATAGGCAAATGTGTATTCTCTGTTTTCAACTCACTCTTTCTGATTAATAATGACAGGCTATGGAAACTATAATCCAAAACCCACAGTAAATATTCTTTATTTAGGGAAGTGAGGTGTTAGGCTCCCAGTGTTTTCTTTTCTGTGGGTCCAAATGGCTCTTTGCGTGTTTAAGATTGCCGACCTCTGCACTACAATATCAATAAGGGGAAGCACCAGGCCTCTATTGAGGCCTACATATTGTGAAGGTTTAGAAAAAGGGGATTACATAAGGATATAATAAAATAAAATCACTAATTTAAAAAAATCTGTAAACTGATGGATTAAACTATTCAGCATAATATCTCTATTTCTCATTCTCCAAAATAAAACTACTAAATCTGTTAAAGATGGAAATAATGCCTTGAATTATATTCAACTAAATCTGTGGCACATCTCCTTTTCTCATAAAATCTTTTGGAAAATTGAGGAATCCTCTGGAGGAAAATTAAGGGAATTCATGGATTGAATCTAAGTGAAAGTCTTACTGCAAAAAGAATAAGCTTACATAACACTGAGTGAATCATGTTGATATTTAGACTCTTTTTTTCTTGAAATTTTATATTTAAGAGGAATTATTCAGACCAAGATAACAATTTGATTTTTGTTCTTATTGGAGATTTGGAGATTTAAACACAAAGCCAGCTGGGTGACAGCTTGGGCCAGTTGTGCTCTCAGTCCTAGAAAGATGGCAGTGGCAAACCAAGAAACTACAGGGGCTTGCCCAAGCATTACCAGGAATTAAAGCTTTCTTGAAGGCACACATTTATTATTTATAAGGCCCAAAAAACTGAATGACCAATAGCTGGCAGCAATACAGTTAAACCTATAAATAATGTCTACTCTGTTACAATTAAAATTTTGCAATGAAATTAAAAGCAGGAGAGGTCTATCTGCTGTGTTTGTTCCTGAATGCTGAAACGGAACAATCTTAATATAGACCTATTGCCTATAGATTTATTTGTATACAAATAGTGATGTATACACCACCTTTTCAGATTCTAAATATAGAACTTTATGCTGTATACACCACCTTTTCAGATTCTAAATATAGAACTTTATGGTTCTATATCTTATTGCCTATGCTTATGATTCTGGTGTACTGATTAATTGTATCATTTGCTATATTTTTTGCTGTAGTAATACACAAGACCCAAGACCCATCTGTATGTAACGGGATCCCCCTTGTGTTCAAGGCAACCTTATAAAAGTACTTTGGTTAACTAATATAGTCACATAGAATCAGTCATTTTTGTAAATGGGTTACCTGCTTTTTAATTTTGGTTTGTAGATATCTAGGACTATATATATTTGGAGATCATTAGTTTAAGTCTGGTCATTCCACTAGCACTAAATAATCTTTTTAATAGCTTTCTATAAACATAATGCAGACAGATTTCATAATTTTAAAAAAGATCTTCAAGGAAATAAAATACTTGTTTATTATTGTAACTCCAACTGCTGACAATATTTTCCAACTTATTCATGGTTATAATTAATCCTTCTAATACTAATTCAAGGTTGTGACGTTAAGCTTGAATGCATGTGGCATACTTATTTTACAAGTAGAATCTGAATGAAAAATGATTGGTTTGGTCATTTTGCTTTCTTTGGTGAATTGTAGGTTTAAAAAAAGGTTGTTTTATAACAAAAAAAATATATACTCCTGTTGATAAAAGTTATTGATATTAGTCAAAATCACACTCATCATTTAGAATAAATCAAATACCTCAATTACAGAAAATGAATTTTAAAGAAAGACAATCCCCTATGAAGCATTATAATATTTTAGTTAGAGAAAACTTGAACTATTTTTTTAACCTGTGTCTTTCATTTCTGTGTAGTCAGTTATAACCAAAGTATATGTATCTATCAAAATAGATATTTCTTTACTACTGTTCTCAATTTTTATTTTCTTATCAATTTTTTGTCAAGGAGATGTCACACTTTTTATTACAAAACTGCTAGCATGCTGCAAATGATTCCAAAATACATACTAGCACATGTAATTACTTACTGTAGGATGGAAATAGGCAAATGTGTATTCTCTGTTTTCAACTCACTCTTTCTGACTAATAATGACAGGCTATGGAAACTATAATCCAAAACCCATAGTAAGTATTCCTTATTTAGGGAAGTGAGGTGTTAAGCCCCACAATAGTCTGGCATGAATACGTCTTGAATATACCACGTTGCTCTCTTTTATGTCACAGATTTTGGGGGAAATAAACTTCCATATTGTGATGCATTTTTCTATTTTTGTAGAAGTCTTTGTGCCATGCATGATATATTTTTTAATTCAAGAATCCAATAAAATATATAAGAAATAATCTAGGATTTGAAATCTTGAGATTCTTGTTTCAGGACTAGAGAAATATTAATTTCTTCCATGTTTTACACAGAAGTATATTAGCAGATTGTATCTGTGTAAAACTATGTTTGTATAAAATACAAGATGCATAATGTATAGTATATGCTAACATGCTGATGACTAAGTCGCATACTATCAATGGTTCAACAACCAGAAAAAAATGTTGTGCTTTATAACTGCTAGTGACACATTGTGACTTCATCTTGGATCCATGTCAAAGGCAACCAACCATACGTTACTGTAAATGGTGATAACATTGCAGATGAATACTTATTAAACAATAAATACTCAGTATTGAAACAAAATAAGTTTGTAGGCTTTATTTTCTGGATTGCTGCAAAGTAACTTTCTGGTGTGGCTGATTCAGGTGAAAAAACCAAATAGGCATGAACCTAACCCAGTCCAATCATTTATTCCTACAATGCCTAAAATACCAAGGGTAGACAATCTGACACTTCTCAGCATAGTTACTTGTCATGAACTTACAAAATACCTTTAAAAATACCCTTTAAACAGGCTTACAATTAAAGATAAAGACAAGGAAAGGTTAGTTAGAATGTGTCAATTGAACTTCAAAACAAAACAATTTTTGTCTCCCAGCTGATGTTAGGGTAGTTAAAGTCCTCCATTACTATTTTGGTAGTATCTGTACCTAATAGATCAGCATTTCCTCTGTCTGTTTGGATGGCCTCTGGTATACATTTACAGCAATGCCATTTCCCCCCCTTTTATATCAACCCACATGTAATCAAAGAGGCTATCATCCTTGGTTTTATGAATGTCTGTAGAGATGTAGTGATTTCTTATGCAAGTAAAAAATTAAGACCTAACAAAATAGGTGGGTGGAACTCCATGTCCTCTTTTCTTAGGTCTGTTTCTTTTAAACAGTTTATATCCTTCCAAAAATACATTCCAGCAGTTTCATCCCACCAATATCATTCAGTAATGATAGCTATATTACACCTGCACTCATGGACAAGTTAACTCTGTTTGCTCTTCAAACTTCTGAGCAAAGTGAACAGGCATTTGGGTCTTTTATTGCTGACCCTGCATTTGCTTTCTACATCTCCTGATTTGTATCCAAGTTCCCCTTCCTTTTCACCACTCCCTAACTAATTTTTTGATTGATTGTCTGAGAATTTTTGCTTGGGAGTCCCTCCCAAAGATCCTACAGATTGGTTATCCTTTCCCTTCAGTTTTAGATTAAAGCCCTGTTGATAAGCTAAACCAGTCATCTTCCAAACAGATTCTTCCTGGTTCTTGTAAGGTGAAGCCCTGCCAGAAACCCTTCTTGTAAATAAGGGTTTACATATGACATATGACTTAGGAATTCAAAATTCTCTCAATGGCACCATCTAAGTCAATGGTTTACTTCTAAAATCCCCCATTCTCTCATTGGATGTTGACTTCCCATTGAAAGATGGAAAAAAAACCCTGCGTTGCTAACTCTTTGGCTTTCATGCCAAGATGCTCATAGTCTCTTAATATTGTTTTGTTGTATCATTCATCTCCATGAAAGAAGAGAAAAAGTTAATAATCTATGGACTTAATTATTTTAGTAAGGTTCTCAGTCACATCTTTGATTTTGCTCTTGGGAAACAACATACCTCCTTAGACTAATTGTCTGGTCTACAAATTACTGATTCCATTCCTCTGAAAAACGAATCTCCTATCACCAACAAGCACCTTTTTATTCCCTTGGGGAAGACTGGGCTTTGTGTCAGTGGAATATTTGATGATGTCCCTTCTCCAGATGTCTGAATGCTTTCCTCCAAGGTGAGGATATGAAATCAATTGCTCAGCTCTAACCGGTTGTATTGGATTGGACTGCAGGGACATTGTTCTTTAGGTTTTTTTGGGTTTTTTTGTTCTATGAGTGGCATATTGCCAGTTGCCTATCTCTAAAAGTTCATCTAAAGGTTTATTTCTTCTGGTAGTTGTTTGTTCCTTATTGTGTTCAATTTGGATTGAGTCTTTTGGATGGACTTTCTTGTTTTGTTGGTTGACTCTCAAGAGTACCTAGACTTGCTTCTAGAGCCTTTATTTTTTGTTTGAGTAATTCATTTAGTGTACATTTGTACATGTGTAATTTAGATCTTTTATGGGCATGAATACATACATAGAACATATAATATAAGAGAATTACCCTTTCATAAATTATTTGCTTGAGTAAGAATGATACATGTGAGAAATGAAACACTCCCTAGAAGTTATCACTGAAGTAAGTCACCAACCTGAATAGCAGAAAATCAAGTACTTACAAAATTTGCATGCAGCACTGTGAAAAATTCAGGATTGGTAATGAACTTTACAGCTGGTGACTGCAGCAATAAAGTGATTTTTTGAGAATTCACTGGTGAAACAGATATTTCTCTTCTAATTTCTGAAACAAAATGGTAAATGCATAAATTATAACAAAAAGGTATTTATATCATTCCAGTCTTCATATCCTTTGCTCTCTCTTATTCTCTGAATGATTTCATGCATAATCCTTCTGCCCTTCCCCAATATACTGTTTAAAATGTTTATTATTACCACACTTTTCCAATAGTTAGGGCTTGTGTTTTTTCTTACTATATTAACTTTAGCTTTAAAAATAAATTTCAGTGTAGTAAAAAAATTATTAAAAAATATTTACCAATCCTGTTAAAAGTTAATAGTATTTAATTAATTGTTAGAAGATTAACACGACAAAATGTATACAAATATCTGGAAGCTACCATGACTTGAGTCTCTAATTTATATTTCCAACAAGCTTTTTAAAAAACTCTATTGAGCACTTAGTATATCAATATGGGTAAAATGAAAATATATTTTTGGATTATATTCACAGTCTTAATCCCACACCAATACTACATTTCCACTCCATAACAATAATATATATATATATATATTTACTAAAAGACATTCATAAGATTTGTTAATATACTTAGAAATTGTATCTTAAAAATAGTTTTAAAATAAGATCAGCAGATACTATGTGGCATGATGATGATGATGTTGTTATCCATTCAATCGTGTCCGATTCTTGGCTATTGGTATGGGCTGGGTCTCTCCATATCATATGCCACTAAGTCAGTATTAATTCTTAGTGACCAAGTGTAGATACATATTTCCCCTAAGACAATCTTTCTTCCAAGAGTGCAGCAATTTCAAGTACACTTGAATACACCTACTTTGCTGCTTGTTGTTCTCTTATTCTCCTTCCTTCAGTGCTTTCCAGCATTATAGACATACCCTGTCGCTGATATCCTTACAATTTATATTGATATTGTTTCCTGATTGCTTATTTATAACCTATGACTATCATTAAGTGTTGTACCTTATGATTCTTGATGAACATATATTTTATTTTATTACACTGAGAGCGTATGCCCCAAGACAAATTCCTTGTGTGTCCAATCACACTTGGCCAATAAAAATTCTATTCTATTCTATTCTATTCTATTCTGTTCTGTTCTGTTCTGTTCTGTTCTGTTCATAAAACTAGATCTTTGCACAGTGTTCGAAGTATAATGATTTGACCTTGGTAATGTTTATCTCAAGAGGAACTCTGCCTTGATTTGTTGAATGATTCATTTGTTTGTTTTTGTTTTTTACTACCTATAATATTCTCAGAAGTTTTCTCCAACACCACATTTTAAAAGATCTCATTATAGGAACCATGGTACCCAGTGATTAGAATGCAGTATTGCAGACTAATTCAGCTCACTTCCAGGAGTTCGTTCTCATCGGTTCAAGGTTGGCTCAACCTTCCATCCTTCCAAGGTCATTAAAATGAGGACTCAGATTGTTGGGGCAATGTGCTGACCCTGTAAATTGCTTAGAGAGGGCTATAAAGCACGATGAAGTGATATATAAGTCTAAGTGCTATCGCTATATCCTACTTTTTCAAAACCCAATTTCCATTTTAATAGTGCATAAGGAAAATACTTGCCTTCATGATTTTGAACATATAGCCTACATATTGAATATCTTTTTCAAGACTATTGTTCTTCTAATCAAATATTAGTCTGCATTAGTCTATGTGTTGATGGTTGATCCTAAAAAGGACTTCAGTCTCTTCAATATTAATTCTAAGGCTGTTTCCTATATCTGTTGTCATTAATTTGACCTTCTGTATATTTAACCTTAGCTCCATTTTTTAATGCAAGGTGAAGAATACCATTTGGCCACACAAAATGCCTTACCTGTATTTGCCTGGGAAGGGTCTGCTTCAGAATCACTGCCTCCTCCAGGAGGGAGTCTTTCCACACGACAGCTGACAGCAGGGTCCTCTTCTGTTCTATCTGTAGCAATAGTTCGCTGTATATTTTGATATCTTGATTTTGGCAAAGAAAAGAAATAGAAATATATTAATGATCTACACTTCTGAAATTAGGAAAAGAAACTTTCCAATGTGTCTGTGTGTCTACATTTAAAATTCAGCTGGATTGAGAATTTTAATTGATGTGAAATTATTACCTTTTTGTTCAAATATATGCAGTAACATAAAATATATAGTTAAAAGCATAGAATTAAAACTAAGCATAAAACCATAGTCAATTAAAAGGAATAATATAAAAGAATAATTTAAAAATGTGTACGATCATTTAAAATGCCTTGTTAATTGCCAACTTTATCAAACAAAGCTTTTCGGTCAATTGAATCTAAAGCCATAGCTGCTGATAATTTGCTCCATTTCGTTTTTCAGAAAGAAATACTTTGGAAGGAACAACCCCCATCTAAGGGGTTGTTCAAGATAGATTTTATGGCTCTTTATTTTATATCTTTCTTTTCCAGTAAACATTCAAAGTAATACAATTTAAAAACCAAAAGTATTTTCTTCCCTCTGTTGATTGGACATCTCTTTAGAGCCGCTTTTTCATATCTCAGATGCTCCAGTCAAATCAGGATCATATAATCAATATAGTTATATTATTCAATTTGAAGTTTGCCAATAAAACTATAAGGACCACTCAGAACATCTTTTAACCTTTTTTGTTTCATGGCAATCAATGAAGGAAAATGCCCCACTTTAAATTTCATCAGATGTTTTTAAGAATATCCTACCCAAAAGTTTATACTTTTTGATGTTAGATAAAGAAGGGATCCTACTGGTCTTAAAGAATGAGATAGTTTATATAATGAAGACATTCTGAAAATATATAGTGGTCTTAGACTAAGATCATAACTAAGTTTAGCAGCATAAGGGCAGCCAGTACAAAAGTGCTACAAAAGGGAATCCATACATTATTGCTGTTCTAGCCCATTAAATTTACTGTGCATTATTGCTTAAAGTACTGTATTGCCATCTCCGATGCCATTTCTTTAACCTCAGGAAGACTTTGCTACAAACCTGTGGGTTTAGCCTATAATTTTATTTCATTTGTGTACACACACACACACACACACACACACACACACACACACGTACATTAAATTGCTTAAGTCATCTTGAAGGCTGAATAAGTAATGCAAGGGTGAGACAAAAATATTTCTTTAAGTAAACAAACATGGCTTGGTTTAACAAACATCTGTGGAATCTGTAAAGAGGCTGAAAAATCAGAATAGAAAAAGTATTGCCACTTTTGAACTTTAGCACTGGAGAAGATTTCTGAAAATATCACAGATCACCAAAAGAATAAATAATTAATAATCAAATCAATCAATCCAGAGTTCTCCTTAAAGACACAAATGATCAGACCCATTACATAAAAATCTAGGTAGCTGTAGATATCTGTTTAATCAGTACTGTGGGTTGGAGGGGCAGATATGGTGGTAGCAGAGGGCCATATCATGTTCTGGGAGTGTGCACTCGCTGTCTTCGAGCGATTGCGCACTCCGGTCCCCAATGCTCTTCTCGTTCCCCGGGTTGCAGAGATTCTCAGGGCCTGGGCCTCCGGCTGATGTTGTGCAATGCCAGGTCCGTGGTAAATAAAGCCCCCCTCATTTATGACCTTATCCAGGAGGGGGGAGTGAACCTGGCGGCTATTACGGAGACCTGGCTGGGTCCGGAGGGGGGTGCCCCTTGTTGAAATGTGCCCACCAGGTTTCCGCGCATTTCATCAGCCGAGGGCCCAGGATAGGGGCAGGGGGGTGGCGGCTATTATTAAAGAAGGTCTTTTTCCGCTATCTGAGGTCTCTGTACCTCAGATAGCCGGATGTGAGTCCCTCCTTGTGAAGTGGGGTCGTGGGGTGCAGATGGGCTTGCTGACTGCATACCTGACTCCCTGCCACGTAGCAGCAGTCCTGTCCGAGCTGCTCAACGTAATAGCCGGGTTGGCGGTGGATACCCCCAGACTTATGGTCATGGGGGATTTCAACCTGCTATCCATCGGTGAAACTTCAGAGACAGCCCAGGAGTTCATGGCTTCCATGACAGCCATGGACCTGACCCAGTTAGTTCAAGGCCCTACTCACATGGGGGGGACACACTCTGGACCTGATTTTTGTCTCTGGTCAGTGGTTGAATGATCTAGAAACAGGGGATATAGTCACCAAGCCCTTGTCATGGTCAGATCATTCACTCCTTCGACTTGACTTTCGAGCCACTACCCTCCGCCACAGGGAGACGGAACCGGCCAGGTGGTTCCATCCCAGGCACCTGATGGATCTGGACGGAGCTTGGGCCATTCCCTGAGGCTCTGGCTCACGACTCGACTGAAGAACTGGTGGCCGCCTGGGATAAGGCGGCCGCTGGAGCTTTGGACCGCGTCGTACCTTTGCGGCCTCTGACCAGTGCCAATCTCAATTGGCTCCCTGGTTTTCTGAGGAGCTGAGGGAGATGAAGTGCCAGAAAAGATGCCTTGAGAGCGACTGGAGGGCCAGCTGCTCCGAATCTGACCGAACACTGGTGAGGTCTCATATTAAGATCTACCTAGTGGCGATAAGGGCGGCAAAATCAAACTATTTTTCCGCTCTTATTGCATCTGCAGAGAACCTCCCAGCAGCCTTGTTCCCTCGCTCCCTTCTCCATTTGGGAGCGAGGGAAGACCCCTTGCAGGGTAGGGCTGAGGATTTTGTGCAATTCCTGCATGACAAAGTCACTCAGATTCGGGAAGGCCTGGACTCCGACTGGGTAGATTCAGATGGGGTGACAGAGGTGGGTCTTGAGAGTGTTATCTGGAAGGGGTTTGATCTTGTGACTCCCGAGGACATGGACAGGATTCTGGGTAGGCTTAGCGCTGTCACGTTTATAGTACCCGTGTCCCTCCTGGTTGGTGCTGGCCTCCTGGGCGGTTACACAAGGCTGGCTTCAGGGAATTATTAATGCTTCTTTGAGTCAGGGTTTCTTCCCTCCCTCCCTGAAAGAGGTGGTGGTGAGGCCCCTCATCAAGAAGCCTTCCCTTGACCTGGCTGTATTAGCGAACTATCGTCCAGTCTCCAACCTTCGCTTTGTGGTGAAGGTTGTTGAGAGTGTGGTGGTGCAACAACTCCCCCAGTACCTGGATGAAGCTTCAGCCCGTACCAGTCGGGCTTCAGGCTGGGGTACAGCATGGAAACAGCATTGGTTGCATTGGTTGATGATCTCTGGAGGGCTCGGGAGAGGGGTTGTTCCTCTGTCCTGGTCCTATTAGACCTCTCAGCGGCTTTTGATACCATCGACCATGGTATCATGCTGCGCCAATTGGAGGGGTTGGGAGTGGGAGGCACTGTGTTGCGGTGGTTCTCCTCCTTCCTCTCTGACCATATGCAGTTTGTGTTGGCAGGGGGACAGAAGTCGGCCTCGAGGCACCTTGTTTGTGGGGTGCTGCAAGGGTCGGTCCTCTCGCCCCTTCTTTTCAACATTTATCTGAAGCCGCTGGGTGAGATCATCCATGGTTTGGGGGTGAAGTTCCATCAGTACGCTGATGATACTCAGCTGTACATCTCCACCCCGGACCACCCCAATGATGCCCTTGACGTGATGTCCCTGTGCCTGGAAGCTGTGCGGATCTGGATGGGGAGAAACAAGCTCAGACTCAACCCTTCCAAGACAGAGCGGCTGTGGTTTCTGGCATCCCGATATAACCAGCTAGCTCCATTGCTGACTACTGGGGGCAAGATCTTGGCCCCCTCAGAGAGGGCTCAAAACTTGGGTGTTCTCCTGGATGCACGGCTGTCTTTAGAAGACCATATGATGGCTGTGGCCAAGGGAGCTTTTTATCAGGTTCACCTGATTCACCAGTTGCGTCCCTTTCTGGACCGGGACACCTTGCGCACGGTCACTCACGCCCTTGTCACGTCCTGTCTGGACTACTGTAATGCTCTCTACATGGGGCTCCCCTTGAAAAGCACTCAGAGGCGCCAACTGGTCCAGAATGCGGCCACGCGGGTGATTATGGGGGCGACACAGCGCACCCATGTAACACCTCTCCTACGCGAGCTGCACTGGCTCCCGGTGGTCTTCCGGGGGCGATTCAAGGTGTTGTTTACCACCTTTAAAGTGCTCCATGACTTAGGACCTGGGTATCTACGAGATCGCCTTCTGCCACCGATAGCCTCCCACCGGCCAATACGTTCTCACAGAGAGGGACTCCTCAGGGTGCCATCGGCCAAACAATGTCGACTGGTGACACCCAGGGAGAGAGTCTTCTCTGTGGGGGCACCTGCCCTCTGAAACGAACTGCCCCCGGAGATTCGCAGGATCCCCGACCTACATACCTTTCGCTGTGCCCTTAAGACTCTTTTGTTTCAACAGGCCGGACTGGCTTAGAAATAGAATTTTAATTGGGTGTTTGTAGTTTTTAACAGAAGGGCCAAATTTTATATATTTTAAATTGTTTTTAAATTTTATGGTATATGTTTGTTTTAATATGGCTGTACACTGTCCTGAGTCCTTCGGGAGAAGGGCGATATAAAAATTTAATAAATAATAATAATAATAGTATCAACAACTGTGGGAAAGAGAAAAGGATAACTAGATCAAGGTGGGTGGATTTAATTACAGCAGCAATGTGTGAAATATTGGAAGATCTGAAAGGGATATTTGGGGACAATTCTTTCTGGAGAACTCCTAGGCAATCAGGAGTAAAAATTGACACAGATTTGATGGCAAATAATAAAAAAAAAAAATCAAAATAAGTTTCAGCAGGAGTTTATGTACCTTTTTTGTATTAATAGTTAAAAATTCAGGCAGACCATATTTAAAAATATAAGCTGAGAGTAAATGATAATAAGTAATTGTGTTGTAGTATTTATTCAACAGGTTTGCAAATTCTGTACTACTGTTGTAACATATTACTGTTTTGAATCTTACAGCATTTGGCTGGAAAAGACCTACGTAACTATCAGAACATAGACACCAGAAAGACATAGGCTGAAGACTCAGATAGTCTTGTTCAGATCTTTTACAGAGAATAATTTTATAAGACTCACAGATGTTTGAATTCATGTAACATCCATGGGAATATGATAAGTAATAGAAATGCCTTCTTAAAGCCTTCCAAAAGATTTTTGCCCTTCAAAAGAATGCATGGAACACTTAAATCAAATAAAATAGCAATAGCAATAGCACTTAGACTTATATACTGTTTCACAGCCCTCTCTAAGCGGTTTACAGAGTCAGAATATTGTCCCTAACAATCTGGGTCCTCATCTAACCGACCTCGGAAGGATGGAAGGCTGAGTCAATCTTGAGCCTGTGAGACTTGAACTGCCAAATTTCAGGCAGCTGGCAATCAGCAGAAGTAGCCTACAGTACTGTTTAAGTGTTAATTAGGCAGAATAAACAGTTAAAGTAAAATGTATCTATTTACATTGATTTCTTAAATTTGAGTTAATGGGATTTTAATAGTCTTGAATATTTGCCCTAATTGGAAAGAAGGATATAACCTTTTGTAATGAACAATTTTTAATTGGTTTAGATAAAGCTGGTAAAGCTTTATCTAAATCAACTTTATCTAAAGTTTGGTAAAGCTGTAAACTATACCAACGTTTTTGCTTTAAACATAAAATTCAAAAATCCTTTTACAATTCATAAGTTACTTGGCGTTTTTGGCTAGAATCTAGTCTTGATTCCAGTCTGCAGAAATGAGAATTGTGTTAATGGCCATTTTTTTAAAAAAAATTGATTTATATGCCGCCCTTCTCCGAAGACTCAGGGCGGCTTACAATGTGCTCAGCAATAGCCTTCATCCTTTTGTATATTTATACAAAGTCAGCTTATTGCCCCCACAACTGGGTCCTCAATTTACCTACCTTAGAAAGGATGGAAGGCTGAGTCAACCTTGAGCCTTGGCGAGATTCGAACCCTGCAGTAATTGCAGGCAGCTGGTCTTAATAATCAGCTTAATAACAGGGTGCCTTAAACCCCTGTACTACCAAGGCTCTTCATTTCATTTGAAATGAAGTTGTTTTTTTGGAACACTACTGTGTACTTTATCCATTGAGACATTTACTTTTGCACTCTGTGACTAACCTTGGGCAAGTGCATTTATGTTGGCACAAAATAAATGAAAACTGCCTGCCAAATATAGACACTGATTAAACTTTGATCAGATACACTGAACAAAATAACATTTTATACATTTTATATAATCATTTTTAATACACAGACACAATATTATATATTATATCTCTTAAGTTATAGCAAGATATATTTAATGAGCCTTATTGAGCAAATATATTGTGTATTTCCTCTTTGAGTCTGCTAAGGAATAGAATTGTGAACATATATGCTCTTTTTGTTTTTTTGCCTATTATATTTTGGCCCAAAAACTTACCGCCGATTGAGTTGCTCCATTTGTTGGATTGATCCAGATCTGCGTATTCCATCAGGAGTAGCTGCAGCTGTAGGCCGTTGCCAAGTTGTGGTTCGATTTACATGATCCACATAAAATACTCGTCCATGACTGTCTATCCGAGCTTCCCAGTCTTACATTTTTGGGGGAGGAATTGAGGTGGGAGACAAAAACAAATTAATTTTAATTGGAATATCCAAAATATAGATATTTGAAATTTAGCCTATGGATGTCATATTTGCCCTAAATCTATAAAGTAATGCAAACATATTTCCATAAATCAAAAGAAAAGGTATATCGATCTATTAAGCAGAGTTTCTATCAAAAAACATTACAATTAGCGTAGGAGGTGATGTATTAATCTTATTATATAAGCCATCTTGGTGAGATGTATGATGTATGACAGCATATATATATATGACTAGCTGAATATCCATGCTCTGCTACAAAACTATGTGATCTGACTTGATAAATCAACACTTACAGCTTGAAAATTAATGAGTAGTTATGATCGGCCTCTCCTCTCCCCTTCTGTCCCTCAGTCTTGCTCCACAGAAGTCTATCCTATCCTATCCTATCCTATCCTATCCTATCCTATCCTATCCTATTCCCCTTCTCTCCCTCAGCCTTGCCCCACAGAATCCTCCCCTATCCTATCCCCTGCTTGTTGCTGTTAAAGTAAAACTGAAAATCCTCTCCTCTGCTTGTGTTTTGCATTTGGAACAGATTTCTTTTCAGGTGGGGAGAGGGAGTAGAACTCCTTAGCATCCGAGGGCTGTTTGGAAAGTGAAACAGTATTTGCTGTGTGAGCAAGAAGGAGACAGGAAGGAGCCTGGCTGTGGCTTAGCTCAACTGTTCTGTAGTAAAGCTGCTTGCTGCTGTGTAAAACTGAAACTGAAACTCCTCTCCTGTGCTTGTGTTTTGCATTTGGAACAGATTTCTTTTCAGGTGGGGATGGGGAGTAGAACTCCTTAGCATCAGAGTGTGTTAATAATAATATAGGAAATACTAATACTCTGATGGTCATTTCGAAAAATCCTTTCTTAGTGAGCCAAGAGTAGAAGCCAAGAGGAATATACGTGGCAAATTTCAAGTTTGTAGGCTTTACGGTTAGGAGCACGAACATTGCTCCTAGAAGCACGAAGCCGAGAACACTAGCCTGAAGATGACGAATGAGACTTCATCGAAACGTTGCCAAGAAACCTCCAATTTTACGCGGGAGAAAACCCGAATAACCAAAGACCTACATACAAACACCCGCGAAAACCTCAGAAAACATATATATATATATATATATATATATATATATATATATATATATATATATATATGTAACATGCAAACATTCAAGAACGTTTACTACATTCCCAAATTGCATTTGTGCTCCCACCCTCCTCTGTTCTGACTCTGTTCTAATTTCAAAGGTTTGAATTAGGGATATGCCAAGTGAACTAGTCAGCATAGCTAATCTCTTTGGAAAAAATGAGAAATAATCTAAAATCATTTCTACAGTTTTGCACCTTGAATTTCCTAATCCATTCTCCATCATAAAGTCAGGAGGTAAATGAAAGACCTACATTTAGAGCACAATTGTCCATAGTTGTTAAGGCTTAGGGAAGTTGAAATCCCACAGTATTAGGAACAATACATGTTCTCCATCCCATCTCTCAGCAATGAAGCTGTTCTGGATAATGAAATGATCAAGGAAGACCTCAAACATATAATATATCTCTCATTAAAGTTTATAGATTGCCATATAGTTTCCAAATTAGGGTATATATACATTAAATAAATGTATATTTAAATAAATATATAATAAAAATAAATAAAAAAATTAAAATGTATATTTAAATAAATATACATTTTAAGAGTTAATATTTTGCAAGAATTAGGAAATCCAAAAAAACCCAAAACCATTTTATTTCAAATCTTTCCTTATTTGTTTCCATTTTTTGTAAGAATATTTTCTAAAAATTTGAATGTTTTTTTTTTAATGATGGATGAAAATATACATAACAATAAGCCAAGAATAGGATGTACATTATTGTTTGGCATATAATGCCAAAATATTAACTATGATTAGGTAAGTAGGCCTTAGATTGTAATAATTATTTTAAAATGTGATGTTTGGAACACTGATCACTGAATCATTAAAATTCAGAATGTAATAGAAGAAATTGGAAATTTGTTCAGTCAGTTCAGTGAACAGTTTTTGTTCAGTGAAATTATGAATAATACATCAAGATTTCATACATCACATAAAATGGTTTATGAAAACTGAAAAAACAATTAATTACCCAGCTGACAATCTATAGGGAAAGACTGTAAATTTCTTTCATATACTATAAATTATGCCATGTGTATTCACATACTTTAAAGATATAACTGGAACATCATGTCAAGATGATAGTGATAACAAAGTAGTTTCAATTCAGACATGCTGTAAAACTTCATCCACTTTCTGCATATATTGAAAATATATTAAATGGTTATAGAAATTGGAATAATTGATAGATTATTGTTAACCAAGCACTCCCTAGCTTTACACATTCATGTATAACCAGAACCTAAGAAGTGTGTCATTTTTATCACGGCAACTCCTATATGGAAGAGCATTCCTATGTTGACTTCTACAAGACTTTGAGAACCTGGTTTCTTTTTTGTGCCTTGGATAAGCCCATTCTGAAATTATTATTAATTAAAATGTGGTATGTTTTGTTTGATCTGAATTATCCTGTACTGCTGTGTTTCATGTTCTTTGTATTTATATTTTTACATTTTTAGCCAAATGGTAATTGTCTAGAATTGGGTAACCATAGAAATAATATACCGTGTTTCCCCGAAAATAGGACATGTCCCGAAAATAAGGCCAAGCCTGATTTTTGGGGTGGGTGTAAATAAACACCCTCCCCCAAAAATAAGCCCTAGTGAAGGGGTGGGCGTGGCCAGCACAGGAGGCAGCCCTTCCCTTGCCCGGTCAGCTAATGGCAGCTGGGCCCTTTAATTGTGACCCGCGGATCAGCTGAGCTGATCGGGAGCTGCCTCTCATTCTCTTTCCCCCAGTGTTCTTGGTGCTCACTCGCCTCCCATGTATTCATCCACCCTCCCCCTCACCTGCAAACTCCTGCCCCGCTCGCAAGACAGCAGCCGCCTGGCTCTTCTTGCCACGTTGTGCCCACCTAGCATTGAGGATGGCTTCCCCTGGAAGCCACTGGAAACAGAGAAGACGCTGATCGGGCCAGCTGCCTGCTGCCAAGTCTTCCGAGAGCCCAGGCAGAGTGTCTTCCGACAGCCAGAGCAGCGGGCTGCTTCCCACTCTATGGTTCCAACTCCATGCGGCTGCCCTGGCTCCCAGAAGACTCAACAGCAGGCAGCTAGCCCGACCGGCCTCTTCTCGGCTTCCAGCTGGGTTTTGAAAGTGCCTCAGTGCTCGGATGGTATCTGCATCAGTGTGGTCTCCCCATGAGGGGCTGCAGCTCCCTTCTGCCAGAAGACTCTCTGCCCCAGCTGTTGGAAGACTTGGCAACAGGCTGCTGGCTTGAGCAGCGTCTTTTCCGTTTCCAGCGGTTTCCAGCCAGGTGCTCACTGGCTTTGTCCACATTGAAATGGTGAGGCCTGGGAGGCACGCAAGCGGGAGAGGGAACAAGCGCTTGCACAGCTTGGCACCTTAGGGCCTCTCACGTTCCCCCCCCCATAGGAGGGACACGGCTTGATGGCACACGGAGGGTGCTTCTCTCTGCCAGAACCCCCGGTTAATAAGGTCAAGGCCGTATTTCGGGGGTCAAAAGAAACACAGTATTTTAAATAAATGCATAAATAAAGCTGTATGTATGCAGGCTTTTCTGCCCCGTTGATCAATGCTGGCTTCCTGGATACCGTATTTTTCAGAGTACAAGACGCACAGAAGTATAAGATGCACCTTAGTTTTTGGGAAGGAAAATAAGAAAAAAGCTGATTGGCAGGTGGATTGGCCTCCCAGAATACCCCCAATCAGCTGTTCCCAGAGGTGAATTTTAGCAACAGGTTTCTTGGTTGTGAGCTCTGTGCCTTGCTTTTTTTTCCTGCCTCTGAAACTTCTGAAACTTTGTTTCAGAAAAAAACTTTCTTTTCTTCCTCTGAAAGCCTCCGAAACAGAGAAAAAAAGCTCTGAAGCTCTGTTTGGGGGCTTCTTTTCTGAAGCTTCGATTCTGATGCTTTTTTCAGCCTCTGAAACCTCCGTTTGAGAAGCTGGGCAGGGCTACATTCGGAGTATAAGACGCACCTAGATTTTCACCCTCTTTTTTGGGGGAAAAAGGTGCATCTTATACTCCGAAAAATACGGTACTTAATATCTAGGCATCAGTTAAATCAGTGTTTCTGAAACTTGGCAACTCTTAAGACATATGGACTTCAAGTCCCAGAACTGGGGAATTTGAAGCCCACATGTCTTAAAGTTCCCAAGTTTCAGAAAGTTTCACTAAGTTAGATAAATGGCTTAATACAAATAGTTCTTTCTTTATTACATCAGATATACATCAAATTTAAATAAATGTTCTCTCAGCTTAAGTGTAGTCTATTTATTGCTATGAAGCACTATTCAAAACATAAGATATTAAATCTTGAGCTCAAATTGCAGATGCAATCTAAGAAACTGAATTTAAAAATCATTCCACTGAACATTATCATTCCAATATAATTTTAAATCAAATTAAGACATAAGTAATACAATTTGTGCAGCTTTCAATAGGCATAAATCCCTAAAGGAAAAAAATATATATTCAGAAACACAGAACAAAGAAATAAGAAGGTATAATAATGGGAACTAATTAATTAGTTCTTTATTTTCTTGTTAATAAACAACCCTAGATAATCCATGACCCACTGGGTCATTATTTCAGAGATATTTCCTTACCTAAATGGAGAACAGAATGATCAAGGACAAAAAACAAAACAGAACCCCAGTATGAGTGGGAACAACTTCTGATTTCCTCCTGGCATGACCATGGCTGACTCTGTGATAACCAATGCTGGGAGTGGTTTACCTGGCCTCTGCAGGACTACACTGGGACTGATCTTTTGAACCTTTGAGGGGTTATGTGGATGCCTGGCAGCACTGAAGCAACCTAAAATTTACTAAATTTCATAACACAGGAGTCATGGATCCCAGATTTTGCAATGATAATTTAATACATGTAAATTTGTTAAATAACAATGACAATATTGTTACTGAGAGCCAGTTTGGTCTAGTGGTTAAGGCATCAGGCTACAAAGTAGGAAACAATGAGTTCCAATCCTGCATGAAACAGGATGGATGACTTTAAACATGAAAGTCAGCTGGATGATTTTAGGCCAGTCACTTTCTCTCAACCCAACCCATCTCACGGGTTGTTGTGGGAAAAATAGGAGGAAGATGTGTTGGATATGTTTGCTACCTTGAGTTATTTGTAAAAATAATAAAAATGGATATAAATAAGGAAGTAAATAAATAAAAGTTATTCTTAAACAATAACAGTAGGACAACTTGTTCTGATTTGCAAACTGCTTAGTAAAGATTTAAAAGGAAAAACATTTTTGTCTTATTAGGTGATGTTGCCATGTTATATATATATATCTTTGTTTGGCCTTAGCGTGGAGATTTCTGAGCATTAAATAACTGAAGATTTCTTTTGGTTTATATTAAATTAACAAGAACAGAATCAAATCCAATTATTAGGTTGGTTAATACCAACACTATGAATTATTTATAAAGCTCATTATTCAAATCTAAAAGGTGACAATGATATGAAGTATTATAGATCAGAGCATGCCCTCTAGTGGGCAACACTTATTAATGCAGGACACTTTAGGAAATTTTTAACTAAAAGTATTAATTTTACTTTACTCATTTTGCAGACATATTTTGCAGAAGGATTCAAACATACAAGAAATATGGATGGTTCACTGTCAAAACCATCCACATTTATATGCTGCTTGCTGTCTGAAGATCATACTTCAAATGAAGAGGTAATTTGGATTTGGTGAGATTCTCAGGATAGAATGCATTCTCTTCGAATAGTTGTCCTCTTCATCTTTGAAAAGCAACTGAAGATTTAACTCATCATAGTCACATTCTATCAGGATGATTTCCTGTGCTTTCTGAAATGAATTGGGACTTAAATGCACTATGATATCTGGGGGAAAATTCCTACAGCTGATGCATAACTATATTTGTAAAGCATGAAATGATGAGATAAAATGAAACAAAGGACTTAAAGGGAAAGCAGAGTTAATTTTTCACTTACAGTGTGAGTCTCATGTCATTTTACTTTCTGAAAAGCAGGAACAATTTACATTCAATCAAACCCAATGTTTCAGTCTTGTCTCTATTTCCAAGTTTTAAAACTGCCTTTTAAAAACAATACCGGGTCCTATAGATAATAATATCCTCAAATAATTATTGGATACTTTGTTATTGTTCAAAACTTAAAATGTGTACCAATATGCACATGGCAAGAAAAGAAATAATAAACTGTAATTGTGAAAACAGCATAGAATCAAGGAAAACAAACCCAGGAAAAATCCTAGTGCATCTGTTAAAAAAAAGTATTTCAGGCATAAAAGGAAAAACAAAAGACAGATGGTGGCAGGTTATATTTTAGCAAACCTAAAATTTGTCTTGCGAGCAACATGTAAGTACAGGAGATATTGATATTTATTTTTTAGATGAGTTAAATTAAATAATATAAAATCTGAACCTTACTTGGTGGGAGAGGCTCATCAACAGTTGGGTACTGATGGTGGTCAGGTCTCAATGAAGGAAGCTGGTTGATTGGCTGAGAATTATGCAGCAAAGGGCAATCACCTATGGATAAGAAAGTGCAGAAGTGCATATTCATTCAAAGTTGCCACACCTTGATTGCAGATGCATTGTGATAAACACATATGATATGAAGGTTTGGGAATGATAAGAGTTGACAAAAGTTTGGTGTAGTAACAATCTAGAAATATTTATATATCAGACAGGTACTGAAATATAAAAGCAAAAGAAAGATCTTTGGAGTATTGATGGGTGAAATCTCCACATGTAAACCCATAACAATTTAAAACATCAGGTGAGGATATAAATGTAATCTTCCTCAATTGGCACTAACTTTTTAAAGTTAGAATTCCAGCCAGCATGGCTAGTGATTCTACTGCTGAATGTTGTGTGTCTACACATGGAGGGCACCGCCATAATAAAGGAAGATACAGCATATCTAAGGTGATGTGGAACATATTATATACAAAACATATATTCAAGTCCAAAGGAAATAAAGAGAAATAAAAAAGAGTTTAGTGATTCTAATCAGCCAATCTGTACTTGAAAATTTCTGAATTTGGTGGCTTCTTAGAGTATTATTTTCGTCTATAATACAGGGTTAAATTCGCTCTTTCACCTGAGGTGTATTACTCATTAATAGAGAAAGTAGACAAGGACTCATGGAGCTGAGAAAAAAATGTTTAGAAATAAGGCAGAAATCTTGTGATCTGCAGCACCTGATACTCAATGATAAATGCTTAGGACTGTGATAGCGAACCTATAGCACGTGTGCTGGAAGTGGCACGCAGAGCCATCTCTCCAGGCATGCGAGCCATCGCCTGTTGCTCTTCTGGTTCTGCCGCGCTGACCAGCTAGACTTCACACATGCGGGAGTGCTGGAAACCGGAAGAGCAGCCGTCTGGTGCGCCTGCGTGTTCTGGGAAGATGATCTTCCAGTTTCCGGCACGTGCACGATCACCAACTGGCTGGTCTTTGCACGTGCATGCGGGCCAGAAACTGGAAGACCAGGTGGCCGGTGCGCATGCACGCACTGGAAATCGGAAGATCATCTTCCCGGTGTGCGCTGGTTGGCTGCTCTTCCGGTTTCCGGCATGCACATACACGTGTTCCCGTTTCGGCACTCAGTGCTGAAAAGGTTCGCCAACACTGGCTTAGGACATGGACTGCAAAGTGGCAATCATATATTTCCTACTTTCTACACACCATACATTTGATAGCTCATTTCCTAAGTAAATTATCATGAAAGCACAATAAAAAAGAAAATTCAATTCCCACACCTGCATTTAAAAGTGGGTTTTTAAATCTGATATCCTATATTAAATAGAAGTTTCTCTATATGATATGATCTTTATTATTTATTGTTTCTGCCTAAGTTATGATATTCAAGGTTGTCCTCCTCCTCCAAATCTAACCTTCTCTTCTGATGCTTGGGCCTGCTACTGGAGACTCTATATTTTCTGGAGTTCCCTGTAGATTTGTTCCGGGAACTACCAATTCCTCAGGCCAATGGGCAGAGCTATCCAGTTGTTCCCTGTCCAACTCAGGGCTTTGACCTGAGTCTGGCACTGATTCAAAAGCACTATTTTCCTCCTCTTCATCATCCTGTGAAGAAAAAACCGTGCTCTCAGAAATCTTTGCACTGTCAACAGAAGAGAACCTAGTATGGCTTGAGAATCGGTTGGCACTCTCATGGCCAGAAGTGCTGTAACAGGAAGTGCTGTAACAGGAGGTACTGTAGCAGGAAGTGCTATAACAAGAAGTGCTATAACAGGATGTGTCACACACTTCATACTCAGGGTCACCATTTGGTCTAGGACTCAGTTCACTGTCACTTTCAGTTCTTGGCCCTTCATTATCCAATGTTTGTTCATTTAAATCAGCAAGGTGTTCAATGGAGGTGCTGCGCGGAACAGTTCCCCGGACAAAGTTCTCTTCTACTAAGTTTTCCTGAGGAGGTTCAGCCAACACTGTTTCAGTCTCACTAATTAAATCTTTCTCAGATACTTCCCTCACTGTCAGTTCCTCATCATTCTCTATTACACTGCCTTGTTGTTCCTCCTCCCCTTCTCCATCATCACTACTCAACTGGGCAGAAGGCAAACTGTGCAAGAGATTATGTATTCTTATATAGTGTGTACGGGGAGTCTCAGGCTCCCCACAAGCAGATGCAATCACTGTTTCAAGTTCTGACACAGGCAAGGAACAAGGCCTGCTTTTTCTTTTCACCATGGTCCTTAGTTGTAGCTTGCTCTCCTTTTCATCATCATTCTCATCTTGGTCCTCTTGGGCTGAAGCCCCTTCATTATCCTGATTCTTCTCTAAATCCTTGGTAGGTTGAACATCCCCACTCACCTCATCAATAGATAAGGCTTCTATGCTGATAAAGATGTCACTATCTCCCTGAGTAACAGAATTAACTTTGTTGTTTTCTCTAACTTCAGACTCTGGAGGAGTGCTTGCCAGCAAAGGTAGTCGTTCACTGAGATCCACAGCACTTGGAGAAGGTGTTATTTCCACTGGGATGGATTCTGAGAGATTAACTGTATCTGCTGCTATTGCATCATTCTCTCTATATCCTGCTAGCTCTTCTTTGAAGGAGCAGCTCAAGGTAGGTTCTTCAGCTCCAGAGTTGCCCACACTGATGCATATTAGTGGACATTCATTTAGTTTTTCTGAAGCTGCACTTTCTGAGATCTCTATACTGTTGCATGCTGAGGTGTTAATGGGGCTTTCTTGAAGGTCAATTGATTCATGGTCTGCAGCAATAGAGACCTCTTCATCATCTGCTAGAAGCAAAAAGAAAAGAAACATGACATATAAGTAAAATTGGGTATAAATAATGTAGCCTGGCATTTCAAAAAACCTACATAAATATATACAAATATCTGTTAATTACAGCTCAGACTTAAGCTCACCTCATATATTTTAATAACAAGTGACCTAAATGCATTTATTAAATGAAATAATTTGGAATATCATATATAGACCAAAATGCTTAAAATATTAAGCAAGATATTAATTTTCTGTTATTTAAAACTGAATCCATGATTCATTATCAAATAGGCTAAAAGCCTATATATACTCACCTTGGAATAAATCCCATTGAATACAATGAGATTTTATTCTGAGTAGATATGCATAGCATTGTACTTTGAATTAAGGAGTGCTTTCCTATGTAAAAATGTAAAAAAAGAGAGAGAAATAGATTCATGTGTAAAATATCAACCTATTAAGGTTAATGAGATAATTTTACACATGTCTACTTAGAAGCAGAAATAGAGTTTAATCGATTTAATCTCTGTTTGGAATTAATCAAAAGAATAATAAAGTTCTATATTATTATTAAGGCAAAATGATATTTCTGTTTTCATATGCATGTATGAGAAACAGAAGCCAACTAAATCCCCATGTTGACTCAGAATGCAATGTATATGTTTTTTTTATGAGTATAGTTAATCTTATTACTGACTTCGCAAGACATGGAGAAATATAAAATAAATTATGTCCCATTTTTTCCCCTTTTGCAAACAGACAGAATCTCTGATGATTATGATGGCCATGATTTTGCTTTTTGCTCATTCATTCAGGTTCAATTATATAAATTACAGGACTATGATCTTTTGAATATGATTAAAAGATGTTTTTCTGAAATTCCTGTAAGCATGTGTACAGTACTGTTCATTTAAACAACTCCTTTTTCATATTTCTGCACAAGGAATTCATTTAAAAGCAGCTATGGGTCCCTTCCCACACCCCATCCCCATTCCAAGTTTCTAAAAAAAAGGAGATTTTAAATGAATGGCAGGAGTGGTATTGTCTCAGGCTTATAGGTCTACAATACTTCTTTCAAATCATTTTTGAAAGGCACACACCCCTAATAAATTAGAAATCTAGAAATAACTATACATATACGTATATGTACTTTATTACCATTTTAGCATTTAGCATTCTCTTACTATCTTATGACACAGAACTGAATGTGGTATCTGCATTCCATTCTTCATCCAAGTGTTTCATAATGGTTCCAAAACTGACATGATGAGCCATTGGTTTTCTTCCTATTCCTATTACAGCAACACTGGGTATATGAACATCTATTGGAATGGTACACTGTGAACAAAATGATGGCTAAGCCATCAAGTAAGTCATGGACAGGGGAAACGACCTTTGAGGAACTCTATCAAATTTAAATCTTCTAAATTTGAAAATAGCCCTCTTTAATCTTTTGTCTGTGGAATAAGTCTAGGAGGAAGTCAGGTGGAATGACAGAGGCTTTTTAAAATTACCAAGTAAATTTCAGACTTCAGCAGACCTTTAATATCTAGTCTCCTCTCTTCAAGTCCTGCACTCTATCTACTGTATTGCATTAGCTGGTTAAGTACAGTATTTGAAATTTTACTGTGATTGAAAGTTAAAATGCAGAAAGCATTTGAAATTGTAATGCATCATTCAAAACATTCCAAGCAGGATTAAATATAGAATGCAGCTATTAGATGTCCTGAGTTTCAGAAACATGCAGAAAACTAGGAATCTCTTATAATCTTTAATGCTCATTTATGAGACAAAACTTTACAAAATTATTTTTAAAAATTGCTTGATGATCAGTTTGAAAAGCCGAACTCAGCATGTTATCAAATTATGACACAGAAGACTCCCTCAGTCCCTATCCTCAATTTATCTTCTCAGACCTGAGGAAAATAAAAGAAAATCGACTTCAGTTCCACATAACCTATCAATCTGTGGATTCATTTCTTCTTTGTTTGAAAAGAAATGAAAAAGGAAAATTTCCTATTCCAATTCAAGTTACATGAATCAGAATTTGTGAATAGGCTAAATAAGCCTAAGTGAAGCCAAGCCTACTTGATAAAGAAAAATATCATGGGAAAATAGAAGAACGAAGGCGTGTTGATATGTTCAATGCCTTGAGTTATTTGTAAAAAGAATAAAGGTGGGATACAAATAAATAAATAAATAAATAATACCTGGATGAATTGAAGAAGTTATCTCAAATCTAAACTGTAGCTGGCCACTGACATGTTCTGTTGGTAGCCTTCGTCCCAGTGTGTAGCTAACAACCCTGTCTCTATTGGAAAAAAAGTAAATAAAAAGAGTATTACATTTTTATATATAGTAAACTTGTTGCAACTTCCTCATATAAATTATTAATTAATATTCTTCATTAGACTTATTTATAAAAATCTGATGAAAACACATCATAGGACAATGATTAGTTCTGAACCGAAATCTAAGTCCTAACACTTAAGCCTCCTGAAACTGTACCCCAAAAGTGCAGATAAATTTGGTCAATGCTAAGAGGCGTAACATCAATATTTGTGCTGACACTGAGTTACAGAGATCCAAAAGGATGAAAGAAGTAGTTTTGCCAATCACAACAGTCTCATCTGTAGAAACATGATTCTAGTAAACTTATTATCAGCCTTATACTTAGCATTTTTTTAGTCCAACAGCAATATAATTTCCTTTTCAGAATTAATAGCTTCTATTATAGAAGTAGAGCACAGGCCATATTTTATAAACTGGGAAGCATATAATATTATATGAGCCATTATGCATGAGATTCAATTGTAACTATTAATACAATATATCAGTGTCGTATAGAAGTGCAAGCCACTATATACTGCACAGTGGGGTGTGGTAAGGCCTTGATTGTTTTATAAATTGGTGAACATAACGTAAGGCGTCCCTGTCCTGTATATAGAACACCTAGAAATCACAGCTATGCTTGAAACTGAATTATATACATTTCTATTAATTGTAATACATGCTGAAATATAAACACTATCAAAATTGAATATATTATAAATGGCTATATAGTATATATGTAGAAATCGGAGAAGAGAAAGAAATGTTTGATTATGTTGCTTTTCTTAAGTAGATTGTTAGGTTTAACATTCTAATTTAACACAAAGAGAAGATAGAGTAAAACATAATGGATTTTCTTTTCATTGACATATTTAAAAGACTAGACTTTTATCTAGGCTATCATCTACACTATCATCTGAATTTATTGAAGATTCTATAGTAAGCAGAAGATTGGATGTCTTCTTTGATTAACCTGACATAAATTATTTAAATTATTTAAAATGCTTATCCAAGGTAAAGCAATTAATTGAGATTAAATTATGGATTTCCCCTTCCCAATTGTGTAATTGCAATGGCAACTATCACTCTCGTTTTGATTCTTAGATATTCATAAAAAAGATAAAATTATGTCGCAAAGATTTACCCTATGGCATGTCTTTCTAGTAATCGTTGTACTGGCATGGAAAGCTTTCCCAGAAAACGCTTAATGATAGGTCGACTTTTTGCAAACTTGTCCTTCACCTCTATTTCTAGGACATCAGTGGGCAGAGAAACAAAGCTGAACAGCTGGAAAAGAAATAACACACAAAGGGAAAAAATTACAGGTGTTTTCCCTGCCTTTCCAACTAAATATCTGGATATGTATCTGATTATCCATCACTTCAGTAAGCCCAAGGTCAAATAATGGAAACCCTGAAGCCCATACATAAATCATTGTTCTCTATCAGTTATTATATGTTGTTTTTAATTTGGGAATTGGGGTGTGTGTGTGACACATGCTGACAATATTTCAAATTGAAACCCTCGCTTGTCACTGTTTCTGTCTGCATCGGAAATTCTGGAATTCCAGAAACTTTTTAATTCTCTGAACTTCACTAATACTATTGTACATAAATGGCAACAAATGGCAGGAGATGATGGCTGAGGCCTGGATGAGTCAATTAAAAATCTGGTCATAGTGTAAGTAAGATGTAATTGCATGTGAGAAAGAAAGGCAAAGAGATGATGCTTAGAGAACAGTCATATAAGACAAGGCATAGCCCACAGCTGGATAGTGGGCAGAGGAAGAGGCTCAGAAAAGTCCCTCCCTAGTTTCTTGCTCTAAAAAGGAGATGGCAGGAAATTTATCTTCCCAGATTTGCAAAATTTTGTTAATGTAACAATAGAGTAGAATTAGCTTATCTGGTCATATTTCTTCTTTGATCTACTTGGTAAGATTTTGATAAACGACAAGATGAGAACAAAGGGATGTGTCAGGAACAACACAAAATGCAAAGAAAAATATGGGGGGAAATATCTGGCTTGTTTGGGAGCTAACCTCCAACCTCACCACAGTGATCTTAGGGATATTACTTTTCTTTTATTCTTGACAGGTTTTCCTCTTGGGAAATTTTTACGATTTTTGAATTTTTTATTGGAGCAGGAAAAAAATGAATTATTTTCTTTGTCCTTTATTAAATATTTGGTCAATGTGTTTCTCTTATTATTATACTCATTAGCCAAAGAACCAGCAGTTTCTCAGGCTCCTTGTAGAAGTATTCAGTTGGGCTATAAGATTCCCAAATTTTTCCAATCATGAGCATATCTTGAATATATGGGAAATGTCACAAATGCTGCTATCACAAAATATGGCCCTTGAGAAGGGTTGCTCAGAGATGGGAACTGATGGTCTACAAACTAGGCAAAGACTGAGAAAATACTAATATTTCAACATTCATAAGAAGGAAGGAACTTACTATGACAACAGCTACTTCATATAGCAGAAGCCCTACTGTTCCCACATGGTTGCAGTTTGATGCTATCTAATTCAGAATAAATTCCTTTCTTCACTGCAGTTGTTCACTAGAACTCTATGTTTTGAATGTCATATGGCATTATTGGCTAAGATGGATGACAACTCAATATAAAATGTGAGGCACATCACATTTATAGTTGCTTATTATTCATTATTTCTGATCAAATATTCAAATTGTTTTTAGTCATTGCAGTAGCTCATATTCCATATTTGGTAATTTTTAAATAATTAAGAATTATATGGCATTCTATACATCCAAGTTTTGTTTCAATGAATAATTCATGCCAAGACTTTGAGTGAGTGATGCAGATGTGAATGCTTAATTTTGATATTAAAAATGCTTTATAAAGTAAGCAAATTCTTTGGTTTCTTTCTTATGCCTCTTAGATTAGACCAGTTATTCATCATGTTAATTTGGAATTCAGGCTTTAATTTAAAAGTTTTTAAGTGGTAAGTATTCTAACAGGCTAGTATTTATTTAAAAAAAAAACACCTTTTACAGTAAAACAATACTGTTTTTAGTCAAATTATATAGTACCTGGGATGATAGGAAATAGAAACAGAAACAGAAATTTGCACTGTTGAACAATAAGCTGGGACTACCTTGTGAGCAAGATATAGAAACAAGACAAGGATCCCTCTTGTCATCTTTACTATTTATTTTAGTTTTGGAAGTGCAGAATAGAGACGAGATGAGATGAGAGAATTGCTGGTTTGATGATTAAAAGAGAAACATACATATTATGAGTGTTTGAAAAGAATAGAAATATTAATGGAAAAAAGTAAGAATAGGGAGTATATCAGGCTGTAATAAAAAATCAAACTATAAATGAGGTACAAGCTAAGTGTAAAGATCATGGTATTTAATAGAACTATATGATGTTAAAAATGTTTCCTTTCTGAAAGTTTTAATTATTATTCTGGAGAGCCTCACACTGTAAAGTAAATTTCACTCACAAAATTTCAATTGCATTTCAGAGATTCAGCAGTTTGTCATCCTCTAGAGTATGAGAAATTATAGAACACAACCTAAAGAAAACAAGTTGGCAAAACCTATTCCAGCCTTACAAAATGCTGAACCATATGAACTAAAAATAGTCAGGATATTGGATGCTAATTCCAAAGGGATGAATGATTGCCAGGAATTCTTATGCACAAAACTATTGTAATAAGGCAGGTTAAGGGACCCCTTTTCCAATGGATAGTAATCATACTCCCTTCCACATAGCCTGAAATCATTTATTTTGCTTAGAAATGAAAGTGAAAGAGGTGTGGAAAGCATTTTAGAAGGGAGTCTTCCTAGCTTCCAGAGTAAAAGTAAAGGAGGGGAGAGGTGCTTTCAGATTGCAAGAATTTCTTACTATAACCTTACAATAAAGGTAGTATTAATACTCATAGTTTGTGCTTCTGTGCTATATGAAAACATCAATTGTGCAAATCCCTTCTGAATCTAGTCTGCAGTTCTTCCTCCTGTTTCCCAAGGTCATTGCCACATATTATTTCAGAATGGCATTTCTCCAATTATTACCTATTAAAAAAATTCTGAAATCAGAACGGTAGACACTTCATCTCTCCTATTTCAATATTCCAGAAATATAACATCCTTGTCAAAAACATAAGTATGTGCACAGGGGAAATTTAATTGGGAAAAACATGTTGGCAAAGTTCCAATTTCATTTTATTCCATTTCCAAAACATTTGCACCGAGAACTCATTCTAACTTGATCAATCTATTTATGGATAAAGTGCTTGCTAATAAAAGAAGGAACTGACTATTGATCTTATGCTTGATCTTATTGTAAGGTGACCAGATTTTAACATTGGTAAAGAGGGACATTGTGGGCGTGGCTTATTTTGTGGACGTGGCTAGCTGGTCACGTGACTGGGTGGGCGTGGCTAGCTGGTCATGTGACCGGGTGGCCATGGCTATGTGTATAGGGTAAGGTGAGCAGATTTTAACATTGGTAAGAAGGACACCATTGTGGGCGTGGCTTATTATGTGGGCGTGGCTTGGAGGCCATGTGACTGGGTGGGCGTGGCTAGCTGGTCATGTGACCGGGTGGCCATGGCTATGTGTATAGGGACTACTCAGAGGGCTGAAAAGTCATTTCTGACAGGTCCTCACACTTTTGACTGGTCCTCACACTAATGACCATCCTCACATTTATGCCCGTGCAGCATTCTTAACAACCATGTCACTCATTTCACAACTGCTTCTCTTCACCATGGTGACATGATAGGGCAAAAACGTAAAATTTGAGGACAGTCGTAAGTTCGAGGACTGGTCAAAAGTGCGAGGACCAGTCAAAAATAACTTTTTCAGCCCTCTGAGTAGTCCATATGCACAAAAGGACTAACCAGAGGGCTGAAAAAAGTCATTTCTGACAGGTCCTCGCACTTTTGACTGGTCCTCATACTTATGACCATCCTCACATTTATGCCCATGCAGCATTCTTAACAACCATGTCACTCATTTCACAACTGCTTCTCTTCACCATGATGACAAGATAGGGCAAAAATGTAAAATGTGAGGACAGTTGTAAGTTCGAGGACTAGTCAAAAGTGTGAGGACCAGTCAAAAATAACTTTTTCAGCCCTCTGAGTAGTCCATATGCATTAAAGGATACAGCAATAGAGAGGGATGAAGGAAGAGAAATTAGAGTAGGAGTGAGGGTAAGAGAGGGAGGAAGAGAGGAGGAGGAGGAGAAAGGAAGAGGAAGTAGGGAGGAGAAAAAGAGGGTGGGGGGAAGAGAAAGTAAGAAGGAAAGAAAAGAGAGAGGTGGTAGGTTTGAGGAGAAAGATTGCTGTACAATAAAAAAGATGAACGGGAAGAAAGCCAACCCCAAACAAATATAAAGATATTAAGATAAAGAATGAATTGTTAAACTTTAAAGAATAAAAGAGAACAAATATGAATAAATAGCAGTAATTAGAAACACACATACAAACATACAATGTATTTTCTTTGAACAGAATATTTGGCTGGTTCACAAATTTAAACAGCGTTTAGTCATTTCAATTAAATTTACAATTTCTATATTTCCTTTTTGCCATATTTATTCCTCATCTATTTTTTAAAAAAACCAATATTACCCTTCATCCTCATCTCTAATCTTAATCAAATTCAATTTTTCCCTTCTATTCTATATTATACCCCTTCCCATTGTCATCTATTTTTATATCCATCCTCACATTGGTTAATTATGTAATTATGTAATACAGTTGTTTAATACAAATTCAACATTTTAATATAAATCAATTAGTTATATAACTATCTTTTTTGTATATTAATCAATATGAACATGAATATTCCAATTATTTCCATGCAATCCAATTTCTTACAAATCAATTAATTATATCTATCAATAATAATAAACCAAATAATTTCCCCCATATATACCTCCAAACCACAACTTAATTGCTGGGTCGCCCGCCCCTCCTCCCATCCGCGCGGCATCAGCCTACCCTAGCCCAGGGCTGGGCAATTGTGGCTCTTTTACAACGTTTGGACTTCAACTCCCGCCGAGCCCATTCTGGGGAATTGTGGAGAATTCTGGGAGTTGAAGTCCACAAGTCTTAAAGCTGCCAAGGTGGGAGACATCAAGCATGAGGCTGGCCAAGTATCCTCCTTGAGAGACAACAGTTGAACATCAGGAGAGCTGTAAGAGGGCAGGGCTACATTTGGAAATTTTCGCATTTTTGCAGGTGGTGCATTACGATCTGGTGTCTGCAATGGAGAGCAAAATCCGGCTTCTTCTCTCCGCTGTAAGGG